GCATCGCCGACGACGCTAAAAGGCTTATCCGCGTCTGTCAATGCCAAACCGGTGCCTCTACAAGAGATTGCTTCACTGAAGTGAACGCATCTTCTTGCTTCTTTGACCAAGTCCATTCTGTATCCTTTTTCAAAAGATCAGACAATGGCTTAGTCTGCTCCGCATAATTCTTGCTGTACTTATGCAAGTAATTAGCGAGCCCAAGGAATTGGCGCAGATCCTTCACATGACGTGGAACTGGCCATTCCTTTACAGCCTTTACCTTTTCTGGGTCTGCTCGTACACCATGTATACCTACGATGCAGCCCAGTACAGGTATCTCGGGGACCTCTATTACGCACTTTTGCAAGTTAACGTATAATTGGGCGTCACCCAGAGTCGGCAACACAGCGTCTAAATGACGCTTGTGCGACTCTATCGCGCTCAGACCGTCCTCCGCCCTACTATGCACGAATACATCGTCAAAGTAATGGGGCGCGTAGGCAAGGTGCTGACGCATCACGTGAGCCACCACTCGGTTAAATATTGCTGGAGCATTTTTCAACCCTTGTGGTATCGCAAGCCACTCCTACAGCATATCGCTTGGGGTGCTTACTGTCGTTTTGGCTACATCAGTATCTTCACGAGAACTTGATAGTAGCCAACCTTCAGATCCAACGCGGAAAAGATTGTTGACTTTCCCATGGAATTCAACAAAACATCTATCCGCGAGATCGGCGTTTGAGCCGAAATGGTGGCCGTGTTCAGCTTATTATAAGCATGAAGCACGCGCCATCCACCTGTTTCTTTACGAAAACAAAAGGTCGCGCTGCAGTGAGGCGACTTGCTTTCACGTACATGTCCCGCCTTAGCTCGCTTGTCGAAGAACTCATCGATGTAATCGACTTGTTCCTTCGGCAACGGCCATTGCCTGATCACACAATACTTGGTGCCAGGCTCCAGGTCAATCTCGTTCCTGATTCCCCTATCGGCCGGTAGGCGGCTCGGCACTTCTGCTGGAAACACATCACGGTGTTTTCACAGAACATCATAGAACGGGCTGTACTTCAAGGCATCCCAGACTTGAGCAGCGAACCGTTTCTTTTTGTCGGTCCCCAAGACGCTCTCATCCATTGTGGATGAAGAGCAACAGTCCACCACGTTCTCTTCTGGAACTGGTGCGACTATCTCGTAGATCTTTCCTTCCTTTAGTTTGGACAGATACAGATACCACGTCATCTCCGAGAGATTTACTATCTCCTCGGCAGATGCCAAGACAAGTTGGAGCACCTCAACTGAGGATGCCTCCAGCATTTTGTCTTCGACGGCCTCGAACAACTCGTTCGTAGGTCCGTCCTCTTGGACCGAGACTGATCCAAGGGTCACTCGTTTCGACGTGCCCTTGATCGTCTTAATACGTCTGGTGCTCGTTCTTCGAGTCACCACGACCTTTGACCTGGAAGAAGGTGTCGTTGCTATCTCAGCTAACGCACTCCTTCCAACCGTACCAGGAAGTCAAGTGCCACAAGAACCGCGCTCATGGCTCTGTGCCGGTTCTTGTGGCGCTTGACTTCCTGTCAGCCCACCATCAACTGCCACAGGCTCTCGGCTCTGTGCAGGACTATTGGACGCATGACTACCTGTCATCGTCCCATTCACTACACCAGTCATTTCGATCTGGGTAGGAATATGTGTCACCTAACTTTCTGTCAGGGCACTTTTAACTACACCACTCCTTTCGAGCTGGGTAGTTCCTGGTGTCGATTGACATACCGTCATCGCACCCTCGACTGTGTTGGACATAACATCAGCCACATAAGCCTCTCGCAAGAGCACATCCTTTCCGGTGTCCAGTCTATCCATGGTTGGTGTTTAGCCAGCCAAGGCATGCCTAAGATGAGTTCATACGGACTCTCCATACCTAGCACTGTGAACTTCTCTTTACAAGAGAAGTCACTGAAACTGAAGACAAGTTCAACTTGAACTCCCTCCGATTTACCGAGCGCGCCGTTCGCTAAACGAACGATCGCCTCTTCTCGCTTGCCATCCTGGCAAAGCGACTCATAACTCGCCGGACTCTTTTTCAGAGCCGCGAGTTTCACAACGTTTTGTGATGCACCCGAATCAACTAGAAGGATCATCACTTGGTCATAGCCTCGTACTCGAGCGCTATAGACCAAAAGGGTTGAGGTCCTACCTTTAGGAACCTCAGGGACTATGATACCCATTTGTTCGATCACTCTGAACTTAGGGGTAGCTTCAGAGTCCGTGACAGTAGGACATCCCGCCCCTACTGCGCTCCCGCATTTTTTTTCCGACCCATCTTGGGCAGGTGCTGAACCCGTGCGTCGTGCACGCTGGTTTTTCGCACCTCCCTTCGGGTTGGGAGACCTTTTGCTTGCTGCCTTAGCACCAGCAGCAACTTTGACATAGCGGCAAGTCATCATACTGCCTCGCTTGCCGCACTTGTAGTAGATCACATCTGCATCGACTAACTCCATGGAGTGGCATTAGACTTCTCGGACGATGGCCTGTAATAGGCTGTCGCCGAGGCGCTGTTGTAGGATTGCTCCTCAACTAAGGCAATGTCAATTGCCTCTTCCATCGTCGCTGGCACCTTTCTGAAAAGGGCCTGACACGATGGGCCGTGCCGTAGTCCATTCATGAACGTGGTCACCTTGATACGTTCTGGTATCGGTTCCCCATTGATGGACGCCGACAGCGAACGCATCTCCTGCACAAATTCTTGCAAAGAGCGTTTCGCCTGTCGTGCTTCAGAGAAGTGCGCCATGAGCAACACTTCGTTGTTAGGCGGCTGATACATGGCGCGAATCTTTGTCTTAAAGATCGCCCATGATGGAAACGCATCAGCATTTGCCATCAGCGCAGAGTATACCCACTCTGACGCTTTGCCACGCAAGTTGTACATGGCATACGACACCATTCTGGTGTCGTCTTCGATGAGCTGCGCCACTCCACATTGCTAAACTGCTAATAGCCAGTGAACAATCGTGTGAGGGGTAGTTCCATCGAACTTCGGAGGATCCATCCGAATAGGCCTTGGCTGATTAGGCCGGGCAGAGAGCGTCTCAAAAGCTCTGTCGAGCGCCTCGTTCCGAGCTTGATCCACGCAAAACCTCATCCTGAGTCTTAGTGGACTCAGCCGTAGCTTGGCTGTTTACCTCGGACGCGTTTCTACGCTGTCCGAGCACAAACGCCTCAAATGGCTCTAACTGAGCAACATGTTGCTCAGGAGGACAATGCAAGAGGTTGACCAGGGCTTGTTTGCCGAATCCCTGCGCCATATGCTCTATGATGTTGGGAGAGGTGAGAGAAGTCACTCCAGTCCATGTTAAGGACCATCTTAACCACACGCACGCTCAGAGAGACGGGTCGTGGGAAGGACTACTCGTGCTACCAAGTGTAGACGGGCACTTCTACGAAGTTGCCTCGTGCTACCTAGCACACACCTTCAGCACAAGCGAAGAAGCGGTTAGACTGTCTTACCTTCGCGTGCGAGGGTGGTTGTGTGGTTGGTCGACTGCTTAAGCAGTCTTACCACCAGTTGCCTCTCGTTTAAGCGAGAGAGCAACGAACTTCTAAAACAAGAAGGCATCGACGTCACGCAGAAGCTTTTCCAGCTTCTCGTGCGGTGCTTCGGTGTTAGCAAATTCAAGACTGAGCTATATTTTAATGAATTAGAATTAAATATAAACTCTACTACTGATTGGCTATATATGTATATAGATCGGATACGCGACTCTTTAGAAGCGTATCCTGACGCATGAACTCGAATCTAAATTTAAGTTTGCGAATGACGTCCTTCTGAGACGTCGTGATGCCTAGCTTCAACTAGCGTCATCCCTTCCCATGTGAATCATCAATGGATATCACATTCACGATGGTGGATCACGTTTGTGTATCGCACCCAAGTGACAGGTCAAAAGTAATCATGAATACTTTTAAAACCTTACATTAAGTATATTATATAATGTTTGTGTGTAACTAGATGCCCTGTTACAACACCACCACACCGCTGTTCTGATTGTTTCGGAAGATTCTTGAGGCGTTTTCTACATTTAAAACTTGACTAGAGTATTGCGATATACAAGCGTAGCTTGAGGTCTCGTGTGTTGACATTAGCATTGCAGTGCATATCGGGATCTTTGTTTCTTATAGCGCCAACCTACGAGCGTTACTGAATAATTGCTTTCACACATAATTGACGACGTTGTGACGAACTAAGACGTTTGCCACTAAAGTTACCTAATACATATTAAACAAAAAGCGCAATCAATCTGTTGCAATAAAATTGCATGTGCTGTCGATAACCATCAGGCTTTTCAGACTTATCTTTATGACTGTGAGGTATTTTATAGCACCCATGGCTGAATTCTAAACCTTCGACTTATTATAAAAAGAGGCAAAAAGAGCACGAAAATGAAGCTAATTGTGAAAGGTGAGCAACAACAGATGAACCATTTCAGCTAGTTGTATCACCGTCTGTCTCGCTCACGGGATCAAGCTCGTAAATGCAGAAGCATGGATGTTGCCGTCGATATTGGTGGTTCGTTGTGCATAATGTTCTGCTGTCAACTAACTTCTACTCAGGAATCACCGCGAACAAGCCGCACCGTCTACTTGTTGAGCGGTTGAACCCTGATGGTAGCAATAATTAGCTTCAATCTGTCGAGTTCTCCAGATATAAAATTTGCTCCGTGTTGGTCTCTAGTTTCTTCTGCATCGCATTCGCAGCTACGCAGCAGAGTAGGGGCGGGATGACTCCTGGAGTCGAGTTGGAGGTGATGCATTGTCCGGCGAAGAAAGCAAATGCTCGCAATATTGCGAGTGTGTACAACTGTTAGCACAGACGTAACTGCCATGGGATGTAAGTCGGGATATCAGTCGCCGCCAATGCAAAGTGGAGCCATTAGGATCTGGAGACTGGACGTCTATTTTTTATTGTGTTTCAGATCGCGTTGCTGCCGGTGTAAATTCTATCGTTGATACATTAACGCTTCCTAGCGTTGACGCCTTCTTTTCACCCAGTTTTGGTGTTTTCGCCGACACTGTGTCGATTGCGAAGTCTCTAAAAACTCATGTGTAATAGTTGGCTCTGGAGCTGAATCTGCTTGAGTTGGATCTGTTGCTGACAAATTTGTTGTGCCCGACGTTGATTCACTTCCAAAGTCCGACGCTGAAGCCTCTGATGATGCATGTAAAGTTGGCGCTGGACTTGGTATTGTACCCACCGCTACACCAACTGTAGTGTCCACTCTTGATGACTCATCTGTGATACCTGGAGTCAGTGCTGGTGCTGATGCATCTTCAGACTGTGTTGCATTGCCCAATAAAGGCAAATCTTTAGCGAATGACGTCGATGTTGGCGTTGGCTTATAGACCAATGAGTCTACTGTGTCCAAAGTTGAAGCAGGAGTGGGCGCTGGCGTCGGTGCCGCGGTGGATTTGTCGGCTCCACACGCAAATAACTTTGTCACTTTTGTTACTTCCACACTCCAGCTTTCATCGTAGTCTTCGATTCCATCGAGTATGTCGGCGTTAATGCTTGAAGTCAATTCATCTTCGTCATAGTCCCAAGTCTCGCACTGAGTTGTCGGGGCTGCCGTTGTAGGAGTATTTCCACGGCATCCAAACGACGGAAATACGCAGCCCCACGTCGTGTCTGTCACAAATACGCACTTTGCGTCTTCAGGTGCCACGCAAGTGCCGTCATTATACGACACTAAATTTTCGATGCAGTGGGTGCTCGCTTTGTCTCCTTTTAACGGACAGGCCGTGCCTGGGGGAATGGGGTCAGCCGAAGCGCAGATCCAGCCTCGATTTTCGGGCAAGTCATACGTGGCATCACCGCAAACACTGACTTCCCAAGTAAATGTAGGCGTTGCGAGCACGCTTATCGTAGCGAGCGAGACCACGAGTCTCCTCATTTTCATATTTTTCGACAATTTTCGATGCGGCTCGAAAGTTCAGTAAATGCAATTCCGTCAGCCTTTTTACTAACGATTTCCGTTTTTAAGCAAATCGTGCACTGTCAATGGGCCCATTTACCGCAGCACTACGTTCACATCTGCGTGCTGCGCCGGGACGCGCGGCAAGGGTAAATGACATAACTTTCGCCCTTTTTGAAAAAAAACAATCGTTGAATATAAGACCGGCATAGTGCAGCATATGGCAAAACGTGTCTATTTAAGACACCATTTCGTTATATAAAGAAACGCTAAGCGTAGAAGTAGCAATTTGAAGCATTGCCCTTCAAAAGCTCAAAACTTTCAGCAAATGGTAATTATATGCTGGAGGCTTGCATTGTCATTCAAAGCGCAACAGAGTGTGTACTCAATGGCAGGTCCACAAACTAATTTAAAATCTGACTTTACGTGTGCGTACTTCAGCAATCAGTCAATCACGACCGGCAAGTTTAATGCGCGCGGAGACATTTTTGCGTATGCATTATCGTATGATTGGTGCATGGGCGCCGAAAAATACAACCAGAGTCAGCCTAGCGTCATTCGACTGCACAGTGTGGCCGAGGCGGAAATCAAGCAGAAGAAAAAACCAGGTACTGGGTCACGGAATTCGTTTTAGAAGCGCAAGCTACAAACCACGGGCTCCAGTAGCACATCCGTTGGGGCGTGGCTTTTGTGCGCATTTGATATGCGGCAATCCCTTGCTGTTTTTTGTCGCCAAGTTCCTCGACTTAATGTTTTGTTCTCGTCTTCTTGTTTGCGTTCGCTAGCCTCTAGATAAACTATTGATCGAACGCACTATCCCCACCGTTCGCGCTCGCCTCTGTTCGGCGCGTCAACAATCGACATTTGCTGCATATCGTAAGTGTCTAGCATTTTTGCGACAACAGGAACGGGTGCGAAAGCATATCGTTCAAAGGATAACAATATAATTGCTAAAACGCAATCAGTGTTTCTTCTGTATCTCGTTGCCTGACGCTTTCTTCATAAGAAATCATAACAATCATTCGAGTTGTTGGGGTTGCTCTTTATTGATTTGTCGAGTATATGCATGCGTTAACGGTGTTCAACGCTACTGATTCGTGCAATTAACGGCAAACAAGCAGTTGTTGTCCCAGCGCTCTATGTAGTATTGACCAATGTCTCGCCCGATATCTCGCCATTCTAGCCACTCTTTCTTCTCTTCAGTCGTCAAATGCGGAAACAGATCCACTTGCATATCGTGGTCGGTGTCCGCATTATGCAGCAGCACCGAGTCAAGATCTTGATCGTATTGCAGCCGCTCGTGCCCGCGCACAATCGCCATCTTGCGAATCGGGTTATTGCTGAAAACTACACGCTCGCCAAACGGAGCCTTGCGCTTGAGAGATCGACCCACCCCGTGCTGCAAAAAACCACCATCGGGGAGCCCCGTGATGTCGGCCAACGTGTTAAGTAGGTCGTAGTGTTCGGTAGCATCGTCGATTATGAGCCCGGCATATTTTCCTAACCGACCTTCGGCAATGATGGTGGCAGGCACCCGCGTCACCGACACATCACGCATGTCACTATTCACATACTCGACGCCTCGGCCGTGGTCACCAAATATAACCACGATAGTGTTGTTGAGAATTCCTTCTTGTTCCATACGGTCCATAAATTTACCCAACTCCATGTCGACAAAATACTGAATCTCCATGTAATTTTTGATCACATTTCTTCTATCATGGCCAGCGTAAAGAGCAGAAAAATCAGGTTTTTTCATGTCAGCGTACCATTTCGGACGCTGTCTGAACGGTTCGTGGCTAGAAACGGTGTACTGCATGAGAAACAAAGGCTTCTTGGGCTCACCTTTAGCCATACGCTCATTCTGCTCTTTCGTCTTGTTCACTAGCAAGTTACCCAGAAGTTGGAAGTTGAGGTCGTCGTGGACGCCCCAACCAAGCTGGCGCCATACAGGTCCTAGCCATTCATCAGGTCTAATACCCAGATCGCTTTCTGCTAACGCTTTCATTTGTTCAAAAGCATACACGGTTTCGAATCCATGCGCAGCTAGGAATATATTCCATTGGTCGTGTTCGAGTCCAGCTCCAGTCATAAAGAACGTTTCATACTCTTTAGCCAAGAAGAGTTGTGGCATGCCGGAAAGCTTGGTGTCGGCCCTCCCACCAGCTATTCCAGTTGTTACTTCATGGTTGTATGGAACCTGACCAAATAGCACGCTTTCCAGACAGCGACTTGAAGGATGACTCGACCACATGTTGCTAAAACTTATGCCTCGTTTTGCCCACTTGTCGAAACTTGGCGAGATCGTAATATTGGTGCCTTTGAATAGATTCGACGGGTCAGATTCTCCAACAAGATAACGCGAATTATGAAACCGCGCTGCCTCGAGAGCAATGAGGATGACGTTGGGTGGGTCGTCGCTGTCTATAGTGACGTTGAAAGCAAGATCTCCGCGGAAGCCCAAGGTGCGTCGAAAGAGCGAGTTCCCAAACAGTTCATGCTCCTCAGTTTGAGTGTGAATGAACGTTTTAGTCCACGGTCTCAAGCTACTTTGATTATATTTGCGTGTACTTACTGGCAGTAAAGCCTGCATGAGTACTTGATTAAGTGTCATGTTTAGCGCGGAGTACGCAACAAGAGCCGAGCTTGACCTGCTAACTCCCACTACAAAGAGTGGAAACGCAATCAAGGTTACAAAGAGAATGGCGATCTGCAATCGGCGTTTGTCGGGAGTAGTGAGTTTATTGACATAGTTTGTGTCAAAAGTCGTTGGCGTAACCGGTCGGTGTGAGGCATCTCCGATCGATTGAACCTTTTCATAGCTCTGCCCATTGTGTTGGATAGACTTTGTGGAAAACCGGCTTAATCGTAATGTAATAAAATTCACAACGAGATGCATTGGGTTCCAGTTCGACAGATCTGCCCAACGAGTCTTCGAGCGCACCGTTGCGATAAATGTGGCAGCGACTGCCATGAAAAACAAATGAAGAAATGCCGCGTGGAACTCCTCTTTTGAAATTGGTGCTTCACGAATAAAAGCCCTCTCATGGTAAGCATAAAGAAGAATATCCATCGAAAAGCGTAGCTGTTTATGCCGAACGAGGAGTATGTCACAAACAAAAGGCATCATCATGACAAAGGAGAGGGGCCACGACACGGCGAAGGTCACAATCCGGCTAGCAAGTCGTGCAAGACGTTTTTGCTTTTGAAAGTCAGCGTAATCTCGGCCACCTTGATACTTGAAATGCTTCTGAGTTGCTTGTTTCACAAGGTCAAAAGCCCACAAAGTAAAGACCAAGTAAGTGGTGCATACGAAATCTTCCATGAAACCAAGAGTTGTTACTTGAACCTTTGTTCCAAATGTATTGTCGTTGGCATCACCGTACATCAAAATCAAAGATCCGAGGTTATTCTGTCGATAAATGAAAAAAAACACGAGCATGAACGTGTACGTAAAGCACCACCCGAGCCACGGTTGCGTCCATATCTCTTGATCCATTGCGTTGTCGATATTATGATCGACTTTGTCATCATCTGCACGGGGATCTCCCATAAATTCATGCTGACCTTCTATTTCATCTTGATAAAGTAATGGTTTTTGACGTCTTTCCCCAACTCGGTGTTCCAACTCGCCCATAATTTTCTTTTGTAACAGGCTTAACTCTGAATATTTGACAATGAAAGGATGACGTGCGCAAGGAACACAAGATCGTACTTTGGATCTCAGAGCATCGAACACGTAATTTCTACGATTGTGCTAAAAAAGAGCCAGCTTCAGATGCAACAGCGGACAGAGACGGAGATTTCGACAGCGCCGGTGACGACACGCGTGGAACCAGTCTAAAAAGAGGCCTTCGTAAAATAATAATTTTCATAATACGATTGGATTGCTTATATTTGAGCGGCAACTAGCAGTTATTTTATACCTTATAAAATATTAGACCGTATAAATATATAAAACATCGGTGTCCTCAGAGTATAACTCCAGACAGGTTCTATTATAGCGCGTCAAATTTTCAGATCTCGAGCGACAACGAGAGTATCGTACCGAATGACTAGCTACTACACAAAAGCAGTATCACGCAATCTATTGCATTAGCGATGCGAAGCTCAAACTCTCCAATGGGTGTCTCTACAGTTTTGAAGGTAAGACACTGGCTTTTAGTTGATCCTATTTAAATTAGACAGAAAGACGGAACAAAGAAGACATACCAACTAATTATAAACTGCTAGAAATGCAATTTGGATGGCAATGGGCTGGCTATTCAAGGCCTTGGGTTCTTTACCAAGGAGGAATCTTAAAACAAACGATGTTAATGTCGTAGTGAGTAGAGTTCTGCTGCAGCAACCAGCAGTATACAAACTCATAATTGAGATGCAGTGCAGTACATTAAGCTACATTATCACTTTAATGATAGCTAATTATGCAAAGTGCCGCATTTAAAAAGTAGCGCACTTTTTCATGCTTTGTCAATGTAAAGCAGCATTGCCTGGTCCTTCTCATGATTCTGTCGTTTTGAATAGGCCTCTCTCTCTCCCTTATCTTCTTATATCTTGGCAAAAAATTTCCGCTCAGGAAGTTTAAGGGGAGCCATTCTATCTATGCATGAAATTTTTCACGTACCCAGGTAGCCAGCCAGTGCAAATCACGATAGACTGGGATGATCTACAATTGCGCGACGTTGGGCCTTCGGGTGCAGCGTTCGAGTATTGACTTTGTTATACATAATTTTAATTAATCTCATGAGGTACAAATGACTTGCACTAAAGTATACTGCCACTTACTTCACTTACTGTGTACTTGCAAAAAATACGGTCCGGACTTCTAATATTACCTTCTTAGCTGATAACCTGTCTTAACGGATAAACGCATCTAGTCACAAGGTGTCACTCGAGTCACATCTGCAATACCTAATTGCTGTATATAGCAAAGTAATGGTATAAATGCAGCCAGTTTGTAAGTACGTGTCCGCTTTTTAGCAACTAGTTTTGGGAGATAGATACCCTGTTGTAACAATTCGATCAATAGAAGAAGCTGATTATAAAACAATGTTAGACGAAGCTTACATTTGATACCTCTATATACCGATTTAGTTCTAGATCACCCGTCATTGTCGTAACTACTCATCACAAATTGACTACCGCCGTCGACATCACTCTTTCCATGGGCCGCTACTTTAGCTTCAGCCACGCAGTGGCGGTCGTTGCATTGGCGGTCGCACTCTCCTCGCCTTTTGCTTTGTCTTCTGATGTCGCTGAGGTTCATACCTCCGGTAGTAACGTCACTGTGTTGTGTTACTATCCCACTACCTTTTGTCTGACTTTGTTGCTCCTTGTAGACACCACCACGCCGTTATCGCCACTTTCTGAAGCTCTTCGACAGGTACAGACTGATAATGCGTCAGTACGAGACCTCAGCATTGCTGCGCTGTCCCCTTTAGTGCCTCCAGTCGAGCGCCGTGACGCGCTAGTACAGCTTGGAGACATGTATTTTTACGGTAACCACTCGCTGGCCACGCGTGTGAATGGCACGCTGGCCTTGAGTCTGTACGCTGAAGCGGCTGCTTTGGGGGCGCCAAGAGCGCAGTTTCACGTGGGTGTGGCGCTAAGCTACGGACTCTGGGGCTTCCCGCGTGATGAAGCCGCCGCTATTACGCGATATTACTTTGCGGCGCTGGATGGGGACATAGGCGCTTCAATGGCATTGGGACACAAACATTGGCTGGGAGTTGGTGTCCCGAAAAAGTGTGAATCGGCCGTGCGCTACTATGAAGTGGCAGCCAATGAAGCCGTGGCAAGACGCGAGCACAATATGAGCCATCCGGCCATCTACGACCTGCCACATCGCCGACTGAAAACGATAGTGGCAGCGCAACACAAGAAAAACTCGCCTGGCGACAGCGCGATCGTTGATTTCTATCAGTTTTCGGCCGACAAAGGCGATCCCGACGCTACACTAAACTTGGCAACGTTGTACTACTATGGCGCGCGTGGACTGACACAAGATTTGCAGCGTGCAGCAGTACTTTTTCGGAAAGCCTATGAGCTGGGATCTAGCGAAGGAGCGTATTACTTGGGACACATTCACAGTCTTGGGATTGGGACTCCGCAAAATAATGCCACCGCGCTCAAGTACCTGCAGGAGGCAGTAAATGAAGGCAACGCGGCAGCTCAAAATGAGCTGGCGCAAATGTATATGCTTGGAAAAGGTGTCAAGCCGGACAAGGAAAAGGCGGTGGATCTCTTCAGAGCTGCAGCTAGGCAAGGCAGCATGGAGGCGTTCTACAATCTGGGTGTCCTTCGCATGAAAGGTGAAGGCCCAAATGGTGCCACACTGTTGACGGAGTACCCTGAATATGAAGTCGCGCATGGGTATTTCCAGGTGGCTGCACACCAGGGCCACATGATTGCTAGTCACAAGCTTGGTCACATGAGTCTGCACGGTATCGGCACAACTCGCTCGTGCAAGAATGCAGTCGAGTCATTTAAAATGGTGGCGGAGCGTGGAGAATGGGATCGTGTGCTTACTCAGGCATACAAAGATTTTATGCGCCAGGACTACGAGGCTGCTTTCATGAAGTATGCTGTGATGGCACAGCAAGGCTACGAAATTGCTCAGCACAACGCTGCGTATCTGTTGGACAATGGTTTTTTAACACCATCGGCGTTTTCGCCGCTGTTGTCATGGACGCCCTCTGCTATGGATTTTGGGGAGAATGTTGTGACCTCTACTGCTGTGATGCTGTATAGGCTAGCAGCGCAACAAGGTAATGCGGACGCTAACCTGAAGATTGGCGACTATTACTATTATGGAAAAGGTGGCAATCGGGCGGACTTTGTTAAGGCTAGTGCGCACTATTCTCTTGCTGGCAAACAGTCTAACGCAGAGGCCATGTTTAACCTCGCGCTTATGTATGAACACGGAATTGGCGTAGACCAAGACTTTTACCTGGCCAAGCGTTTCTTTGATAAGGCACGTCAAGCGCACAGCGATGCCGGTGTGCCGGTAACGCTTGCACTGTGGAAGTTGCGAGTTCACAAGTCGCTTTACTCATGGAAGACGTGGTGGGACGAGTTTGTAGGCAACGTGCCGCCGTCCACAACGAGAGAACCGACTTCGTTGGTTTCATCGCTTCTTGCCGCGTCACGCAGCAAGAGGGACGTGGGTGACACAGAAGCGGAAGTGGACGCCTTTTTGTTTTCTTTGCTGGATGAGTGGTGGTGGCCTGACGGTGACACCCCGAGCGCGGATACTTTTTTGCACGGTATCTATAACAACTGGGGTGAGATGTTACAATCCGAAAATTTTCTTATCTTGGTATTGACGGTTGCCCTTGGCGTCGTTCTGTACATCCGCTCCAAGCGGCAATATTTACAAGCGCCGCCTCTGCAGCAGCAGCCACAGTAAGTCAAGTCAGTATAGAAGTAGATGACCAGGGTGAAAGCGACCGACTGAATAACTGTATGATTATTGCATTATCTGCTCATTTTGTTGCCCCTTTAATATGCCTGCATCGCTGTACCTGCTGAAAATTACACATCCGTTTTAAGCTACTGCTGCTGAAGCCATTCATGCTGGGCTTGTAGTGTAAATTTGACGCCGCCTATCTCGATCTCAACCTCCTGATGTCGCACTTCAGTGTCATCTGCACATTGTTGTTCGCGCTTGAGAATTTTCACATCATTTGATAAAGTATGCCACGTATTGTTATCCAAGTACATCGGTAAGCACAATGTAAAGTGCTGCTTGCTCCTCCCTTGAGCTATAAGCTTCAACTTGCGACGACAAATGCTCGTAAAAGGCCCAATATTACGGCTTGCAGCTCCACTAACAATAATCCACCCACCTGGACTGCAACACTGCAATGAAAGCTGCGTGCCACGTAGGAGTTTATGGTGATCATTGCGGAAAGGTCGACGAGAGCGTGTTGTGACACCAGAGTTATAGCCGTTGGTTAATTGAAAACGTTATGCATTGGTCGGCAAGGGGTCGGCGATAGCGAGTTGCTTTCGAGTCCGATGATGGATGCTGAGCCGTGATGGCAAAGGCGTTGAAGTACCACTACATTCTTCGTATACCGTTAGCGTTGTATCGGGATTCTTTCATAACCGAGATAGAAGCTAAATAAAATATGCGTCACACCAGAATTCTGACACAAGTCTGTATTGGCAAGTACCCTATCATGTCCATATCAAGCTAATCTATTGTATATCTCGATTACCGCATGCTTAAATTGTGAGCTCGCATACGTAGCGCCGACCAATTTTTTATGCGCTTGAGGAAATGTGTAGTGTAAGCGACGAGCTGGTTGATGTGAATGCGACTTCGCCACACCGGCTCACCATATTGACCCATGGCCAGTATATTTAGCTTATTTACTAATGCCAAGACCAGATATCTTATATTTCAAATCTATCTTTGCTTGATTCAACGTAAAGTTGATGACTTCTAACACAAAATTTGTAAGGGCATCCTGCTGTTCTTGCAGTTTCCGTCACAGGCTCGTCCGTCACGTCTTCTACAGCGCAGAAGCTCCGAATACTCGGCGAATTGGCGACAGTCTGTGTGTTGAGCTTGGCCTGGTGTAATGTTGTGGTATGGTGTGGTGTTGTGTTTTATATTTTAAACAAAATTTATGGTGTGGTGGACATAAGAGGTGGTACCCAGATTCAGACTCGGTGGGTAATTACCCATACACAGACTCATGGGTTGGGTATGGGTAATTAACTTTACCCAACCCACTTACCTATGGGTACCCGTTGGTACATGTACCAAATTTTCCGGGACATACATCAGAAACACCTTCTTTCTTCTTTACACTATACAATCAAAAATCAAATAATAAATCCGTCACCCATCACTTTTCATCTGACACACATTATTTAATGGAAGACATTCAGGACTTGTCTATTACTCCAATGGTCAGTGTTAGCTCGGTTGATTCAGTCACACAGGATGCAAACCGTACTGTGTCGGATGCTTCTGCTGGTTACAAAAATCTTGGACTACATTTACTTCATATTAAGAAAACCAGCCAGAAAAAACCAGAAATTGCCAGAGCAAAAAAGCAAATTGGTACAAATGCAGCAAATATTCAAGAAATTCCAAGTGTATTAAGGGCATCGGTACCTCCAACCTGATCAGACACCTACGGGAGCTACACCATATAAACTAAGATGGACCAATAACAGCCGAAAAAGTCGCCGATAATGAGATTTTTCTGGATTTGTTAACCTGAGCGGATGTTGACGGAGAGGCACTAAAGACGTACGTATAACAGATTTTTTCGGTGATGTATCAATGCAATACTCTTATTAGCTGCTAATTTGTACTCATTGTTTACAATAGGAGATACTTACGCAGGAATCTTTGAAACCTGTATTGTATGGTTTATTGCGGACGCAGATATTTCCTGGCAGGTTGTGGAGAGGAAACATTTACGGACCTTCTGAAATTATGTGATCCAAGGACTTTTGCAATGATGGCAAAGCGAAAGGCGCTTACCGAGCACGGATATAAGATGCATGTCCGGATGTTACAAAAGTTGGTGCAATGTGATCTGGAGAAATTACGCTATATTCACATTGTAGACGGGCACTTCTATGAAGTTGCCTCGTGCTACTTAGCACACACCTTCAGCACAAGCGAAGAAGCGTTCAGACCGTCTTACCTTCGCGTGCGAGGGTGGTTGTGTGGTTGGTCGACTGCTTAAGCAGTCGTACCACCATTTGCACTCTCGCTTAAGCGAGAGTGCAACGAACTTCTAAAACAAGAAGGCATCGACGTCACGCAGAAGCTTTTCCAGCTTCTCGTGTGTGTTAGCAAATTCAAGACTGAGCTATAATTAATGAATTAGAATTAAACATAAACCCTAACTACTGATTGGCTATATATGTATATAGATCGGATACGCGACTCTTTAGAAGCGTATCCTGACGCGTGAACTCGAATCTAAATTTAAGTTTGCGAATGACGTCCTTCTGAGACGTCGTGATGCCTAGCTTCAACTAGCGTCATCCCTTCCCATGTGAATCATCAATGGATATCACATTCACGATGGTGGATCACGTTTGTGTATCGCACCCAAGTGACAGGTCAAAAGTAATCATGAATACTTGTAAAACCTTACATTAAGTATATTATATAATGTTTGTGTGTAACTAGATGCCCTGTTACAACACCACCACACCGCTGTTCTGATTGTTTCGGAAGATTCTTGAGGCGTTTTCTACATTTAAAACTTGACTAGAGTATTGCGATATACAAGCGTAGCTTGAGGTCTCGTGTGTTGACATTAGCATTGCAGTGCATATCGGGATCTTTGTTTCTTATAGCGCCAACCTACGAGCGTTACTGAATAATTGCTTTCACACATAATTGACGACGTTGTGACGAACTAAGACGTTTGCCACTAAAGTTACCTAATACATATTAAACAAAAAGCGCAATCAATCTGTTGCAATAAAATTGCATGTGCTGTCGATAACCATCAGGCTTTTCAGACTTATCTTTATGACTGTGAGGTATTTTATAGCACCCATGGCTGAATTCTAAACCTTCGACTTATTATAAAAAGAGGCAAAAAGAGCACGAAAATGAAGCTAATTGTGAAAGGTGAGCAACAACAGATGAACCATTTCAGCTAGTTGTATCACCGTCTGTCTCGCTCACGGGATCAAGCTCGTAAATGCAGAAGCATGGATGTTGCCGTCGATATTGGTGGTTCGTTGTGCATAATGTTCTGCTGTCAACTAACTTCTACTCAGGCATCACCGCGAACAAGCCGCACCGTCTACTTGTTGAGCGGTTGAACCCTGATGGTAGAAATAATTAGCTTCAATCTGTCGAGTTCTCCAGATATAAAATTTGCTCCGTGTTGGTCTCTAGTTTCTTCTGCATCGCATTTGCAGCTACGCAGCAGAGTAGGGGCGGGATGACTCCTGGAGTCGAGTTGGAGGTGATGCATTGTCCGGCGAAGAAAGCAAATGCTCGCAATATTGCGAGTGTGTACAACTGTTAGCACAGACGTAACTGCCATGGGATGTAAGTCGGGATATCAGTCGCCGCCAATGCAAAGTGGAGCCATTAGGATCTGGAGACTGGACGTCTATTTTTATTGTGTTTCAGATCGCGTTGCTGCCGGTGTAAATTCTATCGTTGATACATTAACGCTTCCTAGCGTTGACGCCTTCTTTTCACCCAGTTTTGGTGTTTTCGCCGACACTGTGTCGATTGCGAAGTCTCTAAAAACTCATGTGTAATAGTTGGCTCTGGAGCTAAATCTGCTTGAGTTGGATCTGTTGCTGACAAATTTGTTGTGCCCGACGTTGATTCACTTCCAAAGTCCGACGCTGAAGCCTCTGATGATGCATGTAAAGTTGGCGCTGGACTTGGTATTTTACCCACCGCTACACCAGCTTTAGTGTCCACTCTTGATGACTCATCTGTGATACCTGGAGTCAGTGCTGGTGCTGATGCATCTTCAGACTGTGTTGCAGTGCCCAATAAAGGCGAATCTTTAGCGAATGATGTAACAGGACATCTAGTTACACGCAAACATTATTTAATATACTTAATGTTTGGTCTAAAAGTATCCATGACTTCTTTTGATCTGTCACTTGGGTGCGATACACAAACGTGATCCACCCTCGTAGATGTGATATCCATTGATGGATTTACATGAGAAGGGATGACGCTAGTTGAAGCTAGGCATCGCGACGTCTCCGAAGGACGTCATTCGCAAGCTTAAATCTAGATTTAAGCTCATGCGTCAGGATACGCTTCTAAAGAGTCGCGTATCCGATCTATATACATATATAGCCAATCAGTAGTTAGGGTTTATGTTTAATTCTAATTCATTAATTATAGCTCAGTCTTGAATTCAATAACACATACGCACCACGCACGAGAAGCTGGAAAAGCTTCTGCGTGACGTCGGTAACTTCTTGTTTAAAAGTTCGTTGCTCTCTCGCTTAAGCGAGAGGCAATTGGTGGTACGACTGCTTAAGCAGTCGACCAACCACACAACCACCCTCGCACGCGAAGGTAAGACGGTCTGAACGCTTCTTCGCTTGTGCTGAAGGTGTGTGCTAGGTAGCACGAGGCAACTTCGTAGAAGTGCCCGTCTACACTTGGTAGCACGAGTAGTCCTTCCCACGACCCGTCTCTCTGAGCGTGCGTGTGGTTAAGATGGTCCTTAACATGGACTGAAGTGACTTCCCTCACCTCTCCCAACATCATAGGGAGTTGGCAGAGCATATGGCGCAGGGACATGGTGAACAAGCCCTGGTCAACCTCTTGCATTGTCCTCCTGAGCAACATGTTGCTCAGTTGGAGCCATTTGAGGCGTTTGTGCTCGGACAGCGTAGAAACGCGTCCGAGGTAAACAGCCAAGCTACGGCTGAGTCCACTAAGACTCAGGATGAGGTTTTGCGTGGATCAAGCTCGGAACGAGGCGCTCGACAGAGCTTTTGAGACGCTCTCTGCCCGGCCTGCTCAACCGAGGCCCATTAGGATGGACCCTCCGAAGTTCGATGGAACTAGCCCTCACACGATTGTTCACTGGCTATAAGCAGTTGAGCAATGTGGAGTGGCACAGCTCATTGAAGACGACACCAGAATGGTGTCGTATGCCATGTACAACTTGCGTGGCAAAGCGTCAGAGTGGGTATACTCTGCGCTGATGGCAAATGCTGATGCGTTTCCATCATGGGCGATCTTTAAGACAAAGATTCGCGCCATGTATCAGCCGCCTAACAACGAAGTGTTGCTTATGGCGCTCTTCTTTGGAGCACGACAGGCGAAACGCTCTTTGCAAGAATTTTGTGCAGGAGATGCGTTCGCTGTCGGCGTCCATCAATGGGGAACCGATACCAGAACGTATCAAGGTGGCCACGTTCATGAATGGACTTAGGCACGGCCCATCGTGTCAGGCCCTTTTCAGAAAGGTGCCAGCGACGATGGAAGAGGCAATTGACATTGCCTTAGTTGAGGAGCAATCCTACAACAGCGCCTCGGCGACAGCCTATTACAGGCCATCGTCCGAGAAGTCTAATGCCACTCCATGGAGTTAGTCGATGCAGATGTGATCTACTACAAGTGCGGCAAGCGAGGCAGTATGATGACTTGCCGCTATGTCAAAGTTGCTGCTGGTGCTAAGGCAGCAAGCAAAAGGTCTCCCAACCCGAAGGGAGGTGCGAAAAACCAGCGTGCACGACGCACGGGTTCAGCACCTGCCCAAGATGGGTCGGAAAAAAAATGCGGGAGCGCAGTAGGGGCGGGATGTCCTACTGTCACGGACTCTGAAGCTACCCCTAAGTTCAGAGTGATCGAACAAATGGGTAGCATAGTCCCTGAGGTTCCTAAAGGTAGGACCTCAACCCTTTTGGTCTATAGCGCTCGAGTACGAGGCTATGACCAAGTGATGATCCTTCTAGTTGATTCGGGTGCATCACAAAACGTTGTGAAACTCGCGGCTCTGAAAAAGAGTCCGGCGAGTTATGAGTCGCTTTGCCAGGATGGCAAGCGAGAAGAGGCGATCGTTCGTTTAGCGAACGGCGCGCTCGGTAAATCGGAGGGAGTTCAAGTTGAACTTGTCTTCAGTTTCAGTGACTTCTCTTGTAAAGAGAAGTTCACAGTGCTAGGTATGGAGAGTCCGTATGAACTCATCTTAGGCATGCCTTGGCTGGCTAAACACCAACCATGGATAGACTGGACACCGGAAAGGATGTGCTCTTGCGAGAGGCTTATGTGGCTGATGTTATGTCCAACACAGTCGAGGGTGCGATGACGGTATGTCAATCGACACCAGGAACTACCCAGCTCGAAAGGAGTGGTGTAGTTAAAAGTGCCCTGACAGAAAGTTAGGTGACACATATTCCTACCCAGGTCGAAATGACTGGTGTAGTGAATGGGACGATGACAGGTAGTCATGCGTCCAATAGTCCTGCACAGAGCCGAGAGCCTGTGGCAGTTGATGGTGGGCTGACAGGAAGTCAAGCGCCACAAGAACCGGCACAGAGCCAAGAGCCTGGTGCGGTTGGAAGGAGTGCGTTAGCTGAGATAGCAACGACACCTTCTTCCAGGTCAAAGGTCGTGGTGACTCGAAGAACGAGAACCAGACGTATTAAGACGATCAAGGGCACGTCGAAACGAGTGACCCTTGGATCAGTCTCGGTCCAAGAGGACGGACCTACGAACGAGTTGTTCGAGGCCGTCGAAGACAAAATGCTGGAGGCATCCTCAGTTGAGGTGCTCCAACTTGTCTTGGCATCTGCCGAGGAGATAGTAAATCTCTCGGAGATGACGTGGGATCTGTTCCTGTCCGAACTAAAGGAAGGAAAGATCCACGAGATAGTCGCACCAGTTCCAGAAGAGAACGTGATGGACTGTTGCTCGTCGTCCACAATGGACGAGAGCGTTTTGGAGACCGACAAAAAGAAACGGTATGCTGCTCAAGGCTGGGATGCCTTGAAGGACAGCCCGTTCTATGATGTTCTGTGGAAACACCGTGATGTGTTTCCAGCAGAAGTGTCGAGCCGCCTACCGGCCAATAGGGGCATCAGGCACGAGATTGACCTGGAGCCTGGCACCAAGTATTGTGTGACCAGGCAATGGCCGCTGCCGAAGGAACAAGTCGATTACATCGATGAGTTCTTCGACAAGCGAGCTAAGGCGGGACATGTACGTGAGAGCAAGTCGCCTCACTGCAGCCCGACCTTCTGTGTGCGTAAAGCAACAGGTGGATGGCGCGTGGCTCATGCTTATAATAAGCTGAACACGACCACCATTCCGGCTCAAACGCCGATCCCGCGGAAAGATGTATTGTTGAATTCCATGGGAAAGTCAACTATCTTTTCCGCGTTGGATCTGAAAGTTGGCTACTATCAAGTTCTCGTGAAGATACTGATGTAGCGAAAACGGCAGTAAGCACCCCAAGCGGTATGCTGTGGGAGTGGCTTGCGATACCACAAGGGTTGAAAAATGCTCCGGCAACATTCAACTGAGTGGTGGCTTACGTGATGCGTCAGCACCGTGCCTACGCGCCCCATTACTTTGACGATGTATTCGTGCATAGTAGGGCGGAGGACGGTCTGAGCGCGATAGAGTCGCACAAGCGTCATTTAGACGCTGTGTTGCCGACTCTGGGTGACGCCCAATTATACGTTAACTTGCAAAAGTGCGTAATAGAGGTCCCCGAGATACCGGTGCTAGGCTGCAGCGTAGGTATACATGGTGTACGAGCAGACCCAGAAAAGGTAAAAGCTGTAAAGGAATGGCCAGTCCCACGACATGTGAAGGATCTGCGCCAATTCCTTGGGATCGCTAATTACTTGCATAAGTACAGCAAGAATTATGCGGAGCAGACCAAGCCATTGTCTAACCTTTTGAAAAAGGATACAGAATGGACTTGTTCAAAGGAACAAGAAGATGTGTTCACTTCAGTGAAGCAATCTCTTGTAGAGGCACCGATTTTGGCATTGCCAGACGCGGATAAGTCCTTTATCGTCGTCTGCGATGCAAGCAATTTTGCAATCGGCAGCGCGCTCATGCAGAAGGATGACAACGGCATTGAACGTGTCATTTCTTATCAGTCTCGGCTTTTAAAAGCTGCAGAGCTGAATTACCCTGTGCATGAGAAGGAGCTACTTTCAATTAAGTATGCCCTTGTAAAGTTTCGGGTGCACCTCTTGGGCACCGGACCATTTGTGGTTTATACGGATCATATATCACTGCGGACCTCCATAAATTCACCGCATGTATCGTCTAGAATGGCGAGATGGCTGACATTCTTCTCTGAATTTAATTTCAAAGTTGAATATAAGCCGGGTAAGTCGAATGTCTTGGCTGACGCATTATCGCACAGACCAGACTTCGAGGCAAGACACCAGGAAAGTGTGTCTCGTGCGAAAGCACAAGTTGAGTCGTCAACATTGGCAGCCATGAAGGCCTACCATGTGACGAGTTCAATGGCCTCCGATATCTGGCGACAAGGTTCGTCCTGACTGTAGCCCAAGGAGGGCTACAGTCAGGACGAACCTTGTCGCCTACTGTTGGATCATTTTGATGGAGGAAAGTTTAGCCTTCCGTCGTACCTGAAAGCGAAACTAAATCGCTTTAGTTGCAGTGGTGGCCTGTTATGGCATCAACTGTCACCCTGTGATCCCTTGAGAATCTATGTCCATCATGACACAAATCTCAAGCTGATGATACTTCACGAATGCCATGATGCGCCATTTAGTAAGCATCTGGGCCGTGAAAAGAAATTCTTACGAGTGTCAGAGGAATTTTGGTGGCCCCACCTATCTCGGTGGGTGGCCAACTATATTCGCTCTTGCGAAGAATGTCAGCGCATAAAGCATGCACCTTCTAGCAGTGCACCACTGAAGCCACTGCCGATATTAACGGATTGTTGGAAGTCGGTCAGTTTGGACTTCATGTTTGTCTTACCGCCTGACCATAAAGGCAGGACGGGGCTCGTTGTCTTTGTAGACAGACTGAGCAAGATGGTGCGTTAAGCACCATGTAGCACCAAGATCTCAGGAAAAGAGGCTGCCCTCTTGTTTCTCAATCACGTGTACAGACTACACGGGATGCCCGAGTTCATAGTATCGGACCGGGCTCCGCGTTTTACGTCGGGTTTTTGGCGACATGTGTTTGAGCTGCTGGGAAGCAGCTCCACATGTTAACAGCCGATCATCCCCAAACTGATTTCCAAACAGAATGGGCCAATCGAGTCGTGGCGGATGTGTTGCGTACAGTAGCGACTCCTAAAGAATGGAGCAAGCAATTGCCATTCGTGAAGCTCGCTATTAATAATAGTGTTCACGCCAGTACGGGTGAAACACCGTTTTACATTAACGGACTGCGTCATCCTCGAACGCCAATCTCGTTTGTACGCAGCCCGAGTCTTAGTGGGGGAGGGCCCCTCACTTCGCTCGGTGCGAATGCCAAAGAGGGCCCAGGTTGGCCTAGTGACACTGCTAATTTAGCAATGGTCACGACACCTATAGGTGTCACAGAGAAGGCACGGCAAGATGTGCCAGTGCTCCTTGACGATGACACTATAGTGTTATCAACAGCTTCGACCCATGAACGACCTCTTGGAGGCGTCAAAGGCGAGCTGGATGCTAAAAGCGTGATTGAACTCAGCGCTTTGTGGATGAGTGATTAGCCATCACACGTAAAGCCCGTGACGCGATGGCAAGCGCACAGGACAAGCAAAAACAATATGCGGACCAACATGGTCGCAAAAACAATGAACACTTTAGTGTGGGGGACAAAGTGCTATTAAGTACTGCTACCCTACCTAAACATGCAATTTCTGTACTACCTGGTGGTACTACTAAACTATTGACCCGATTCATTGGACCCTTTACAGTGGTTGAAGAAGTTTGAGACCTAAACTATAGGCTCACTCTCCCACCGTATATAGACGCACCCCGTATTTTACGTGGGTCGTCTGAAACAGTATCTTGATCCAGAAATGATCACATATCCACATTGGTCTAACGAGACCGATGGTGACGTCGACTATGAGTCGAGCGGCGCGGCCGATCAGGAGACGAGGAAGCCGACAGGCTCACCGTATACGAACGAGGCGATAGAGGACTCGGCGATCGAGGAAGACTCCGCGCTTGACGCTGGTCTCTCATCACCAGTCGCTCTAGGATGTCCAAACGGGTCTTCAGGCGGTCATACCCCTGACGGTCCCTCGCCCTCACATCGCGCAGATCCGAGGTCAGTCGCGAGACTTGATTCTCGAGATCTGTCACCTGCCTCTTCAGTCCAGCAGACTCAGCCGCGACTGAACAGCAGCAGGGTAGGCAGCCGCGAGTAGGTGGGCGTAATCGCCACTCCTATCGGGCGCCACCTGTGTTGGTGGACACGGAAGGGAATACGCGCTTCCTTGTTGGAAGGCTGTTAGCCCACCGGTTTGTGAAGCGAAAGCTCCAAATCCTTGTCCAGTGGAAGGGTTACCCAACGAGCTTTGACTCGTGGGAGCCTGTGGACGCTTTGCGCGTCGATGTGCCTGGGCTGGTGGATGCTTATGTGAAGCAGCACCAGCTGTCGTCTTTCTGCTAGGTCCGGAAGGACTAGCAGAAAAAGCGTGGCGAGAATCAATTGGGGGTCGCTTAACACCCAAGATTTCATGCGCACGCTTCATGGCGAAGCTGATTCGCTGCGATCGTTGTTTCGTTGCATCTACATGCAAGGTAACACGGCGCCGAAGTTCAGCTTCGTATTCGTCGGCTGTTTCGTTAGAACGCAGCACGACTGGAATTAAGAAAGCACGACCAAGTGCTTTGCCCTGCTTTTCACACGGGAAAGACGCTATGAAATTTATGAGCTTCTATAGTTGCACGCTGCAAAAGCGCTGCACTAGACCCATCTGAGTTCATCCACTCAAATGGAGGTGGCATTGGTGGCAAGCCACCACTCACGTAGCCGCCCTCGCGACGGTGGGATAGTGAGTCCGAAGGTGTACTCGGTGGAGCTTTAAGCTCACACTCACCTGAGTCTGACTCTCCTTTATGCATCAGCTTGAGAAGTTACATCTAATTGAGTCGCGACTGCTTTTTTTGGAGTAGCGCGCTCATTCTTAGTCGCTGCGCTCGTAGGCGCAGGCGACGAGGTCTTACCTTCGCTTGCAGGAAGCATACAAGCTTCCTCAAGGACGGGTGCCTCAAATGATGGGGACATATGTCCCATTAACGCGCTTTGCTCATATCCACTTCGGGGTGATGGGAATGGCGTGCTCTTATTGTAGTCTACAATGAGAGATGGATCTTCATCCACATTATAGTGAGAAGGAAGATTCGTCTCACTGCCTGAAGCACTTTGCGACGGCTGCGAATCATCGCGGCGCGTGCGCTTCGAGTTGCACTGCATGGCGCCTTTGCAGCGACCCATCAGCCTTACCACATTTCGGTGGCATGAGTACTGAGCAGACTAAAGCGGCGCGTTTAAAACGGCTCGCAAGTCTCTCTGTCTCTTAGGCGATGTTTTACAAAATGTAAACATCGTTCTAAAACGGGGGATGGTGTAACAGGACATCTAGTTACACGTAAACCTTAAGTAATATACTTATTGTTTGGTCTAAAAGTATCCATGATTACTTTTGACCTGTCACTTGGGTGCGATACACAAACGTGATCCACCCTCGTAGATGTGTTATCCATTGATGGATTTACATGAGAAGGGATGACGCTAGTTGAAGCTAGGCATCGCGACGTCTCCGAAGGACGTCATTCGCAAACTTAAATCTAGATTTAAGCTCATGCGTCAGGATACGCTTCTAAAGAGTCGCGTATCCGATCTATATACATATATAGCCAATCAGTAGTTAGGGTTTATGTTTAATTCTAATTCATTAATTATAGCTCAGTCTTGAATTTGCTAACACCGAAGCACCACACACGAGAAGCTGGAAAAGCTTCTGCGTGACGTCGATGCCTTCTTGTTTTAGAAGTTCGTTGCACTCTCGCTTAAGCGAGAGTGCAAATGGTGGTACGACTGCTTAAGCAGTCGACCAACCACACAACCACCCTCGCACGCGAAGGTAAGACGGTCTGAACGCTTCTTCGCTTGTGCTGAAGGTGTGTGCTAAGTAGCACGAGGCAACTTCATAGAAGTGCCCGTCTACAATGTGAATATAGCGTAATTTCTCCAGATCACATTGCACCAACTTTTGTAACATCCGGACATGCATCTTATATCCGTGCTCGGTAAGCGCCTTTCGCTTTGCCATCATTGCAAAAGTCCTTGGATCACATAATTTCAGAAGGTCCGTGAATGTTTCCTCTCCACAACCTGCCAGGAAATATCTGCGTCCGCAATAAACCATACAATACAGGTTTCAAAGATTCCTGCGTAAGTATCTCCTATTGTAAACAATGAGTACAAATTAGCAGCTAATAAGAGTATTGCATTGATACATCACCGAAAAAATCTGTTATACGTACGTCTTTAGTGCCTCTCCGTCAACATCCGCTCAGGTTAACAAATCCAGAAAAATCTCATTATCGGCGACTTTTTCGGCTGTTATTGGTCCATCTTAGTTTATATGGTGTAGCTCCCGTAGGTGTCTGATCAGGTTGGAGGTACCGATGCCCTTAATACACTTGGAATTTCTTGAATATTTGCTGCATTTGTACCAATTTGCTTTTTTGCTCTGGCAATTTCTGGTTTTTTCTGGCTGGTTTTCTTAATATGAAGTAAATGTAGTCCAAGATTTTTGTAACCAGCAGAAGCATCCGACACAGTACGGTTTGCATCCTGTGTGACTGAATCAACCGAGCTAACACTGACCATTGGAGTAATAGACAAGTCCTGAATGTCTTCCATTAAATAATGTGTGTCAGATGAAAAGTGATGGGTGACGGATTTATTATTTGATTTTTGATTGTATAGTGTAAAGAAGAAAGAAGGTGTTTCTGATGTATGTCCCGGAAAATTTGGTACATGTACCAACGGGTACCCATGGGTAAGTGGGTTGGGTAAAGTTAATTACCCATACCCAACCCATGAGTCTGTGTATGGGTAATTACCCACCGAGTCTGAATCTGGGTACCACCTCTTATGTCCACCACACCATAAATTTTGTTTAAAATATAAAACACAACACCACACCATACCACAACATTACACCAGGCCAAGCTCAACACACAGACTGTCGCCAATTCGCCGAGTATTCGGAGCTTCTGCGCTGTAGAAGACGTGACGGACGAGCCTGTGACGGAAACTGCAAGAACAGCAGGATGCCCTTACAAATTTTGTGTTAGAAGTCATCAACTTTACGTTGAATCAGGCAAAGATAGATTTGAAATATAAGATATCTGGTCTTGGCATTAGTAAATAAGCTAAATATACTGGCCATGGGTCAATATGGTGAGCCGGTGTGGCGAAGTCGCATTCACATCAACCAGCTCGTCGCTTACACTACACATTTCCTCAAGCGCATAAAAATTGGTCGGCGCTACGTATGCGAGCTCACAATTTAAGCATGCGGTAATCGAGATATACAATAGATTAGCTTGATATGGACATGATAGGGTACTTGCCAATACAGACTTGTGTCAGAATTCTGGTGTGACGCATATTTTATTTAGCTTCTATCTCGGTTATGAAAGAATCCCGATACAACGCTAACGGTATACGAAGAATGTAGTGGCACTTCAACGCCTTTGCCATCACGGCTCAGCATCCATCATCGGACTCGAAAGCAACTCGCTATCGCCGACCCCTTGCCGACCAATGCATAACGTTTTCAATTAACTAACGGCTATAACTCTGGTGTCACAACACGCTCTCGTTGACCTTTCCGCAATGATCACCATAAACTCCTACGTGGCACGCAGCTTTCATTGCAGTGTTGCAGTCCAGGTGGGTGGATTATTGTTAGTGGAGCTGCAAGCCGTAATATTGGGCCTTTTACGAGCATTTGTCGTCGCAAGTTGAAGCTTATAGCTCAAGGGAGGAGCAAGCAGCACTTTACATTGTGCTTACCGATGTACTTGGATAACAGTACGTGGCATACTTTATCAAATGATGTGAAAATTCTCAAGCGCGAACAACAATGTGCAGATGACACTGAAGTGCGACATCAGGAGGTTGAGATCGAGATAGGCGGCGTCAAATTTACACTACAAGCCCAGCATGAATGGCTTCAGCAGCAGTAGCTTAAAACGGATGTGTAATTTTCAGCAGGTACAGCGATGCAGGCATATTAAAGGGGCAACAAAATGAGCGGATAATGCAATAATCATACAGTTATTCAGTCGGTCGCTTTCACCCTGGTCATCTACTTCTATACTGACTTGACTTACTGTGGCTGCTGCTGCAGAGGCGGCGCTTGTAAATATTGCCGCTTGGAGCGGATGTACAGAACGACGCCAAGGGCAACCGTCAATACCAAGATAAGAAAATTTTCGGATTGTAACATCTCACCCCAGTTGTTATAGATACCGTGCAAAAAAGTATCCGCGCTCGGGGTGTCACCGTCAGGCCACCACCACTCATCCAGCAAAGAAAACAAAAAGGCGTCCACTTCCGCTTCTGTGTCACCCACGTCCCTCTTGCTGCGTGACGCGGCAAGAAGCGATGAAACCAACGAAGTCGGTTCTCTCGTTGTGGACGGCGGCACGTTGCCTACAAACTCGTCCCACCACGTCTTCCATGAGTAAAGCGACTTGTGAACTCGCAACTTCCACAGTGCAAGCGTTACCGGCACACCGGCATCGCTGTGCGCTTGACGTGCTTTATCAAAGAAACGCTTGGCCAGGTAAAAGTCTTGGTCTACGCCAATTCCGTGTTCATACATAAGCGCGAGGTTAAACATGGCCTCTGCGTTAGACTGTTTGCCAGCAAGAGAATAGTGCGCACTAGCCTTAACAAAGTCCGCCCGATTGCCACCTTTTCCATAATAGTAATAGTCGCCAATCTTCAGGTTAGCGTCCGCATTACCTTGTTGCGCTGCTAGCCTATACAGCATCACAGCAGTAGAGGTCACAACATTCTCCCCAAAATCCATAGCAGAGGGCGTCCATGACAACAGCGGCGAAAACGCCGATGGTGTTAAAAAACCATTGTCCAACAGATACGCAGCGTTGTGCTGAGCAATTTCGTAGCCTTGCTGTGCCATCACAGCATACTTCATGAAAGCAGCCTCGTAGTCCTGGCGCATAAAATCTTTGTATGCCTGAGTAAGCACATGATCCCATTCTCCACGCTCCGCCACCATTTTAAATGACTCGACTGCATTCTTGCACGAGCGAGTTGTGCCGATACCGTGCAGACTCATGTGACCAAGCTTGTGACTAGCAATCATGTGGCCCTGGTGTGCAGCCACCTGGAAATACCCATGCGAGACTTCATATTCAGGGTACTCCGTCAACAGTGTGGCACCATTTGGGCCTTCACCTTTCATGCGAAGGACACCCAGATTGTAGAACGCCTCCATGCTGCCTTGCCTAGCTGCAGCTCTGAAGAGATCCACCGCCTTTTCCTTGTCCGGCTTGACACCTTTTCCAAGCATATACATTTGCGCCAGCTCATTTTGAGCTGCCGCGTTGCCTTCATTTACTGCCTCCTGCAGGTACTTGAGCGCGGTGGCATTATTTTGCGGAGTCCCAATCCCAAGACTGTGAATGTGTCCCAAGTAATACGCTCCTTCGCTAGATCCCAGCTCATAGGCTTTCCGAAAAAGTACTGCTGCACGCTGCAAATCTTGTGTCAGTCCACGCGCGCCATAGTAGTACAACGTTGCCAAGTTTAGTGTAGCGTCGGGATCGCCTTTGTCGGCCGAAAACTGATAGAAATCAACGATCGCGCTGTCGCCAGGCGAGTTTTTCTTGTGTTGCGCTGCCACTATCGTTTTCAGTCGGCGATGTGGCAGGTCGTAGATGGCCGGATGGCTCATATTGTGCTCGCGTCTTGCCACGGCTTCATTGGCTGCCACTTCATAGTAGCGCACGGCCGATTCACACTTTTTCGGGACACCAACTCCCAGCCAATGTTTGTGTCCCAATGCCATTGAAGCGCCTATGTCCCCATCCAGCGCCGCAAAGTAATATCGCGTAATAGCGGCGGCTTCATCACGCGGGAAGCCCCAGAGTCCGTAGCTCAGCGCCACACCCACGTGAAACTGCGCTCTTGGCGCCCCCAAAGCAGCCGCTTCAGCGTACAGACTCAAGGCCAGCGTGCCATTCACACGCGTGGCCAGCGAGCGGTTACCGTAAAAATACATGTCTCCAAGCTGTACTAGCGCGTCACGGCGCTCGACTGGAGGCACTAAAGGGGACAGCGCAGCAATGCTGAGGTATCTTACTGACGCATTATCAGTCTGTATCTGTCGAAGAGCTTCAGAAAGTGGCGATAACGGCGTGGTGGTGTCTACAAGGAGCAACAAAGTCAGACAAAAGGTAGTGGGATAGTAACACAACACAGTGACGTTACTACCGGAGGTATGAGCCTCAGCGACATCAGAAGACAAAGCAAAAGGCGAGGAGAGTGCGACCGCCAATGCAACGACCGCCACTGCGTGGCTGAAGCTAAAGTAGCGGCCCATGGAAAGAGTGATGTCGACGGCGGTAGTCAATTTGTGACGAGTAGTTACGACAATGACGGGTGATCTAGAACTAAATCGGTATGTACAGGTATCAAATGTAAGCTTCGTCTAACATTGTTTTATAATCAGCTTCTTCTATTGATCAAATTGTTACAACAGGGTATCTATCTCCCAAAACTAGCTGCTAAAAAGCGGACACGTACTTACAAACTGGCTGCATTTATACCATTACTTTGCTATATACAGCAATTAGGTATTGCAGATGTGACTCGAGTGACACCTTGTGACTAGATGCGTTTATCCGTTAAGACAGGTTATCAGCTAAGAAGGTAATATTAGAAGTCCGGACCGTATTTTTTGCAAGTACACAGTAAGTGAAGTAAGTGGCAGTATACTTTAGTGCAAGTCATTTGTACCTCATGAGATTAATTAAAATTATGTATAACAAAGTCAATACTCGAACGCTGCACCCGAAGGCCCAACGTCGCGCAATTGTAGACCATCCCAGTCTATCGTGATTTGCACTGGCTGGCTACTTGGGTACGTGAAAAATTTCATGCATAGATAGAATGGCTCCCCTTAAACTTCCTGAGCGGAAATTTTTTGCCAAGATATAAGAAGATAAGGGAGAGAGAGGCCTATTCAAAACGACAGAATCATGAGAAGGACCAGGCAATGCTGCTTTACATTGACAAAGCATGAAAAAGTGCGCTACTTTTTAAATGCGGCACTTTGCATAATTAGCTATCATTAAAGTGATAATGTAGCTTAATGTACGGCGCTGCATCTCAATTATGAGTTTGTATACTGCTGGTTGCTGCAGCAGAACTCTACTCACTACGACATTAACATCGTTTGTTTTAAGATTCCTCCTTGGTAAAGAACCCAAGGCCTTGAATAGCCAGCCCATTGCCATCCAAATTGCATTTCTAGCAGTTTATAATTAGTTGGTATGTCTTCTTTGTTCCGTCTTTCTGTCTAATTTAAATAGGATCAACTAAAAGCCAGTGTCTTACCTTCAAAACTGTAGAGACACCCATTGGAGAGTTTGAGCTTCGCATCGCTAATGCAATAGATTGCGTGATACTGCTTTTGTGTAGTAGCTAGTCATTCGGTACGATACTCTCGTTGTCGCTCGAGATCTGAAAATTTGACGCGCTACAATAGAACCTGTCTGGAGTTATACTCTGAGGACACCGATGTTTTATATATTTATACGGTCTAATATTTTATAAGGTATAAAATAACTGCTAGTTGCCGCTCAAATATAAGCAATCCAGTCGTATTATGAAAATTATTATTTTACGAAGGCCTATTTTTAGACTGGTTCCACGCGTGTGGTCACCGGCGCTGTCGAAATCTCCGTCTCTGTCCGCTGTTGCATCTGAAGCTGGCTCTTTTTTTAGCACAATCGTAGAAATTACGTGTTCGATGCTCTGAGATCGTGTTCGATGCTCTTCGATCCAAAGTACGATCTTGTGTTCCTTGCGCACGTCATCCTTTCATTGTCAAATATTCAGAGTTAAGCCTGTTACAAAAGAAAATTATGGGCGAGTTGGAACACCGAGTTGGGGAAAGACGTCAAAAACCATTACTTTATCAAGATGAAATAGAAGGTCAGCATGAATTCATGGGAGATCCCAGTGCAGATGATGACAAAGTCGATCATAATATCGACAACGCAATGGATCAAGAGATATGGACGCAACCGTGGCTCGGGTGGTGCTTTACGTACACGTTCATGCTCGTGTTTTTTTTCATTTATCGACAGAATAACCTCGGATCTTTGATTTTGATGTACGGTGATGCCAACGACAATACATTTGGAACAAAGGTTCAAGTAACAACTCTTGGTTTCATGGAAGATTTCGTATGCACCACCTACTTGGTCTTTACTTTGTGGGCTTTCGACCTTGTGAAACAAGCAATTCAGAAGCATTTCAAGTATCAAGGTGGCCGAGATTACGCTGACTTTCAAAAGCAAAAACGTCTTGCACGACTTGCTAGCCGGATTGTGACCTTCGCCGTGTCGTGGCCCCTCTCCTTTGTCATGATGATGCCTTTTGTTTGTGACATACTCCTCGTTCGGCATAAACAGCTACGCTTCTCGATGGATATTCTTCTTTATGCTTACCATGAGAGGGCTTTTATTCGTGAAGCACCAATTTCAAAAGAGGAGTTCCACGCGGCATTTCTTCATTTGTTTTTCATGGCAGTCGCTGCCACATTTATCGCAACGGTGCGCTCGAAGACTCGTTGGGCAGATCTGTCGAACTGGAACCCGATGCATCTCGTTGTGAATTTTACTACATTACGATTAAGCCGGTTTTCCACAAAGTCTATCCAACACAATGGGCAGAGCTATGAAAAGGTTCAATCGATCGGAGATGCCTCACACCGACCGGTTACGCCAACGACTTTTGACACAAACTATGTCAATGAACTCACTACTCCCGACAAACGCCGATTGCAGATCGCCATTCTCTTTGTAACCTTGATTGCGTTTCCACTCTTTGTAGTGGGAGTTAGCAGGTCAAGCTCGGCTCTTGTTGCGTACTCCGCGCTAAACATGACACTTAATCAAGTACTCATGCAGGCTTTACTGCCAGTAAGTACACGCAAATATAATCAAAGTAGCTTGAGACCGTGGACTAAAACGTTCATTCACACTCAAACTGAGGAGCATGAACTGTTTGGGAACTCGCTCTTTCGACGCACCTTGGGCTTCCGCGGAGATCTTGCTTTCAACGTCACTATAGACAGTGACGACCCACCCAACGTCATCCTCATTGCTCTCGAGGCAGCGCGGTTTCATAATTCGCGTTATCTTGTTGGAGAATCTGACCCGTCGAATCTATTCAAAGGCACCAATATTACGATCTCGCCAAGTTTCGACAAGTGGGCAAAACGAGGCATAAGTTTTAGCAACATGTGGTCGAGTCATCCTTCAAGTCGCTGTCTGGAAAGCGTGCTATTTGGTCAGGTTCCATACAACCATGAAGTAACAACTGGAATAGCTGGTGGGAGGGCCGACACCAAGCTTTCCGGCATGCCACAACTCTTCTTGGCTAAAGAGTATGAAACGTTCTTTATGACTGGAGCTGGACTCGGACACGACCAATGGAATATATTCCTAGCTGCGCATGGATTCGAAACCGTGTATGCTCTTGAACAAATGAAAGCGTTAGCAGAAAGCGATCTGGGTATTAGACCTGATGAATGGCTAGGACCTGCATGGCGCCAGCTTGGTTGGGGCGTCCACGACGACCTCAACTTCCAACTTCTGGGTAACTTGCTAGTGAACAAGACGAAAGAGCAGAATGAGCGTATGGCTAAAGGTGAGCCCAAGAAGCCTTTGTTTCTCATGCAGTACACCGTTTCTAGCCACGAACCGTTCAGACAGCGTCCGAAATGGTACGCTGACATGAAAAAACCTGATTTTTCTGCTCTTTACGCTGGCCATGATAGAAGAAATGTGATCAAAAATTACATGGAGATTCAGTATTTTGTCGACATGGAGTTGGGTAAATTTATGGACCGTATGGAACAAGAAGGAATTCTCAACAACACTATCGTGGTTATATTTGGTGACCACGGCCGAGGCGTCGAGTATGTGAATAGTGACATGCGTGATGTGTCGGTGACGCGGGTGCCTGCCACCATCATTGCCGAAGGTCGGTTAGGAAAATATGCCGGGCTCATAATCGACGATGCTACCGAACACTACGACCTACTTAACACGTTGGCCGACATCACGGGGCTCCCCGATGGTGGTTTTTTGCAGCACGGGGTGGGTCGATCTCTCAAGCGCAAGGCTCCGTTTGGCGAGCGTGTAGTTTTCAGCAATAACCCGATTCGCAAGATGGCGATTGTGCGCGGGCACGAGCGGCTGCAATACGATCAAGATCTTGACTCGGTGCTGCTGCATAATGCGGACACCGACCACGATATGCAAGTGGATCTGTTTCCGCATTTGACGACTGAAGAGAAGAAAGAGTGGCTAGAATGGCGAGATATCGGGCGAGACATTAGTCAATACTACATAGAGCGCTGGGACAACAACTGCTTGTTTGCCGTTAATTGCACGAATCAGTAGCGTTGAACACCGTTAACGCATGCATATACTCGATAAATCAATAAAGAGCAACCCCAACAACTCGAATGATTGTTATGATTTCTTATGAAGAAAGCGTCAGGCAACGAGATACAGAAGAAACACTGATTGCGTTTTAGCAATTATATTGTTATCCTTTGAACGATATGCTTTCGCACCCGTTCCTGTTGTCGCAAAAATGCTAGACACTTACGATATGCAGCAAATGTCGATTGTTGACGCGCCGAACAGAGGCGAGCGCGAACGGTGGGGATAGTGCGTTCGATCAATAGTTTATCTAGAGGCTAGCGAACGCAAACAAGAAGACGAGAACAAAACATTAAGTCGAGGAACTTGGCGACAAAAAACAGCAAGGGATTGCCGCATATCAAATGCGCACAAAAGCCACGCCCCAACGGATGTGCTACTGGAGCCCGTGGTTTGTAGCTTGCGCTTCTAAAACGAATTCCGTGACCCAGTACCTGGTTTTTTCTTCTGCTTGATTTCCGCCTCGGCCACACTGTGCAGTCGAATGACGCTAGGCTGACTCTGGTTGTATTTTTCGGCGCCCATGCACCAATCATACGATAATGCATACGCAAAAATGTCTCCGCGCGCATTAAACTTGCCGGTCGTGATTGACTGATTGCTGAAGTACGCACACGTAAAGTCAGATCTTAAATTAGTTTGTGGACCTGCCATTGAGTACACACTCTGCTGCGCTTTGAATGACAATGCAAGCCTCCAGCATATAATTACCATTTGCTGAAAGTTTTGAGCTTTTGACGGGCATCCTTGTCCCAGAAGCAGAACGTGCCATCGCCGCCCGTGGTGGCAAAAGTGCCGAACGGGTGAAAGGCAATATTGCTAACGGGATAAATATCCGATCCGTCGCGGTGGCACTTGAATGCAAAGTCGTTCCTGTGGATCGCCCATAACAACAATAAATACAGCAGCGTTGATGCAACAAAGTCCATCAACTCCAACTAATGTAGCGCAAATCATGACGCACCTCTTGTCCTTGTCCTCAACGTGTTGTATAGCACAACGTCCCTCGATCGACCCGATCGCGAAACCTGAGGCGTCCGGGAAGCACGAAATCGTCCGCGTTTGGAACTTGAGATTGGACTGCATGGACTTGTAGATCTGTGAAGGTTTGCGAATGTCAAAGATGTGAACTTGACGGTCGGCCGTGGCCACCACAAGCAGCGGATGCTTGGCGTCCATGGCGTAGCAGCGCTCCGAAAGCTGCACGGACGCCATCGCCGCTGGCGACCGCGTGTCCCAGTACTTGAGCGTTTTATCCCAGCTGCCAGTGGCGACACAATTGGCCTCCTGAATAGCAGCAATACTGCGGATCGGTGCATCATGCTGTTAAAGACCAGCAAAGCAGTAGGATCGCTATTAGTCCCATCCATCACCTTTAATCTTCACTTATTATCTTTTTCTACTCACGGCAGCAATCTGCTGACCTTGAGGTGGTCCGTTTAGTACCCACATCTTCGCCGTCTTGTCACACGAGCCAGAAAACACGGTACTGCCATCCTGTCTCCAAAAAAAAGATACTCGATCAAAAAGTGAAATGAAAAGCAAAGAAATATACTCGTTTCGTACCCCACTAAAAGCCGTACAAAGAACTGGTCCATCGTGTGCAATTTGTGCCTTAGCAACGGCATTAAATTGTGTCCCTTGTTGCTGTACTTCCCAGCAACGCACATAATTGTCCCAACTGCCTGATACCAATACATTATTTGTAGGACTCCAGGCTAAATCTTGAATTCCGTCGTTAATAGTCTCTCCAATAGTGTAATCATTGTTTGGATTTAAGTATCCACCGGCCTGTGCGGCTTGACCAAATGACATTTTGCCTCTCTCTCTCTCTTAGTATTGAAAAGCTTTTTTTGTGTGGTGGAAATAAGGTGCGCGACAAATAAAAATAAACCCTTAAAACCTAATTAGTATTGCAATGTTATGCAAAAATAGTATTGCCACGGTATTATAACGGATCAATGAGGTATTCCTAGACGATTGAGCGCTCGAATGGCTTCCTGTAGTCCCCTTTGTGCCGCCAATTGGTAGTACTCGACCGCCTTGTTGCGGTTAGCTGGAATTCCTTGACCATGTTCAAACAATTGCGCCAGACATAATTGCGCTTCCACAACACCACTTTCTGCAGCTAAGAAGAAGAATTGCGCCGCCTTGGCATGGTCCTGCTCAATGCCGCGTCCCAACATGTAACAAGCTCCTAGATCGAATTGAGCCAGCGCATTGCCAGCTTCTGCGGCACGTTGAAAATGTTTAACCGCTTGCTCGGTACTTTTTTCTACGCCGCGTCCATGGAGACAAGCGTTGCCCAGTGCACGACTTGCCTCGGGCATATTCTGCTTGGCTGCTTGGCGATAAAGCTGCACAGCTTTCTCATTGTCCTGATTTACATGCAACCCCTGAGCATACATGACACCAAGGTCATAGCTGGCCGCCATGTGGCCATTCTCTGCTGCTTTCGTCCAGTAATGGACCGCACGCTCCAAATCACGTGGAACTTCGTTGCTGCCTTGGAAATAAAGTTTGCCAATCTCGTGACAGCTGCCGTCGTGGCCAGCGTCTGCTGCCTGCTGTAAAAATTGCATGGCTAGTCTCACATTACGCAAGGTACCATTGTTATCCGTAAGATACAGACTGCCTAGTGCACCTTGTGCCCGTACGTGACCCATCTCTGCCGCGTTTGTCCAGTGCAACACTGCACCATGCACGGACGAGGTGCTGCCCCTTTCACCATTTGCTTTGCCCAACAAGTGCTTGACGCCCAGAGCAAACTCAGCGTCACCATTAGCACCGTTTGGAGAAGTAGAAAGAGAACGAGAAGATGACAATGGCGCACGTGTGTAGCGGTGCTGTGTATAACGTTGGAGCAATCGGAGCGATCGGAGCGATTGGAGCTGGAGCATCTTGTCCCGTTGACCGTTTTGGGTTTTATTGATAGTTGACAAACTTTTTGACGTGTGTTAAATGTAATCCACTTATTGACACCCATTAACAGGAAAATTTACGATTTTATTAAATACGAGGGTATTTACCCGTCGTTCCGACGGACATGGTTTTATGTTTTTTTAATCCATATATAGGGGTGTTCTCGTCGTTTCGACCGATAGGTGCACAAATTTGACGCTGACCGTATATTGACTTAAGTAAATGATTGATTCTATAGGTAATTTGTATGAAGGTCAATGTTTACCTGTCTTTCGAAAGTTAGGGTGTGTACCCGACGTATCAACGAACATGGTCTGCCTTTTGACCTGTAAACCCATCATTTAACGTAAGATAATTCGATTGACATAGGATAAAGATGGATACTAAGGTCAATGTGTACTCGTCTATTCGTCAATTTATCATTTCATCATCCGTCGTTCCAACGGTACGAAGTTGCATTTATAGACATCTTAAACGCAGCGATTGGCTAGGGTGTTTACCCGTCATTTCTGCAAATTAGTACGCGAAGTCTACGAAAATAATTTCTTTATTGAGATTATATCACGTCGTTTCGATGGAACGCTGCGCGAAGTCGACGCTGCTAGGGTGTGTGCCTGTCGCTTCGAAGGGGGACAGCGAACTCTACGCTGATAGCATATTGTATTATTTAGGGTGTTCACCCGTTGAACCGACGGTGCAAAGTAGTATGTATATCGCAACGAATTGGTAGGGTATTTACCCGTCGTTCCGACGGATACCCCTACAGTAGATGTATACTGGTCAATCACTTTGCTTAGAATATCAGGTTAGTTTAGGTAAATTAATAGGGATTGAAGTCAATGTGCAATCAGGCCAATGTAAGCCTGTCGTTCCGCCGAATACACATTAGCGAATTTTTGGAACGCGTTAATATACAGTCATTCATTTTTAGATAATTCCTGCACGCTAGTAAATCGATGGACGATTGCATCATGTTTCTTCGACTCACCTCTTTTATGGTGTTCACCCGTCGTTCTGATGGTGCAAAGTAGAATATATTGGCATGTTAAACGCCCCAATTTGCTAGGATGTATACCCGTCATACCGACGGACATGGTGCGCAAGTCGACGCCTGTAATATATTGACCTTTACATCATCGTTTTACCAATTTGGTTGACTACATAAAAATGATGATATAAAGGTCAATGTGTACTCGTCGTTTTAACGGACATGGTGACTAAAGTTTGCCTTTTGACCTTCGAATCCAACATTATACCTTACGATGTTAAGGTAAAGTAATGGGTATGACATTCAATGTGCACCCGTCGTTCCGACGGATAGTAACGTGCCGACCGAATATATAGATCTAAATATGCATAAAGGACCGAATGTAATTATTTCTGTGTGTCAATCAATTTGTAATACACTTTTTGCCTGCGTGCAGCTTTTGGTAGTGCCCATTGTTCCGTCGGATAGGGGCGCGATTCTAATCTGATAGTACCCTGGCCCACCATATATCTTAAAATAGGAATGCTCACTCGTCGTTCCGACGGGCATGGTGAGCAACCATCTGCTAAATAATCTTCGTACTCACTTATTATTCTGGTTGAGTCAGGTAATTGATACATATGAAGTCAATAAGTATGAAAGTCAACGTCTACCTGTCGACGCTGGTCAATGTGTACCTGTCGTTTCGCACGACCATGTGTACCCGTCGTTCCAACGGACACAGTAAGCGAAGTCGCCGTTTGATCTTCGTACCCATCTCTTTACTTCTATATATGCGGTTTAATAAGGTAAAGTTATCGGTATAAAGGTGGATGTAAGCCCGTCATGCAGAATGTCCGGTTGACTCAGATAAATGAATAAGTATGATGCACTACATTTGATTCGATTCGCTTATTGTAACTGCATCCACCTTAACCTGATCAATACGCTTGCTTTTGCCACGTTGAAGTGTATTAGTTGAGCCCTGAGTCTATGTTTTAAAAACGAAGTGAAAGCATGTGTCTCATCTAACATATCTAAGAAATGATGTGTTTGATATTGCAATATGTAATGATGTATATGAACATTTATGTGTGCCATTGTTTCGTATATTAGTGTTATAGATAGAAGCACGACCTATGGACACTCTAATATGGAGATCTGCACATGTAATTATTAATACAAAAATGCATAGTTAGCCATTGCAAAATGAGCCAAAAATGCAAAATCAGCCAATCCAAAATTAGCAAATAATGCAACAGTAGCCAATCCAAATGCCGGAAAAGGATCAAACAAACAGACAGACAACAACAACAACAACAACGACAGACAGACAGACAGACAGACAGACAGACAGACAGACAGACAGACAGACAGACAGACAGACAGACAGACGGACAGTATTCTTTTATTATATAGACGAGGGTATTTACCCGTCGTTCCGACGGTGCGAAAAGAAATATTGATACTGTAGGCATCTTAAAAAAATGCAGCAATTTGCTAGGGCGTTCACCTGTCGTTCCGACGGTTAGGTGACCGCAGACCTTATATATAGTATTAATTGTTTTAAAAAAAATTAAATTACGGTCAAACATTTTTTTGATGATGAGATCTATTACGGAATTCTGTTTGCTTATTAGTATAATTCAAAAGGAGTTTTGCAACAAAATAAAGTATTCACCCGTCGTTCTGACGGTGCGAAGTAGAATATATAGGCATTTTAAACGCAGCAAATTGCTAGGGTGTTCACCCGTCGTTCCGACATGGGAGTAGTATAGTTAGGCATCTTAAGCGCAGCGATTTTGCTAGGGTGTTCACACGTCGTTTCGACGGACATGGTGCCTGGAAATGTTCGAACCCATATTTCTGGCTGAGTAAGGTTAAGTGAGGTATAGAGTTCAATGTGTACTTGCGTTACGTTAATTTTCTATTTAGATAGCGTGATAGACGGAGTTATTATATAGATCTTCCTATACAAATCATGGTACTGCTATAGATAAGTGTCCGACGACATTTATTGCTAGACCTAATACATATGACTAATCTAAATAACAGTGACGCCAATCTGCTTATCGAATCTGCTTACGTTAGTGCAAATTTGTAAGGGTGTCTTTCGGTCGTTGCGACGGAAAGGTCCGACGTAAAGGTGCTCCTATTACGCTGACAGTATATATGCCCATCACTTTGCCTTAAAATATTTAATTGACTCCGGTAAATTACTAAGTATCAAAGTCAGTACTCAGGCTAATGTAAACCCTTCTTTCCATCGGGTATCCATTGGCGAATTTCTGGAACGCGTAAATATATAGTCATTTATTTTTAGATGATGCCTGTACCCGGTAAATCGATGAATGATTGCATCATGGTTCCATCAGCCTACGTCTGTTAGTGTGTTCCACCGTCATACTGACAAATTGCTAGAATGTTCACCTGTCGTACCGACGGCCATTCGTGCGAAGTTGAAGCTAATAGTATAGAAACACATTAAACGTAGCGCTTCGCAAGGAATATGTACCCTTAGATTCGACGGACCAAGTGCGCGCAATTTAAATATATATATTTTATACTGTATAAAGGAATGAAGTTGGTGTATCAATTAGCTGTTGTGATGCTACTTGAACCTGTATGCAGCTTGTGGATGGTGCCCGTCGTTCCGACAAATAGGTGCGCGAATTCTACGTGGATAAATCATTGGCCTATCACTTTACTTTTATATATTTAGTTAAATCAGATGATTGCTACCTATGAAGTCAATGTATAATAAAGTCAAGGTGTCTGAAAGTTAAGGTGTACATGTCGACACTGGTCAATGTCTACCTGTCTTATTAGATGTCCTACAGATATTTTGCAAAACCTTAAACTTTGACCTATATCTACTGGTCTTCTTTACATCCTACAATATTATTTCAGTCATGCTATACCTCATTATATATCCAGTTTACTTAAGTAAATAAATATAGTTGATAGTCAATGTGTAAGAAGAGCAAAGTGTATTTATCGTTCCAAAGATTAATTTGTATCCGTCGTTCCGACGGAGTAATAGTGCAACATGCAAAGTCAGCCAGTGCAAAATGAGCCAAAAATGCAAAATCAGCCAATCCAAAATTAGCAAATAATGCAAAAGTAGCCAATCCGAATGCCGGAAAAGGAGCACTACGGACGGACGGACGGACACAATTATTTTATTATATAGAAGATACGCATTGAATTGTTACATTTAGTGGACGGTCCACTACTTCTATACGCTCGTCCACTCGTGCATTTACTATGAAACAGCGTGATATGCTAAAAGTGATGGCAAATTTGATGCTACCGAGCGTAAGATTGCTCTGGCTAATTGACTATATGTGTTGCAATTCAATTGGCTTTTCCAGAGCCGCGTCAAGCGCTTGTTAAAAGAGCAAAAGGACATGGGTCAAGTAGGAGAATCAGCCGTGTTTTGTTGTGGTGATGTTTAGACATTTTTTTAATAAGAGTGGAAGGCAGGCGGTCCACTGACAATTTATTCAATTTTTCTACAATTTTAAGCTTCGGCCGTGCAAATTTTTGTAAAAGATTTGGCGAAGAAAATGCTGATACAGTCGACAAAAGGTCATGGGCTGACACCAATTGAGTTGTTCGTGAAGATTTGAATTGTATTTGCGTTCTTCGTTCTCGTATGTAACTGCTGGTTGTTTTGGAATTGTGCAATTAGGAAGAAAAGCGTCCTGGCGAGTGGAAAATTTGATTTCTTGCACGAGAAAGTAGCTGCTATTGATGAGAATGCTGCCAAGTACCACAGGCAAGAACGTGGTGGTAAGAAGAGGACACAAACGGCTACTGCTAAAAAGTGAGTAAACTGTCTGAGTGGTATCGGTGGAGCAGCAGAAGTTAGTCGGACGTTCTTACGTTTTATGCCTTCCATGTAGGCCGTCGACAAAGAAAGCGCGCACAACAAGGACAAAGAAGGATGGAACAGATATTACAGCAGCAACACCAGCAATCTTGACAGCGAAGAAGAAGCCTGCTGGACCAAGAAGGCGGGCTAAAGCGAGTGTTACACAAGTCACGTCGGTTACTAAAGCACAATTGCTATTAGTTGAAGAAGATGAAGACTATGATGAAAGTGATGGCGACACGTGAAGGAGATTTTGGCTTGTATAGAATTGAGCCAGTATGATTTTCGATTGCCGTGCTCCTAGCGTAATACCGGTCAAGGACCTCTATCTGTATGAAATACAACCTTTAGGTAGTTTAAGGCCACCAGCTTGCAGTCCAACCTTTCGATTCTATTTAAGCCTTTTTGTTCGTCGACGTGGCATTCAGCAAAGATTGCCACGTGGGGCCAAAGAGCATGTCACGAGAAGGCGATCGGCGAATCGTTGGTTGCTGGAAAACCGTAGTGATTGGCGCAGGAACTGTACCATTCGAAGTGGCAGTAGCTGAAGTCGGGTTGGGAGAAAGAGGCGGCAGAGCTGTAGGAGACTTCGCCTTTGCACCGATCGGCGACATTTGCTTATCACCAGGGAAGAAATAGCTGTGCATGCGAGCAACCACATCGTCTGCCTCCTTCTGCTGAAGAACGAATGACAGGTTCAAATCTTCAGCGGACTCGCTGAGCAGCAGGACGTCATAGTTCTCAAGTACATTGAAAACGCAGCCAAGCTCGGCCAGCGCCTTGCGCAAGCCACGACCCACAATCGAAACAACAGAGCACTCCTCGAACACACGCACCTTTGAGTGTTCGTTCAAAGATTCAAGCAGCTGCTGAAACGGCGTACCCTCAATGCCACCGGGGATATGATCTAGCGTCACCGTCACAGAAAACTGCGACGTTGCAATAAGATCCACCGAAATACCGCAAGCTTCAAAGGGGGCAAAGACCTTGGCCAAGAAACCCGACGTACCGCACATGTCGAATGCAGTGATGCTGAGTGTCGTCATGTTCTGGCGCTTCACCACTGCCAAAATCTTGGGGCTGCCGCTTTCAGCCTTGTCCGACTCGGTAGCGGGATGAATGACAGTCTTTGCGCCGGTCGGATCATTCGTGTTACGAATTTCCAGCGGGATTTTCCCCCATTGCGCAGGGATGATGCAACGCGGATGCAGTACCTTGGCGCCCATTGCAGCCAACTCCTGCGCTTCGCGGTAGTCCAGACTCTTGATAAGACGAGCATTAGGCACGTAGCGCGGGTCAGTGGTAAACATGCCGTGTACGTCTGTCCAGATCTCGTACTTTTGGGCTCCGAGCAGCGCTGCAAACAGCGATCCTGACGTGTCGCTACCTCCACGTCCCAGCACACACGTTGCACCCGTGCTCGTACTCGCAATAAATCCCTGCGTAAGCACCACACGCTTGCCATTTGCTGCCTTCTCCGCCTGTTCAGGGTCCCGACGAGGATTGACCTCTGCCTGTAAATACCGGTCCTCTTCCGACTTGGCACTAGTCGGATCACTTATTAGTAGAGTCCTAGCGTCCACTCGCTCTACGTCTATCATTCCATAATGAGCCATGAGACAACGACCCAAATGCGTCGAAAGCAGCTCTCCAAAAGCATATACTCGTGCCTGAATACGAGGTGATGCCTCTTCAGTCAATTTAATTCCCTCCAATACTCGCACAAGATTCTTAAGTTCTTCCAGTAATGGATGCAGCGCCTTTGGTAGCTGTGGGTCAATGGGTGACGTCGAAAACGATGATCCACCGTTTTGACCGTAACCGAGGACGCTGTCGAGCCACATCTTCTGCCACCGATCGCGTAAACTCGCGCCTTCAAGACCCTCTAGCACCGGTAACAGACCCGCCTCATAAGCCAATAAAAAGTGCTGCTGTGCAATATCAATAGCCACTTCAGTGTGACTGCTGCCACGTTCACGGGCCAAAACTAGAGCACGCGTGAGTTTATTGGTGACTTGAGACAACGCTGAGATAGTGACCCACACGCGTGGAGAAAGCGGGGACTCGAGATGTACACGAATCTGTTCACAGATACAACGCCATCGCGCAGCGGTTGACACACTCGTGCCACCGAACTTTAGCACGACCCATGGAGATGAGGTCGACATGTGAGATACTTGAAAATGACGTACTACATCCATCCAAACAAATTTGGGACATTTGAATGCCGGACGCAATCACTTAGAAATGAAATAATGTGGATCGACCCGAATTTAACCGTTAGAAATGCAGTGAGGTTTTGTAGCGTTTTATGTAGATTGCATAATCAACAGTTGGCGGGCGATATGGATGATTCGAATAACATTCTTATAGAGTTTACCTTGGTGTAACATAGTCTGTATAATAAAAAATAGGATCGGATGACCACTCCTGTTCATAGTAATCATCAACAGATTATTTTTTGGAATGTATAATTCCTAAGCCAATTTGTTATTGCAAAATGCCAGCTCGACACTACAATCGTGGGTTGAGCAAGCGAGTGCGAGTGGCGCTGGTAGGAAGTGTTCTTGATATCGATCAAGAACAAGCTTCTTGGGGAAAACCTCTATCCTGTTACTATTTTTTATCGACAAGTTATGATTGCGTACACTTTTTTCTATGGACACCCCATTACAACAAAAGTACCTTCGATGGAGATGTACTTGTAGACTGATTGCCTCTTGTAAGCAGGCAGTTAGTTGACATCACGTGGAGAGAATGAAAAGATGTAAGAGTTGACTCCGTCTCGCTTCTTTTTTTGTAGAGTTTGCGCTCATGTCTGAGGAATAAAGCATGCCTCATTCATATTGTGCATCAGTTTCAAGATTCTTTTGCTCTGCCACTTGTACTCCAAAGATATCGAGCATAAGGAAGTCGCGCACCACTGGCAGTTTGCACATGTGACGATTTTGCTGAAGCAGCAACGTCTCCAACGACCGTTCGAGCTGAGCACGACGCTCCTCCAGATGGTTTGTCTGCGTTACACGAAACCATGTCTTGGCCGGTAGTTCCCACTGAAATTTGTCGACATCCTTTGTGATTGCAGCTTCGAAGTCCTCATCCTCACGTCTAGCGCAACAGCGAGTAGCAAAACCACTCGCTAATTGCTTGTTGACTTCAGTAGCACACGCTACAAATTCAGAGTAGCGGCGTTCAAGCTGAAATGTGTAATAAGGCTGGTCACACGTCATTAGCTTTAGTATGTACGTTACAAAGCCCTCAGATGTCTCCCGGAAGGACGAGATATGTACTGTAAACGTATTGCAATCCGCTGTCTTCTGCGAGCGAGTATACGTCGACTCCTCGCTTCGAGGCAAGAAAACGGAGCAAAAGTCGGGCATTGTAGGCCGGCACACGAGCACAAGGCCGTCTTCGAGCTCATTCTCACTCTGTGACGTGGTCTTATCACTGCTGCTCGAGTCATTACCAGACTCGGTCAGCAGTGGCCGCTTGGCCTCTTCGTCACTGTCGCACTCGGGTGTGGGCGACTTGTTGACGCGGTTCGCAGTGCGCAGAGCAGCACGTTTTCGACGGCTGCGAGCACGTTTGCCGGATAGAATTGGACGTTTGTCGCAAGCCATGGGATAAAAGAGGAGAACTATAACGTGACGTCGACTTTACGATAAAATGATGAATGACGAGGAATAGACTGACGTGTCGAGTGCATGGGAATGTTGAAGCAGCATAGTCAAGCCAAGTGAACAACCGAAAACCCTCCGGACAAAAGGATCTACTATTTGAGGGACGGGGTTACAAAGCAAACATCGCCAAGTTGTAAGACAAGCGCGACATGCGGCCAAAGTTTCACAAGTCACAGCAAATAGAGAGTATCATTTGGCTGGGACAATTTGCTAATGGCTTGGATAAAGTATGACGACGGAATCTGGAGATTCATACTACCTATTCAAAGGGTGCCTCAAATTCAATCTTGTTCTTATTCACGCTTGCTGAGGCCCCAAGGTGCCAAGGTCACAAGCTCCTCGCCAGCAGTGGGGTGGATCGCAATACAGTTGTCAAAATCGACCTTGGTAGCGCCCATCTTTACCGCCACACCAAAACCCTGCAGCATCTCGTCGGCAGCCATACCAATTATGTGCAAACCCATCACCTTCTCTTTCTTACCAGCACACACGAGTTTCATGGCAGTTTTGGGCTTGTCCTTTGGCTCACCAGTCTCCGCATTAACCTCGTTGATCAGGCCGTAGTACATGTTCACAAAGTGACTTTTGTAAACCTTGATGTTGTCGTCGCCATACTCGTGTCGAGCCTGCTTCTCGGTTAGGCCGATCGTTCCAATTGGTGGGTGGCTGAACACGACTGTAGGAATGTTCTCGTACGAGACTTTGGCATCCTTTATACCTCCAAACAAACGGTCCGAGAGCCTCCTTCCAGCTGCAATAGCGACTGGTGTTAGCGCAGGGGTGCCACACACATCACCCACAGCAAACACTTTGCTGTTAGATGTCTCCTGGAACTCGGTCACTTGAATAAAGCCGTGTTTATCCGTCGTGATGCCCGCCTTGTGAAGATCGAGGTTAGATGTCAGGGGAACACGACCAGCAGCGTAGATCACGACGTCGTAATTACGGTGCTCCGAGCCGTCGGTCAGCACCAAGGTCTTGGTACTATCATTTTCCAACTTTACACGAGCAACGTTGCTGTAGGGCCGCAAATGAATACCATCGTTCGTCATGGCGTCCTCCAGCGTAGTGCGCACAATATCCTGTAGATAAAACAAAAGGTTGTACACTGAGCAAATACCCGCATTCGACAGACACTGCACTTACGTACATCAAACGTGCGGAGCACACCTTCGTTACGGCAGAAAATCGAGGTATCTGATCCCAACCCATTCAGTACGCCAGCTAGCTCAACAGCAATGTACCCCGCGCCAACAACTGCCACTTTCTTCGGCAGTGTATTCAACTCAAAGAATCCGTCTGAGTCAATGCACAACTCCTTGCCTGTCCGTTAGCCATTGATTGTCGAGTCAGCTAATGCAAACATGCTTCTTCAGCATCAAGTACGTACCTGGGATATCAGGGATCAAAGGTTTGCCTCCGACTGCAATCAATACATTCTTGGCCAACACCTCCTTTCCGTCAACCTCTACATTCCCTTTCTCATTAAACTTTGCCGATCCTCGGATCAAGTCTACCTTGGAATTCGCCAAGTTTCTGCAAGCACAATATCTCATCATCAATGCTCACACTATTGTGCATCTTAAACACCATCTCTACTATATGAAAAAGTATTAATCTCCCCACCTTTCGTAGATTTTGTTGAGACGCAACACGTAGGCGTCACGACGAGCCTTAAGTTTTGCCCAGTCAAAGTACATTCGCTTGCCCAGATGATCGCCCGTTGTCTTATCCTCAAAGCCATAATGTAGAAAATCATGCTGTAATTTGTGGCTCATGTCTGCAGCAAGGAACATAAGCTTCTTAGGTACGCAGCCCACATTGACACAAGTTCCGCCCAATCGTGCCTGCTCCACGACTGCAACGCGTATTCCTGGGTAACTGGCGGCGCGACGAGCACTAGCCATACCACCACTACCAGCGCCTATAACCAGATAGTCATACTCTGTCGGAATGACACTCATCGCGCGTGCCAGACGAGTCACTTGCCTTAAGCCTTGCGAGACCAGTCTGATCCGAAACATTTTAACTGCTTTCTACTTCTTTCTTCCACAAATCTTGATGTGACAAAATGATAAGGACACAATCGCAAGGTCATTTGCGTCAAGATGTCGATGTCTTTACGATTCAGTAGAGGATTAAACCGTAAAATATACGAGACGAGGTCGTTACAGTGCCGCATACGGCGAGTTTGGGTGATTATCGAACTCTGTGATCAAGTCTTGAAGCATGGCTGACAAAAGATTGGCACAAATCGCTCGCTCTGACTGCACAATGGTGTGAATACCGTCCTATACGCTGGAAGCTATGGGACTGAGGTTGCAAAGCGTAGTTTATCTAAATTCATGGAAGTGACGGGGTACGTTCTGGATGGTATTGTCACGACTATGGGAGCACCTAAAACCAAGCTATATCTACAGGCATCAAACAATTATGCTGAGTTGTTTGATGCACTGGTGGCGACGAGGAGCTTATCACGTTTAACTGCGCTACGTACGGAGCTCGGTAAACGATTATATATCGACGGTGACAACGCGTGAGGGATGTAGTCGTTTGTGTCGTACATGATAAAGACATCGTGTTGTGTGTTGTCTGGGCATTTACAACACTTTTTCAGGTACTAGACGACATGAAATCCTATTCAACGGTACAGTGACATCAAGCGACGTAATGGAGACGTCACTTTACTTACTTAATCAATTGCTCTTGTGCTAGCTCTCGCGGTCGGTCTTCATACTGCTGAATCTAATTTCTTTCTGCTGCTTTAGCTTGAGCGGTGAAGGAAAAACTCGCACCAACCCATGGTTGTGTCAATAATGTCACAATTGATTGCCTCGACGCTGTCTGAAATTGCTACAGATTTGTTGATCGTCGACTTGGCTTTGTGGTCAGTTGCTCAAGATGTGGCCCAGCTGCAAAGAAGTTGGTGCAGCCATCTCGTTGGCGCTTGTGTCGATTTCTGGTAGTGTTATCATTAATTGCTGGGTACAATGAGCTTTCAATAGCTGGAGCCTCTCGTTTAGGCGACATCGACGAGCATCCGTGTCGTCTCACGTAGGTACGTGGAGGCAGGCACGCGTTTAGTCTAGCCAATGCACGCTGCTCTTATGAATCGCTGACATATGAGGTTCGATGCATACAAGCAAGAAGTCCCGGCTTGTACACTTAATGCCTCCGCTACAATCGTCACTTCTGCAGCCGTAGAAGTTTGCGTCGTGATGTGCATGATCCGACTCCTGATGCTCTTGATGTCTTTCTTGTTGCTATCGAACATGTAGCATTTGTATTAAGACTCTTTGCCTGTATGTAAACTACATCCATTCTCCCTCCTTCAGTCATCGTAGCTCTAGAGTGAACATGACGTCTCCATAGCACACAGACCAGAAAATACAAGTTATATCGACCATATGAAGATGCAATACTCGGTGTCATCAGGGACTCTGCGGGAGTAGTCAAGGTGGCCATTGACACAGTACAAAATGGACCATTTACCCGATACACGTAGTAAAGGTTATGCTTAGGACATGCTTAGGTAATTTTACGTGCTCATTAATGCGTTACGGCACTACCTCCCAAGAACAGGTACGTGCTGGTCATGTTTATTCGATTTGTATGTACGTGTTATCCATTTCACCACGTTGACATCAACTTGATGCTTACACCATTGCATGCAAATGGAACCAGGAGTAGTATGTTGTTTTGCTGACTTTTTGTAGGGTTCAGGCAGAAATATGATTATTATTCAGCTATAAAAGCCGTGAGGTTATCGCGGATGTGTGTATCTTCAATCATTTACAGGTATTACATATGTAGCTCGTATAGCTCCGGTGTGGTGGTAAGTTAAGCGGCACCTTTGGCTTGCGCTCACTCAAGGATGTCATTCAAAATTGACGAAATGGAACCGCGCCTACCTTTGCGATGGGTCGTAGTGGATGGCCGCACACATGAAGAGCTGGTGCCATGGGCTGTAGCCCGTCCTCGACCATATCGTCGTTCTCCACGATGCTTTCTCTCGGGTACACTTTGGCTACATAAGCGGGTCATCGACGGCAACTCATCGTGTCGAGGTATCTTGATCGGCGGAGGTTGGTAGGCATGGAGACCAAATGAAGGTTTGCGCTTTTTCCTTTGGGGACCCTTACCTTCCATCCGCTTTTGTACAGAAACCCCACTCGTTCCGTCGGCCTCTTCGATTGCACCCGCTTTATTCGTGACATTGGTCAATTTCTCCTTCGTCCACCTTTTGGCGTCATCTTCATTATCTAATGCACCTGCCATCTCGACCGCAATTTCAGCGACTGGAAACTCGTTTTTGAATTCCTGCGGCACCAACTGCTCTGTATTGACGGGAATCGTCGAAATGTCGATTTGAGCCTTGCGACTCTTCTCGTTTGGATTCTGGATAACAGCTGATAATTCTTCACGCAGACCAGCAATCTGTCCTTGAAAGCGCTTGCGCTCAGCACCTGCAGTGTTACTTGCAAGTACTTGTAGCGATGTTATGCGATTAACCAGACTGCGAATACGTCGATGCGGCCAACGCACGAGTCCATTGCGACGACAGATCTTCTTCATTAGCGTAATACAAACACCCAATTCCTTGGCGACGACTGCCATTGGCTTATTAAAGTGCGGACGCAACTCGTTGAGCGTCAGATCCTTCACGTTGACCACTCCTCCTATGTGCGGCATGGGTGACATCATGTGCTGCTTGACCAAGTTGGCCGGGCTCCCGCTCGGCGAAAGGAACATGCCCAAATCACCTGAGGCCATGATGTCACTCAAGTTCACTGCCATTGGTGTTGTAGGAAAACCAGGACCGAATTCGGATCCATGAAGAGGCTGCTGCATCATCATCTGCTGTGGGCTCGTCATCAGCGGAGGTCCGGACATGTAGAGGGATGACAGACCGGAGTTGTGAATGGGGGACATTTGAAGCGGTAAGTCCACATGATCGAGATGCTGGTCTAATTGCTGGTGTTGCTGCTGGAGGTGAAGATGTTGCTGAGCTTGTAGCTGCATGTAGGGAGTCACAAGACCTGTTCCCCCGGCTAATGGATCCATTGGAGTTGGAGGTTGTGTCAATAGTGCATACATGTTTTGCGGTGCTTCATAGGACCAGGTGTCCGATATAAATCTTGAATCGAATTGTAGGTCTTTTATCACATTTGATGATATGGGCGACACGGAATCACAATTCATATTGGGCATAAGGAGACCATCGCTAGGTTTTGGTAGCACAACCTCCTCGAGCAATTCACCCATGCTACTACTCGTCTGAATATTGGTCGGACACGTCTCCATCTTGTGACTGAAGCCTCCTGGCATTGTGGGCTTCGTTTTAAGCGGCTGAATACCCGGGTTTGACCATGTTAAGCCTATTCCGGAACTAGCAGAAATGTCCACGGGTACAATAGGTTTACTCTCCTCCATACAGGCCAATGCCAATTCCGGTGCACGCTGCTGCTCCATCTGAGCCGCCATATGGTATCAACAACGATATGATTAATAGTCACAGCAATTTTCTCTTGCTTGTAGCAGTGAATGTGGGGAATAATGGTATACGTCCATCGACTGCGCTTTTGCAAGGAAAATATCGAAGAAATCTTTTGGTCATACGCATGTATAGTTTTCGCAAATTTAGACTTGGTAACGTACTTGGCAAGAGTATCAGCGGCGGTTTCACTTCCGCATTGCACCCTATATTGCATCGGCTATGACCATATTTCTGAAATTTACCTTTGGATTTCAAGATTTGTTACGTTTGTAGAAATTAGAGCAAGTTGTGCATATTCGCATACAAAAATCAACTTCCACCCTAATGACCTTACCCAGGACGTCCTGCGTACCTCAATTACTGCCTACGCTCGTACATTGCACGTAACTTCACACACGAGTCTTTCCTCGCGCGACAGAGACGAGTGACGACTGGCAAAAGTTGTAATACTCCATACAAAGCTGAAACGATTGGATCGCTAATCAATACGACTAATCGATACGATGCAGTAGCATGTGTGTCCAATCGTGGTACGAGCCAGCTGTAGCTAGGTGGCGGTATTGCGCATTGTATCTAGCATACCCAACACACATGGGGGTCCATGTGTGATAATGTGGTTGGATTTCTTTCAACTTGTTGTTAGCCACAAATAATCACGAAACCTTGACAGAGTTTCAGCCACAATAGCTGATGGTAGACGAGCATGCAAAGCACATTTGTGTGCAATGCTGTTGTTGTTACTGACAAGACCAACCATTTTCTGCTTTCTCTATTAACACCATGAGAAAATCCGCTATTGCGATGGCTACAGCGTCAGCTCTACAGACTGGTATACGCATCGTATTTTAGTGCACAATGTAGCTCAGACCAGTAGTACTACTTGTACCAAGGGGCGGACGATTGGACTCAAGCCTACATTGGTGGATTACAACGCGAGATTAAAGTGACAATAAGTCGGCAAAGTGAGAAGTTGTGGATAAATTATACATTGCGACACATTCCACGCTAACGTAAGTTCAGCATTAATAATTTGCAGTACAGAACGATTTGCGCCGTAAGACTTTCATACTCTCACTTATAGCATGGTAACACTAGGCGGACTGCTTTGAAACTAGTTGATATATCTGAACTCTAAATGCACTTTTGGGGCGGTCCCATCGAGCTATTCCATCCATAACGAGACTTGACTACGGCCACTTGTAGCAGAAACGAGTCTCAATATGCTCTTTACTATGCCGACACTTCACATCTCCTTCAACCAACCCCGGGCGGCCACACTTGCCTCTGACAATCCACAGCCCTTTGTTCAATTGCTAACCTGCTCTCCGTGTCATACTTCTCGAGACCCCATGCCATGCTTAGTGGTGCCAGTGCAGGTCTTTCCTCCTTGCCCTCTTCCTCGTCTTCCAGCGAGCACAAGAACAACTCAATTTTCGCCACCAGGCGCACCCTGCTGCCCCAACCATCGAGTGCAGACTCACCTCCGACAGCAGATCAGGTGGTCGAGCTCTCCGTTTCGTCTGAGGAACTCGCAGACTGGAGAAGTCGACACCGACAAGCTCAGACAGGGCCAATGCCATGGCCCGGTCGTACCCGCAGCGTTTTGCGTCGATACGCACCGTTACTGCCGCCTGTAGCTTTTCTTATTACTTTGGTGGTGTTGCTCGTGCAATACCTACACAATGCTGCTGCTGACTTATCGGATTTGTCTAGTAGCTCCAACCAACCGGTAATGCAGTGGACCCCCTGTCATCTCGTCGACAACGCTTACAACCTCTCCGCGCAGTGTGCAACGATAATGATGCCACTATGCTACGAAGGTATATGTGACGCCAAAGATGATAACGCTACCATTGTCGTTTCATTTAAGCGGATCGGATCAAACAACACGAGCGTTAGAGCCAAAACCGTGTGGTATCTACCCGACCGACCCGACCTACAGACGCGCGAGGAAGTTGAGTTGCAGATGGCGTTGCTGTATGAAGAGCTAAACAGAGGTGTCGACATTAACACGCTCGACATGCGTGGCACTGGGAATAGTACAGCACTTACATGCAGTTCATCCATCGACGAGTCTCCATTGCAGAATGCCATCTTTGCTCGAAATGACGGAGTCCTTAACTTCAGCGACGTCCAGGCCTGTGCTAGCCGACTGCACGACCTTGGTGGATACTCCGACCTCAGTGCTTTCTCGCTAGCCAGTGTTTCTCGCGACGTCGAGAAGGTCATCACCCACTTTCAGCCGACCTCTCAGGTAGTTGTATATGCTCTTGGCTACGGCACACTCGTAGCACAAAAGCTTCTGCAACGACCTATCTCGCAGGTCGTCGGATACGTCTTCGACGGAGCACTCGGTGGCCTCGACAGTACATCAGATTCAGCTGCACTGCCAGCGATTTCATATCAAATATCTAAAAGTGACGAAAATTTTGGACAGGTTGCTGCAGGATTCCTAACGTGGTGCCAGCTCGATGCAGATTGTTCCACAAAGTTTTCCAATGTAAGCTCGACAACGACCCTCAACACTACACTTGTAGAAGTATACTCTCGACTTGACGCTGACCCTACTTCCATGTGCGCCATGATTCTTATGGATGTCGATAGAAACGAAAGCAGCAATTCTGCTATCACTCCACCATCATATCTGCTGCGCCAATTACTTGGACTGATGATAAAAGATACGGCGCTGTGGCCGTTCGTTCCTGTCGTCGTATACCGCTTTCACCGCTGTGGATCTGAAGATCTTCCTCTGCTCAGACACTTTGTATACTCTACTTTCAAAATTGACGCCGGCGCAAACACCCCGGAACTGATTTATGCAATTCAGGCCTTCAGCGAGCTATGGGAAGTGCCTTCACCTAACCAAGCATTGCTCACAGAGCGATTCACTAATCAAGCCATCGGTTCTGGTAGAGTGTATACTCAGCTGGAGGCATACTGCTTGCTCACCCTTAACGCGTGCATGAACGATTCGGCATCAGCAAACCTGTTGTCGGGTAAGCCGACATTATCATACGCAAACAAGCCGACGAATGCCAGCGCGGCTGCAATCTCGTCTAAAACCAGCGTCCTCGTGTTCAGCGGAGGATTGGACGTACTCGCGCCTCCCAAATACGCGGCTGCACTGTTTGACGCGGTTCAAACAGTAAACAAAGAGCTGCTTGTAGCTCCTTACGGCACGCACGGTGTAGTCCAGACTGCATTGTTGTCGAATGGCTCATCGTGTGCCCGTCGGGTGCTGGCGTCCTTCGTAAAGGCTGGCGGTAATTTGAGTGCGTATGATGCGTCATGTATGGCTGCGTTATCCACACCAGGTCTCGCTGTCTCCATGTCATCAAGCTTGTTGGTGCTTGGCGTGCAAGATGCGTACGATGGTGTGCTTGTGAATGCAAGCATCAGTACTGATAGCACTGGCAGTGCTGACATCTTGACCGACTACAATAACACCTCGAATTCGATAACTGGGCCTACACTGGACCAGCTAAACCACCGCATCTCAACGTTGCAAGATATCCGACAACACTATCAAGTTGCACTCATTGTAGTGTCCAGCATACTCGGGACAGTGATGGTTTTTGGCACAATAGTAGTGATCTATCAGCGTCACCGAAAGCAGCAGCTAAAAAGCGAGGAGACAATTTTTCGACTAATGCGCGGCGACGAAGGTAACGAGATCGAGCTTATGCGTAGCATCTCTTTACTCTCAAACAGTTTGCCTAGCAGCGGCAGACAGACTGAGACTGTCATCGACAGGGCGCCAACTATTTAAAATACAATTAAACTGTACACTACTGCTCATGTTTCATCATTACGAATTGTATTTGCCTGTAAGTGGATCCTATGGTACATGTATCATGTATAGTTTAGGAGGTGTCGTAGATGTACTTCTTGCAAATCGATATTGTAGATACACTAGCTACAGCTCTTGCAATGACACAGTTCGTATGCAAGCTCAAATATTCGGCGGACCATCAGAACGGTTCATAGAGCACGACGCTGCTGACGCCCGCCAATTTATTAGATAATCATATAATCTTCCAGGAGCTGTAGCTATCAACTCGAGGACTGGAAACTGGACGCTTTACCACCAGAAATGCACACGTTAAGAGACGTGCAATATAGATTGACAACAAAAAACATGCAATAATACTATTGCAGTTCCTATTAAAATAAAATTATGAGCTGTTTTAATGTGCCCAATTAAATGCCAAAAAGATATTTTATTCATATAATTGTGTGGTATTTCTTAACCCATAATTCGGTGAAAAAATAGGTCCTTTCGCATACCTCTCACTTCTGAAAAAACTCGTTACCAAGCAAAAAGTGCTGAAAAACCTTCTAGTGACGTGAAAATTATATTGTCTCCCTCACTGATTCCTCTTGATCCTACAAGGTTTTTGCTCATTATGATGTCCTGGCCGGAAGAACCACAGTCTCATAATGGTAATGGTGAGTATTTAGACGCTGAGCTTCATGAATCAAGTTACTTTCATCCATTGGACGGTAGTGACGAGCGTTCACAACACGGCACGACAAACTTTCTGAGTGCTAACAACGGTGTAAACCATGTGGGACTCACGTATTCGGCTTCTTGTCCATCATTCTCGGGACTAGATGATGTTGACGACCTCATAGGTGGAGCAGTGGGCTCTAACGGCCTAATGTCGTACCCGTATGGGTCACAGGAGCCTCTCGTGGATACTATAAGCTCCGATGGAAATACACTGTTTACTGGAGACAAAACTTTGGAGATGCTACTGCAATTTCAGCAGGATTATCAGACCACGTCGCAGCGTCAGTTTCCACGTCAACACGTGATGGGCCAATCCATAGACTTGGTACAGCAGCAGATGGCAGGAGGACGACGTGGTTTGCACGGCTCACAGTCGTTTACCAGTTTGTCCAGCATGATGGACGACTCTAATTGTATAAATGGTGCGTCGTCTTATTACTGGAGTCTAATTAGTAATAGCTAACAAGTTGTGGATTACTTGTGAGTGGTGCAGCTAATAGCAAGCGGAAGAAAGGAACGGAGCGATGGATGAAGCTACAGCGTCACAAGTCGTTCGATTCTACGACGAATATTTCAGAATCATTTGACTTGGACCCACATGTGACATTTGGCATCTCATTGAGCACGTTGACTCCTACTCCGGACCAGCTTCTGCAAGGGTACGTTTGCTTGTGCATAAACTATCGTGTATCCGATTGCAAGTAATATCGTGATGTGTTATCGACAACAGACCGCCGCACAGCGACATGATCGGATTCTGTGCGAGCGATCTGTCGAATTCGATGCAAACAGATGGCTCGAACTGGCCCCCAGTTGCCTATGGATCCGCACCGAGCTCCATCGGCGGGAATTATATGCAACAAGCGCACCACAGGCGACACTGTCATCAACAGGAGCAAGCTGATGTACAGTCACTCAGTGATGCTGGCGGTGATACTTCGGTTTGTACTTCGGCGGAAGTGGGACCAGCGTCGGAGCTGGACATGCTGCTTTCAGATAACGAGCGTGCAAATCTTTTCGATGCTATACGGAAGTTTGAATCGCCCGGCGGACTAGAGCCTATCAGTGCCCTCAACCTGTTCCAAAACAAGTACAACGAAGCACACAGATACTGTCGCAAACCGAGTCGAAGGGACAAAACCATATTTTTATAGCTGAAACGAAAACTACGACAGTTCATTCTCCGGTGGACCCCGAAAACCACAAGAAATTTTGCCATAACGCCGAGAGACCGCTCTCATTGGACTCTTCAACTACACTCTCAGCAGGTATGCCCCCTTCCGGTTGCGTTTCAATGCGCACGCGCCTCCACCAAATTCTGGTGCTCTCTGTGCAGAACTCGGATGCTGGGTCTTCGTTATCGTCTTACGAGCGAAATTATTTGATGCAGTCACCGTTGTTTTTCCCAGCAAGGGCACCCGAGACAGCAGGGTCCTTGTGGTTGCTGCTGCACGCTGCCCAGTGTGAAAGTGGATGTGAGATTGCGGGCTGCAGCGTAATGCGCCGAGTTTTGGCTCATTGCTTAGGTTGCGAGCTGGTAGTTGGCAAGTGCAAGCAGCCCTGTAACGACGCGAAGGCTATGCTTCTCCACTACGGTTCTTGCAACAGCAAAGGTAGCATGCATGGACGTTCGTGTTCCGTGTGCTGGAACCTTCTAGAGATCGACATTTCGCATCAAGCGCTCAGCAATGGCAATGGTGGAGGAAAGTCCAGTGGTCAAACTTCAAACAGCGCACCGTCGTCGTTCGTGGCAACATCGCCTTCCCCGCAAACGGGCACCCCATCGCTGGTGCCAGTGTCTGTGAGTCCTGGATGGGGCGGTTCGACTGCGTATCGCTCACCATCCAGACGCTCAACAAGTCGTATTGGCACTTCCAAGCATGTGCCTATCCAGCCAAATCCTCTTCCGACGGCTTCCAACCCAATGGGACTAATGGGCGCATTGCCACCCCAATTTGGGCACCCTCTTTCTTTGTACTTGGAGCAAACGTCTGCTTCGTTCCGAGCGGAGGTTAAGTCTCGTGTTGAGAAACGGGTAACTGCTGCTGCTGGCCAAGACTTGTTGCAGCACATGCAGAAGAAGACGCGACTGCGAAGCCTGGACAATCTCCGCTTAGAAGCTCGAACTACCGTCCTAGGAGAGATGGAGCGTGAACTTCATCGTCACATGCAAGCGTACAACTGGGCCAACATAACTTCGTGCGAAAACGTACCGGAAGGAGCATTACAACTCTTTCCGTACCTGACAAACTTTTCCTTGGCTGAATTCGGTGCCTTTCAAGCGCAGCAGCTTACATCCCAGACATCTAAACCACCTGCAGCCTTTTCATCTTCACCATCGGTGCGTACTCGACGATCAGGTTCCTATGAATTCGCACCCAATGACAGTCTGTCCAAGGAACGACGTTTCTTCGTGTGAGATGTAACTGCGCGAAAGAGTTAAAGTACCCAGAGACTCTTGAGTTGAAGAGCCTTAATTTAATTCATCAAGTTGATTGATTACCTGCCAGTGTAAAGTCGACCTTCCTGCTCGCATGCATCTGTTGCCTGACTAACTCAATGTCAGCGAGGCATGAAAGCAGCTCAAATTGGCGGGACTAAACGGGTGGCTGCCCCCACGTATGTACGTGAGGTTTCACGGATGTTTGTCGATACTGCCTCAGCTATTGAGAGCTCTTTGTAGCAATTGGTCATAGCGACTGACATGTCAACACTAACAGAAATGCAAGACAACAAGAGGTGGCAATGGCGAACCTGCAGATCACGTACACCAGCTTTTTGCAGCTAGACCACCTAACATCAGCAACAATTGTAACTTTACAATATTAACGGCGTCGAAGCAAACGATAGCACAGTCAACACAGTTATGGACCGGAGCGACTTCTTCCTTTTCCGCCCAAGCCACAGCGACGTGTAGCAGAAATAATTGTAAGAGGCACAGCAGTATGAAGCACCAACCCAGACACCTCGCACAGCAAGAACTGTTCTAGTGAATAGTTGACGTCTTCGATTACGTCTGTTGACATTCTTCTCCGAATGTGCCGCGTCGAGAAGAAATGATGAGGTCTTATGTGCGAACGTTGGAGCAACGAGATGGGCATTTGAGGTGAAGATCAACGAAGCGAGAACGGGTGCGCGTAATGATTAAAAATCCAGCGCAACTGGCGCGGATCCTGTACAAGGCCGATGGATTTCTATTTCCTTACACACCTGCAAAACCAATCGTTTGCGTGAGAAGATCGTTTGGCATGGGGAACCGCAGCTGTCGTTTGCTTTATGAAGAGACCTCATGTGGTTTGTAGGGGTTTCGATCAGCCAGAGTCAATCATTTCGTCCCTTTCGTTGAGGTACACGAACTGAATTAGTACGCGGTGACAGTCCCGGCCGTCGTGACGCCAATGATCTAGAACAACACCATTGTGACACAGATGTAGACGAGCTACATGCCGCATAGCGCGCCGATAATCGTGCCGGTTTGGTACTCGAGGTCGCAACTGTCCGTCGTGCACGTGTTCTCTAGCTGAATGTAGTCTTGGTGAAACATAACACTAAGACTCCCCAGCACCGATCTGTACACTGACCATCACAAGTGCCACCAGCATCGTCATTGACAGACGAGAGACGCCCTTGCCTGCCACATTAAGGTGCGCTGTAGCGAGCTTGGTCCTTTTGCGGATGCAGCACACGTACAGGGTGGTGAGCAGCGCGAGAAGTTCGAAAACCACCGCCGGCCACCAGTGTTTGCACCTCCAAGCAAGACGGCAGCCACGATGTTGAGTAATGAGGATGATCCAGATAATCTAAGTGCCTCTGCTAGCAAGACCATAGAGACGATCCAAACGAAGGACATGCCGGCGACTGCTAGAGCGGCAAGCCGACGATACGCACTATGAGACTGGTGCCCCCGACTAACTGGGCAGCCACTAGATGCCGAATGTCGTCGCTGTAACGGGTACTACTCATCTTCTTTGTCATCTGCAATATTAGACAAACCTCCAAATCCAACACAGCGTTTCGTAACTCTTGGGCAAACTGCGCAGTAGGCATCTCGCCACGTCTTCATCCCTCCATCTTGACTCCGATGCTCCTGAGCGCTGTTGTTAAAAACTTCGTTGCAGTGATGCAGAACATTGTGCCTTCCCCCCTGGCGCTTAGGATATATGCGTCCAGCCTTCTATGACCGTACGTAAGCGGTTCCACGCCACTTACGTTTCCTTGCACGTGATGGTACTCCGCGTCCACATGGCGTGCATTTGTCCACAAGCGATGTTGTTGTTCTTAATGCACTCGCTCTTGGACGGCGTGGTTACGGAGGACTACTCAATCGTGTAGCCTATAACATTTCACTTGCAGCAAACATTTTCAGAACATTGTCTGCATGTTTAACACAGTAACACAATTTCAAATGCAGCACCCGAGTCGTGCCGTTTCTACATTGCTGACCAAATAATAATACACATGTTGTACCTAGATGGGTTGTTTGCCTACTCGTTTATGGCTAAGAAAAACGCATGTAATGGCAAGGCGACTACAATGCCCAATATGGGATCCTCCTTTACATATAAACAAACTTACATCAACTTTACTGGTAAAGTCCAGAATACTAGAGCGAATTGTATCTGAGAGGACAAGACCGAGTCAGCAGCCTTTTCGAAGTTGTTTGCGTATCAATTCGGTACAGATGCTTCAAGGATGTAGAAAACATGATCATTACAAAACTGCAGGCTCTTACATTATTTCATCTCACACAAACGTCGACAAAGTAGAGCTCTGGGCTTGTCGTAGGTATTGAATAGGCCGTAACAGAGTTCAAACTGGTTTCCAATATTATATAGGCTATTACTTTCCTTACGTTCGCCTACTAGCTCACCATGTCAGTCATAGCTTTGAGGTTCACGACCATGGCATATACGAAAAAAGCGACGAAAATGGTCCAAATCCCGTAGCTCGCAAGCTTGCTGTAACCACCGAAAACGCGCAATTGCTGTGCATCCAACTTCTGGCGAGGCAGCAGAAAAATCGAGCAGAAAGCCATTGCGTGTACAGCGTATGAGAGGAGAAGAAGCAATAGAAGTCGACTCGTCCCATCGTTTAAACTCACATAGGGCGTCCATTCATTACTGAGAGTACGCATCGCAATAGCGATCGTACTCCGGAATGACAATAGCATACCCTGGGTAGCACCTTCCGAGCCGTTCTCGGCGATCTCAGTAGCTGGGATGAGCGTAAATATAGTGATGATCCCATCCGTAAAGCCCGAAATACACCCGAAGGTGTCGTAAAAAGCCTGACCACGGATCGATGGCACGTAGAGCATCATAATGGCGCGAAAAGTCTCCGCTACAACCATAAGAGCAATACCGAAGAACACACACCGTCGCCAGGACGAGTTCGACCAAAACATTTTCCACATAATCATGGTGACCAGAGTGGTCACGTACTTTAGCGCATTGGTTAGGAGTGTCGTGTTCGGGTTAAGTTCTGCCATGCTGACGAGGACAGCGTTGGCAGAGCCGAAGTAAAAGCGAGTTGTCGCTAATAGGACACACAAAAATAGCACGAGCTGCCACATGGCTCGCTGCTGGCACAGTCGGAAGAAGGCACCGATGTGAGCATTGGCTGCACAAGATACCGTATAAATCCTTTCCGCACTACCATCTTCTGTGATCGTTTCGCTTATCGAGCCGGACTCGGCTTGAACCTTGCACTCGTTGCAGTTGCGCAGCACAAAAGGCACGGGCACAAGACTCAGCAGAGCCAGCGTGGCGTATACCCAGAAAGGTTCGATGCGCAAGGCATAGTTGCGCTTGTCATCGTCAAAACGAACAAGACCGGCGGTCAACCAGAGGCCGACCCACTCGATTCCAGTACGGAACAGCAGATAGTTGATCTGTAAAGTGCCGCGCGTGGTGAGCGCTTCACGTTGAGACAGCTCGATGACACGGGCGTCCGTGGCAATCTTGCTGAGCATGGATCCGAACGTTGCACCAATGATGAGCACCATGTAATAGACGATAAAGTTGCTACGTTGGTCTTCTGTAAATTTGTGGACGTCCACGGTAGCCGAGAGAATCATTAGGCCCATGCACATGCAAAAGCTCAGTAGGGTGCCGGTGATCATGTAAGACTTGCGACGGTATCCACCGAGGGGTACGACGTCGGACACTAGACCGAGAAAAAAGCTGAGCGTCGTGGGAACGCTCAGAAGACACTCCATCACAATAGAGCTTTCGGACCGCTGCAGGTGCAGTGAGTGCATGAGAGTAGGTCGCATACAATACCTGAGTCCGGCGTAGATGATGCTGCTCTGTGCGGTGGCAAACAGCAAACCATAGTATGAAGTCGAGAAAAGTCGGACTGCGCTGCCCTCGCGCAGCGCACCAAACTGTTGATAGTTAAAAAATTTGTTGCCTGCAACGAAGCGGTTGCTGGCTACCAAACCCAAAGGCTCAAGACTCTCGAAACCAAGGTGACTGTCCGGTTCACAAGTCATGGTCATGACGGACTGGTCGTGCTCCATAATTTCATAATTGGACTCGTGCATCGAGCTGGTGTAAACGGCACTGTAGTAGTCGGTCTCAGCTTTTCTTAATACACCCATGGTGGCACTAAATCACTCAACAAAACGTTGTCGATTGCCTGGTGAATTCTGATAGTGCCACGGTTTGCAACTTATCATTGCATTGCCTGCTCTTTTTTCAACGGCTGATGGAATTTATTCTCACCATATCAAACCGTTTTTGTACAGATAAGACTCGGAAGTCCTGACACTATAAATACAGGTATGTCAGTAGCTTCGCTACAATTCTGTTGGTCCTATGAATACACACAGTTGACATATAGTTCTATGATTCCCTAAAAAGCCAGAAGTTCTGGATAAGCAAGCTCCAAATCTAAAACTAAATTCGGTACAAGGCGTAGACAAAGCATTCTTGACGCCCGCATGCTGCACACGCGGGTCTCCATAGCGTATACGGTTTTTGAAGTCACTTTGTGTTAGGCTTCGCGGAAGGGCAAGGCCGATCCGTTCTCCGACTGGAAATAGAATTCGTGAGTATATTTATACACCTAAACTGAAATGTACTCACGGGTATATTTTCCTTTTTGATGTGTTGTCAACTCGTCAATCTAAATTCTTGCCTAATCGGTAATCGATTTTGAAACCCATTGACGACCTGCAAACGTGCGTATTCAAAAGGGGATTACCCAGTCCCCCCTCTGTACTTGTATCATAGGAGGTTATGAGCTCGAATACGGCTGAGGCAAATTATGTCCTTAACGGAGACAACTACTTCACATGGGAGTTTAACGCTTGGTAGAAACTCGCCAAGCAGGAGTTGCTGGACCACATCGACGCAACGAAAGCCCTGAGTAAAGGTGACGCTAACGCCTTAACATGGAAAGTTTAACGATACGAAGGTCTTTGCTTATGTATGTGCCGTGATAAACCAAGTCTCCAATCCATTGTTTGAAGTGCACGGACGATTGCAGAAGCCTGCATTGAATAATTAGTTTTTTGCAAAAGCGTCGACAGCAGCACAAATTCAAGATGCAAAAAAGAGGAATTGTGATGGGTCACTTTTTCAAGTCTGATTACTTTTGCATGTCAATGCAAGCCATCGGTGATAAAGCTAAGCGCGATGAGTAGCTCGTGATTACTGCTTAAAGGCTTGTCTGATGAACACTCTAGACGGGCGCTTTAAAGAAGCTGCCACGTGCTACGCTGACATACACCTTCAAGCACGCGAGGAAACGGTTAGACCATTTAACTTCTGCGTGCGGTGGTGGTGGTGTTGGTCGGCGCTAAAGCGCAGTACCAACCGTTGTCGGTCGCTTAAAGCGATCCGCACAACGAACTGCTAAGACAAGAGCCCCATTTACGACACGCAGAAGCTTATTCAGTTTATCGTGTGCAGTGAACGGTAATTAGTAAATTCAAGACTAATTTATATCTGATAGAAATAATTTGATATAAATCTAACTAATGATTGGTTGAATGTAAAGATTGAATACGCGTCTCTTTAGAAGCGTATCCCTACGTGCGAGCTTAGCATATATTAAGCTCGCTGATAACGGGTTCTAAAGCGTCACCATGACGTTTAGTCCCAAATGGGTGTCATCCCCGTTATAGTAATTTTTTTAAAAAAAATAAAATTATTGTTTAATTTAAATCCATCCATGGATATCACATTCACAAGGGTGGGTCACATTGACGTGCCTCGCCCAAGTGGGAGGTCTAAGGGACCACGTTATTTATAAGACGTTTCAGTTATGTATCTTATACTTAACGGACTCGTGTAACTATTGGCTTGTTACACCATCCCCTCTTTAAGACAATTTTTACATTTTGTAAAACATCGAAAGCAAGAAGATGCCACCAAAACGTGATGAGGCTGATGGGGTGCCTGCAAAGACTTCCATGCAGACTCGCACAAAGCGTACGCGTCGCGATAACTCGCAGCCATCGTTAAGTGTCTGTGACAACGCCGACATCTAATGTCAGCTTGCCAGAAGAGAACACTGGTCCATCCCACGATGGTGCGGATGAGAACTTGTCTCTCATTGTTGACTACAATGAGAGCACGCGATTGCCATCACCTCAAAGTGGTGACGAGCACAGTGCTCTGATGGTACATTTGTCCCCATCCTTTGAGGTACTTAATCTTCAGGAAGCTTTCATGCTTCCTGACAGCGAGGGCCATGCCTCGTCGTCTGCGCCAACGAGCGCAGCGATCACAAATGAACGCGCTGCTTCGAACGAAACAGCCGCGACTCAACAGCAGGTTGGGGATTCGAAATTGTCCGCCTCTGTTAACCCTACGTCTGCAGTCTTGTCAATCCATAACGGAGAGTCAGACTCGGGCGAGGGTGAGCAAAAATCCTATTCGACTTCACGGTCGACCTCACTAGCACGCCGTCGCAAGGGCGGCTACGCGAGTGATGGCTTGCCACCAATGTCACCACCATCCAAGTGGTCACGCTCGAGTGGTACTAGTGCGACGCTCCTAAAGAGCGTGCCACTATTGACGATAAAAACTATTCAACGTCTTTCCATCATAGAAAAAGCAGGGCAAAGCACTAGGTCGTGCTTTTACTATCCCCGTTGTGTTGCGTTCTAACGATACAACCGACGAATACGAAGCAGAGTTCCTGCGCCGTGTTAAAATGCATGTAGATGCAGTAAACTAGCGGTCGCAGCAAATCAGCTTCACAATGGCGCGTGCGAGGGAAATATTGGGTGGTAACGTACCCCCAGCTCCTCCTCGTCACGCTGCCCCTGCTAGTCCATCAAGACTTAGCAAAGCGAGTGCAGCTGGTGCTTCTGCTCGTAAGAAGACATTAGCCCAGGCACGTCGATACGCAACGCGTCGATCGGTTCCCAAGAGTCGAAACTCTTCGGGTTTCCTTTCTATAGGACAAGGATTTGAAGCTTTTGCTTCACAAACCGGTGGGCCAACATCCTTCCAACAAGGAAGTGTGTGTTCTCACTCGCATCCATCAATACAGGTGGCGCCCTACAGGAGCGGCGATTACGCCCAACTTTTTGCGGCTTCTTTTCCTGTTGTCGTTCAGTTGCAGACGGAGATCGCTGCGCTGAAGAAGAGGTGTTTGATCTGTCGAGTCAAGTCTCACGACTGACTTCGGATTTACTTGCTTTGAATACGAGGGATCGTCGGGGTATGACCGCCTGAAGCTCCGTTTGAACCTGCATGAGCGACTGGTGATGAGATACTCACGTCAAGCGCGGAGGCCTCCTCGTTCACCGAGTACTATCCCGAGCCTTCGCTCGTATACGGGAAGCCTTTCGGCTTCTTTCTTGTCTGATCGGGAACGACGCTCGACTCACAGTCGACGTCACCATCGGTCTCGTTAGACTGATGTGAATATGTGATCTCTTCCGGATCAACATACCGTTTCAGACGTTTCAGACGACCCACGTAAAATACGGGGTGCGTCTTCATATACGGTGGGAGAGTGAGCCTATAATTTAGGTCTCCAACTTCTTCAACCACTGTAAAGGGCCCAATCAATCGGGGCAATAGCTTAGTGGTACCACCAGGTAGTACAGAGATTGCATGTTTAGGTAAGGTAGCAGTACTCAATAGCACTTTGTCCTCCTCACTAAAGTGTTCATTGTTTTTGCGACCATGCTGGTCTGCATATTGTTTTTGCTTGTCCTGTGCGCTTGCCATCGCGTCACGGGCTTTACGTGTGATGGCTAATCACTCATCCACAAAGCGCTGAGCTTCGTCACGCTTTTAGCATCCAGCTCGCCGATGACGCCTCCAAGAGGTCGTTCATGGGTCGACGCTGTTGATAACACCATAGTGTCATCGTCAAGAAGCACTGGCATTTCTTGCCGTGCCTCCTCTGTGACACCTATAGGTGTCCTGACCACTACTAAACTAGCAGTGTCACTAGGGCAACCTTGGCCCTCTTAGGCATTCGCACCGAGCGAAGTGAGGGGCCCTTCCCCACTAAGACTCGGGCTGCGTAAAAACGAGACTGGCGTTCGAGGATGACGCAGTCCGTTAATGTAAAACGGTGTTTCACCCGTACTGGCGTGAACAATGTTATTGATAGCGAACTCCACGAATGGCATTGCTTGCTCCATTCTTTGGGAGTTGCTACTGTACGCAACACATCTGCCACGACTCGATTGGCCCGTTCCGTTTGGCCATCGGTCTGGGGATGATCAGCGGTTGACATGTGGAGCTTGCTACCCAGCAATTTAAATACATGACGCCAAAACCCCGACGTAAATCGCGGATCCCGATCCGATACTATATATTCGGGCATTTCGTGTAGTTGGTACACATGATCCAGAAACAAGAGGGCAGCCTCTTTTCCTGAGATCTTGGTGCTACATGGTGCCAAATTCACAATCTTGATCAGTCTGTCTACAAAGACGACGAGCCCCCTCCTGTCTTTATGGTTAGGGGGTAAGCCAAACATGAAGTCCAAACTGAACGACTTCCAACATTCAGTTGGAATCGGCAGTGGCTTCAGTGTCGCACTACTAGAAGGTGCAGAGTTAATGCGCTGACACTTTTCGCAAGAGCGAATATAGTTGACCACCCATGGGGCCACCAAATTCCTCTGACACTCGTAAGAATGTCTTTTCACGGCCGAGATACCCACTAAATAGCGCATAATCAGCTTGAGATCTGTGTCATGAGGGACATTGATTCTCAAGGGATCCCAGGGTGACAGCTGATGCCATAGTAGACCATCACTGTGATTGGAGCGATCTAATTTCGCTTTCAGGCGTGAAGGAGTGGTAACCTTTCGTCCACCAAAATGATCCAACAGCAGGCGACAATTTTCGTCCTGACTGTAACACTCCTATATATCGGAGGCCTATGAGCTCGTCACATGGTTGGCCTTCATGGATGCCAATGTTGACGACTCAGCTTGTGGTTTCGCACGAGACACACTTTCTTGGTGTCTTGCCTCGAAGTCTGGTCTGCGCGATAACGCGTCAGCCAAGACATTCGACTTACCCGGCAGTCGAAGCCGAGGTTGCCTCGTGGGAGCGGAGCCTGGCCCAATAGGCAACGTCGGGAAGGCCTCGCCAGCTGGCCGAAGATGAACACGAAGCAGCGACAGCTGCTCTGCAGACGTTTCAATATAGCCTTCCCCAGTCGCCCGACTGTCAGCGTCGGCAATCCTGCTGGCCATGCTCTCTGCAAACGTCTGCAGAGCAACAGCCGCAGCGTCGTGTTCATCATCGACCAGCTGGCGAGGCAGAGAATAATATTTATCCATCTCGCCATTCTAGGCGAGAGGTGATGTGAATTGATAGCGGTCCGCAGTGATGCGTGATCCGTATAAACCACAAAAGTTTCGGTGCCCAAGAGGTGCACCCAAAACTTTACAAGGGCATACTTGATTGAAAGTAGCTCCTTTTCATACACAGGGTAATTCAGCTCTGCGGCTTTTAAAAAGTCGAGACTGATACGAATTGACACGGTCAATGCAGATGTCATCCTTCTGCATGATACCGCTGCCGATTGCAAAATTGCTTGCATCGCAGACGACGATAAAGGGTTTATCCGCGTCTGACAATGCCAAAACCGGTGCCTCCACAAGAGATTGCTTTACTGAAGTGAACGCATCTACATGCTCCTTTGAACAAGTCCATTCTACATCCTTTTTCAAAGGGTCAGACAATGGCTTAGTCTACTCCGCATAATTCTTGCTGTAATTATGCAAGTAATTAGCGTGCCCAAGGAATTGGCGCAGATCCTTCACATTACGTGGGAATGGCCATTCCTTTACAGCCTTTACCTTTTCTGGGTCTGCTCGTACACCATGTGCATCTACTATGCAGCCCAATACAGGTCCCCTATTACGCACTTTTGCAAGTTAACGTATAATTGGGCGTCACCCAGATTCTGCAACACAGCGTCTAAATGACGTTTGTGCGACTCTATCGCGCTCAGACCGTCCTCCGCCCTACTATGCACGAACACGTCGTCAAAGTAATGGAGCGCGTAGGCACGGTGCTGATACATCACGTGAGCCACCACTCGGTTAAATGCATCACAAGCCACTTCCACAGCATACTGCTTCGGAAGCTTACTGCCATTTAGCTACATCAGTATCTCATATGAGACCTTGAAAGTAGCTATCCTTTAGGTTCAACGCGAAAAAGATAGTTGACTTCCCCATTGAGTACAACAGGATATCTTTCCGCGGAAATGGACTTTGCGCCGGAATGGCGGCCGTGGTCAGCTTATTATAAGCATGAATCACGCGCCATCCACCTGTTGCTTTACGCACTCAGAAGGTAGAGCTGCAGTGAGGCGACTTGCTCTCACGTACATGTCCCGCCTTGGCTCGCTTGTCGAAGAACTCATCGATGTAATCGACTTGTTCCTTCGGCAGTGGCCATTGCCAGGTCACACAATACTTGGTGCCAGGCTCCAGGTCAATCTCGTGCCTGATGCCCCTATCGGCCGGTAGGCGTCTCGGCACTTCTGCTGGAAATACATCACGGTGTTTTCACAGAACATCATAGAACGGGCTGTACTTCAAGGCATCCCAGCCTTGAGCAGCGAACCGTTTCTTCTTGTCGGTCTCCGAGACGCTCTCGTCCATTGTTGATGAAGAGCAACAGTCCACCACGTTCTCTTCTGGAACTGGTGCGACTATCTCGTGGATCTTCCCTTCCTTTAATTCGGACAGGAACAGATCCCACGTCATCTCTGAGAGATTTACTATCTCCTCGGCAGATGCCAAGACAAGTTGGAGCATCTCAACGGAGGATGCCTCCGGCATTTTGTCTTCAACGGCCTCGAACAACTCGTTCGTAGGTCCGTCCTCTTGGACCGAGACTGATCCAAGGGTCACTCGTTTCGACGTGCCCTTGATCGTCTTAATACGTCTGGTGCTCGTTCTTCGAGTCACCACGACCTTTGACCTGGAAGAAGGTGTCGTTGCTATCTCAGCTAACGCACTCCTTCCAACCGCACCAGGCTCTTGGCTCTGTGTCGGTTCTTGGGGCGCTTGACTTCCTGTCAGCCCACCATTAACTGCCACAGGCTCTCGGCTCTGTGCAGGACCATTGGACGCATGACTACCTGTCATCGTTCCATTCACTACACCAGTCTCCGCGAGCTAGGTAGAAATTTGTGCCATCGGACTTTCTGTCAGGATACTTCCAGAACTGCAATAGTAATAGCGGTCATAAATGGTTACTATCGATCGTAATCGCGATCGTATCTCAGCCGATCCGATCGACATGGATACAAAATACGATCGGATCAACATGAGTATTCGATCGGATCGACATGAGTACAAATACGATCGAGCCAACATGGATACAAATACAATTGGATCGACATGGATACAAGTACGATCAGACCGACATGGGTAGAAATACGATCAAATTGACATCGTAACCAAGAGTGATATCGTGGCTGCATTAGGGTAAGTCACACATATCGAGACCTGATTTTTTTGAAAGGACGACACGTTGCAATAGATCCTAGGCAACATACAGGCATAATTATAAGATTGGTTAACATTCAACAGAGCTTCATTTACTTCCAACTACGCACGCAGACTTCTCATCCGTGTGGGATATGTTGGCCTCAAACAAACAAGAGATTTTTCGACCCTACGGACAAATAATATCCTTGAATGTTTTGGACAAGGAACACAAGATGTATCACGAGCAAAGTTCGCCTGCGATTGAACGCAGTATTACGTAAAGGACAAGGTACAAGATTGTGAGACAGCTCAAGTGGTCAGAAGGTCAAGTGGGTCAAGTATTTACATTTTAGGACAAGGCGATCTCAAGAGAGATCAGGGCGACCATTATATAGAGTACCTCAAGTAATCCTTGATCGCGTAAAGATTTCCGCGCGATCGAACCCCCAACCAATTCCAACCACGGTCAAGTTCAGCATAAACTCAAGTCCAAAGAGAAGAGTGCTACGCGCCCAACTGACGGGTTCACAAGGTGAAGAAGGAATATATTTACACGGAAACGGAATACCCCCTCCGGTAGTCGGTTGTCTGGACGCCAGTGTAGAATCGTGATCACATCAGAAATTTTGTGAACCCCGCTCCACCAGCGTTTGGAGCATCACCACCGCTTCCAGTGAAACTGCTTGGAGTACTAACCGCTGTGAGCAGAATATCGCTAGCTCGCATGAGCAATTAGTAATATTCATCGGCTAAGTCGAGCGCACTGTACATGATACATTCAACCATATAGCTTTAAAGAACATCCTTTCTAGGATTCGGTGTCTATGCAGATATAGTTGCTGCATTGATCTTATTATAAGCATGAACAGTACGCCACTAACCGTTGGGTTTTTAGACACAAAAATTAGGTGTCAAGTGCGGAGATTTACTCTCACGCACCATAACCGCCGCGTGTTTTGCACGGAAGAGCTCGTCGATGACGTCACACTGTTTTTTGGTGTGTCGGGATAAAGGCCCGTTACCGTCTTACACTAAAAGGGCGTTGAGGAAGCGCTCTTAATTACTCGTAAATGTGACTCTGTTTCATTTTTGTTTTAGTTTTAACTCGCAGTAAGTATGAATATGTTCCCTAGCTCATGGGAACCACTCAAATATTGAAGTCAATTTATTATTGGCTAATTATTGGGTCTGGCACCCCAATAATAAACCAATAATAAAATGACGCGCAGTATCCGCTAATCGGATACTGCCTATGCCTACTTATGTAATTATGTATCGTTCCTATAACTACTTATGTAATAGGTTGCCCCATTACATTTGGCATAAGCCACTTCCGTGTTACGCAGTATTTGGTTCCAGGAACCAAGTCAATCTCATGACGTACACCCCTATCAGGAGGTGCAACAGACGGTGGATCATGGCACACCACGTCCTACAATTCCTTAACTAAAGGATAGTAGGGGTCTGAAACATTTTTAAAGATAGAGGAAATACTACGCTCACTACATGCCGCCTCCATGTCCCCAAGGGTTGCCTCATCGAAAAGCGAGGATGAGTTTAACTCGAAGTTAGGTCGAATGACCACCATATCAGATACATTCCCAGCCTTCCAGCCTCTATGGAAGTCATTTTTAGGCATTTTGTCTAGCCCTAAAAGGGAGATGGGAGGGTCTCAAGGCCAACCTCTTCATCAACACCACCTGTCACTCCATTGACATGGGTATACAGCTAATCGCTAATCGCTGGCATCACTTCGTGATAATACATACGCCTTACGTCTCGCAGCAGCCATTTGGCAAAGCTGACGTCTCACTGAAGAGACCGCTGTTATTGAATTACTCGGAATTGTGTCATCCCTAATGTCGCAGAATTCTCGACCTTATTTTGCTCTATCCGAGAGCCGATGTCATTACCGACATCCAGTGAGTCACTATCGCAGGTAATATTACTAACAAGGTCATTGATTTTGACTTGCTCTATACGAGAGCCGATGTTACTAACGACATCTAGTGAGTCGCTCTCATGGCCAAAATCACTACTAAGGTCTTTGACCTTAACTTGCTTTATACGACGGTGTGGAGAAGTGCCAGGAGAATCGGGCCCCTGAGGACATCGTAATAAAGGGCACATAAATCCATGTCACTCCCTTGAGGGAATGACTATGATTGCGTTCCGCAAGGTCTCAAGGTTCACCAGAGACAGGGGTACCAGTTATCGGGGACAGGGCTTCCAGTTACCGGGGACAGGGTTACCAGCTACCGGGGACAGGGGTACCGAAGGTCAGGGTCCTGAAGTCACTTGGAGAAGTTCCAGGTTGCCCTACAGTGCAGAGCTGGCACAATTCCAAGATCCCGAAGGTCCAGTGCCTCGAGGGCAGTCCACGTTCCCAAGGTGGACCAGGACTTCAGGTGGACCATGATCCAAGGTGGACCACAACTCAAGGTGGACCAGGCTCCAAGGTTGTCCCGGCAGCCCAGGTGTCCAAGGTGACCCAGGTGACCAAGTGACCCAGGCCCCAAGGTTGTCCCGGCACCCCAGGTGTCCAAGGTGACCTAGGTGACCCAGGTGACCAGATGACCCAGGAGACCAGGTAGCCCAAGGTGACCAAGTGGACCAGGTGACCCAAGATGACCCAAGATGACTCAGATGACCAGGTGACCCAGGTGACCAAGTAGACCAGGTGGCCCAGGGTTACCAGGTGGCATAGGTGGCATAGGTGACCTAGGTGGCCCAGGTGACCAGGTGGCCCAGGTGACCGATTGACCCCACTTGACCTGTTGACAGGTGACCGGTTGACTTAAGGTGACTAGTTAACCCTAGGTGACCGGATGACCCCAGGTGACTGGATGACCCCAGGTGACCGGTTGACCCAATGTCACACGGTACCCCAGGTTGCCAGGTGATCCAAGGTTTTTAAAAGGTACAAGGCTTCCCTAAAGTGAAGAGCCGGTACAAGTCCCATGTCCTAAAAGAGCCAGTTGTTCATTCACAAGTTGACACGTGGTACCATCCATAGTGAAGTGTTAGGGTTTGGCAAGAAAAGCATACAGAGAACAAGATAAATAAACACACTCGAATTTGCATTACACGTGGCAGCTTTAAGCGCCCCTTCCAAGCTTCTCTGTCACCCCACCTCTTCCGGGCGGGATACCCTTTGGCCCCCCCGACGTCAGCAGGTGTTAGACGGCTCAAGATACGTAAGTTGAACCTCAGGTTAGCTGGCCTGAGGTGTCAAGTAAGTGTCAAGACTCTACGACCCGCTACAGGAAGCGGTTTCCTTACGAGGAAGAACACAAAGGGGTCCAAGGACCAAGAACAGTCAGCCACCAAAGGGGTACATAGTACCAGGTGCATCGCTCTCGATTCAGTCGATCGAGCACAAGAAACCCGGTCCCGAGCGAAGCATATCCACTCGGGGACCACCATACAAGGACCAAGTCTTTTAGTCTTCTGCGTTAACCGAGGAGCAAGACCATCCAAGCCGACGGATACACAAGGTGAGACCCAAGGTTAACACGACACGGTATCGGGGTATTCCCTAAGTAAGTCGTGTTTGTGGATCTCTTACGTTGTTTGAAAATCCACTCCACCAGAAAAGCCGATGTGATTACCTACATCCAGCGAGTCTCTATTATAGCCAACATCACTCGGTGGACATATACGTGCCACTCCACGCGCATCACTCGGGTTTACCCCTTGATGACTTGGCTTTAGGCCAACAATGCTTTCAGCATTCAGTGACTCATTGTCACTACGAGTATCACTCGACGAAGTACGTGCCGTCTCACTTTGTGTCAAAGAGCATTGCTCGACACTACTATCGTTTGTATTGGAGTATAATACAGGAGGCTATTGATATTGTAGTCTATTACGGTAACTTAGACACGAAAATATCTATATCTAGCATACTGACTGCTTCGGTCGGTGGCTCGCGCCAATAACGCTCTTGTTTCCTAGGGAAGTTGAGTAAGTGACTCTCCAAAGATTCATTAGGATCATCGCCTACGATCTTTGATCTCCAAGCGATACATGGATCATAGCATTTCAGCCAAGCCATATCGATAATGAGATCATATCCCGAGTCCAAATGTGGGACCTGACATCTTTCCATATATCGAAGTCCAATAACTTCACAACAAAATTCAACGGAACCTTATAAATGGTTACGGAACTGTTCTTCCAGCGTTGCTATAAACGCGTTAGGGCTATTAGGCGTGCTATTTACACTTCAGGGCGTTGTGTTAAAATTTTGGTCGAGATTTTAGACCCCAATTAACGCTAATAGTATTTCCAGCGCGAGTCGTTGTGCCTGAGAGAAGTGAGCAAGACTCTCTATCTCACAAAAAGTTTAGTCGTTATGACTGCAAGTGCCACCAAGTGTAGCGTTACGCTTTTTAACTTTCCAACATAGATGGAACGAAATATCGGACTATATTCTAGAGATAAGGACTCCTGCCTGCTATGTAGCTAGACCCTTTTCTAGAAAACTGACTTATTGAAAGGGGTCCGCACTGGGGCCGCCAGGACGGCAGTCTTTCGTTTTTACCTTTTTCTTTTGAGGAGGTGGTAGACATAGCGTTGAGTGCCGATTTCAGCTTCAAAGCATCTTGTTACGTTATAAGGGGGCATAAATTGAGCTCATGTAAGAAGGCCGAGTCATGGACCTTAGCTGTGCTGACGAAGAAGCTGAGCTTCAAGCTGCTGAGCGACAACGTAACTTCCGTAGATTTCTGATGTGCGTAAGCATGAGGCACCTCTGCTCTAGCTTTCCGTTTTAAAAGGAATGCCAGCATCGGTCAGACCAAAATCGCGTTTCAAGCCGTAAATTAGCCTTGAGGAGAAATCGTCAGCTCCCAGAGGTACGGGCGCCCTACAGGAATTGAACCAAGCTCTATACAACCTCTAGAAGGTAGAGGTGAAAATGGCTTAGCCCTAGGCGGGTTCGTGGAAGCTTCTACGAAGCGAGAGTACAATATAGGCTTGTTGATTGTGTCGGAAACCGTTAAGGGATCGATAAGCCATGGTTAACTTTAATTGACTAGATGATTGGAAAGTTGTGTCCGACGTCGTTCCTCATAAGGGGTCAGAGATATGCTGAGGTGGTAAAAGCGCAAGAGGGCGATTATATCACGGTCCGTCTCGCGATTGGGGCTCGTGTCACCGCATGAAGTGGCTGTGCCAGTGCGCTACATTCTGGTGTCCGATGAAGAGCCAAAGTCTCGTCCACTTATTTAAGCATTTAAATTCTCGAGGGGAAAGAGAAAGAAAATATCCTTCTCTTGATTCGAGAAGTTGAAATGACGACAAGCACCATTATGCTCAGGTCTAAGCAACAACGGGTTGGCATGGCCTTTTGTTAAGCGCGGCGGCAGGGCCAGAAAGTGGGCACTTATGTGTGATACATCTGTAGACGCTGCGTTTATATCTCACATGGGACGCTTAAAGGACAGATGTCTCGTGTGTTCGCAATGCCTTGCGATATTGTGTGCTCTTTACCCTTTTGAAATCCTGTAAGTATCATATACTTAACGGACTCGTGTAACGTATAGCCCGTTACACAGCTTCCTAAAATGTACACCCGTTTCCTTGACTTTACATACACATACATCGTCAATAATGGTACTTATGAGGTATCAAGATTTCATTGATTCGTATGGTAAATCTTAAAAGATTTAATGGTGACTTCATAAATGCGAAGATGCAGATGTATGCCCATTTTTCCGATTTTCTAAGGTCGCATTGAGCTACAGCAAGTGCTTAATCACCGCAATTTCCTTCACCGAAATAATCCGTTACGGACATATGTAAAGGAAGTAAGATGGTTGACAGCTGATCAATAAAGAGAATCTTTTGTAGTGGATAAGTGTTGCTTATTGCCAGTAAAATATGCACTTATTTTATTAACCTCTTGTTACTTTAAAAAAACTGGCAAGTTTGTTAACAGAGCTCTAGTTCACCACAGCTCCCACATTTTCTTTTCTTAATGCTCACATGTTCAAATTCAATAAGTCTCGATTTGTGCTGTTTTGTAGGGGTTACGGAAACCAGGGACGACCACGGGTGTTTGTGCATATATTTGGTGCTCTCATTTTTAGCGAAGAATGCATGTAACTGTTGGAATATTGTTGAACAGTCGCGGAGCTGGCCGACTCCTGGGAGCAGTCGCGTGGCAGTTTTACTGCCGGGTAAATATAGGCAACATTCGTTTAAAAATAACACGAAGTAAGACCTAATGCGAGTTGCTATGATCAGAGATATATATTTTACTTACTCTTTGTTTTTTTCCTTAGGCACAACCGGTTCAATAAGTATTTTAAACGACCTGGTAATCCCCTCTTCGGCGAGGGTCTACACATCCCTGACCGATCGGAGGAGTCGATCGCGAAAGGAGCGACGCTTACCACTGTTTACCATGGAGCGCGTGTTCGCAACACTCACGCGGTTGGAGACGCGTGTGGACACTATGATAGAGCTAATGTAAGCGTGTCAAACGGTTCGTCTGTCTCGCCACGCATGCAACATGCGCAGCCTGAGCGACGAGCGGATGGGCGCAACGTGGCGCAAGCCGCTTTCGAGGAAAGCGAATTTCGTCGCTTAATTGATTGTGACAGTGCGCTAGAGCGCACGCCAATGAAAATCGTCGAATTGTTCGGAATGGTACTGTTTGGAGCTGGGAGTTTCCGGCGCGCCGAAGCACAGGAGCGGGTTAATCAAGGTGCGGCGGAGGCACAAGCCGTGTTGCAAGCACAGGCACAAGCGGAAGCTCAAGCGCAAGCAGCGTATCAAACTCGGGCGCATCATCAACGAGCACCGCCCCCAACGCCGTACGCAGTCCCTGGCTGTTTGCTGGGTCTTTTTGGGCACTGTGTGCTTGCCGTTCTAGACTCAAAGTTGATAAACGAAAAGTTTAGTGAAGTGGAGCAATACAAAGGACTAAGAAGTGAATTTTGCCAGTAGGCGATACTATTCCATAAGGCCATTGAGATGGCTGAGCTCGGGTGCGGATACCAGTGGACTGAATGAGTTAAGGCGAACAAGCTCCAGCAGTATTTGGAAGGAACGGACTTGCAGTATTATTAAGCCTACATTGTAGAATGGTAATGTGTAATTAAAGTATCGCATACCTGCTCGAGAAGCTGTGGCTTTCCTTCAAGGTGAACATCCATCACCAAGCTGTGCACCTGTACGAAGCAAAACAGATGATCTCGCGATCGTGGACCGAGAACCTATCATATTTCTCGGCGCTCATGCATTCGAGTGAGATCAGCAAAACTTGTACTTAAAAGCGTAGTGGAGTACGCTGTGCTACATATGGAGGTTGCGATCATGGGACGATATGATCCAGGTCGCACTGACTATCTTCACCATGCACAAGAACTCGTGGCATGGGTGCAATAGATCGAGGATGACGAACGCCCGATAAGGAATCACGTAAATGGCTTCGTAAATGCAGTAGGTGAAACGAGAAAATAATTTACGTGTGAAAAACCCGGCCACATAGCCAGAAAGTGCAAAGCCAAAAAAAGAAAGACAGCGTCAGTGTCGGTGAAAGGAATTGCTGGCAATTCGGAGCGCATGGGGATGTTGTGAACTTAGATCACTGGATCGTGGCACAGCGGTCCAAGTAGACAGTTGGTTTGCGACGTCTCGATTCTGGAACACGTCGTGGACTGTGAGGAGACCAAGTGGCTACTCCTTCCAAACTGCGAACGGCTTAAAATTACAAAAAGGATACTGGGACGCTAGATGGTATTGCTGAAGGGAAGGAGTTTGAGCTTAAGCTGAGCAACATGTATTTTGCGCCGCTTCTATCGCGTACGTTTGTATCGTTTGGGATGTTGTCTAAGCCAGTATGCCGCATTGAATCGCGTCATGGAGGTATGGTTTTTGAAAAGGGCTCACCGTCACAAGTGTTATTTCATCTGAAATTTTAGGCAAGCTTGCTGGCGGCAAAAATTCGCTCTCCTCGGCTACAAAACAAACAAGTTCAGAGATAGTGATGGGTGCAGTCGTCGGACAACCACTTGTATCGGAATTTCAATAAGGCACCCTGGTGTATTTTTACGGTTGATTTGGCCACTTGTCGTTCGATACCATCGCGCGTATGGCTCACGATGCCGATTCATACGCTCGATGGTATCGAGCGGCAAGTGGCGGGAATCCATCTCACTGACCTTAGGCGTGTGAATTGTCAAATTTGCGCCGAAGGAAAAGCCACCAAGTCGCGCCATCCACATCGAGATTCAGGAAATAATTCGCCAATCGACCGCGTAGGCGGCGTAATTTGCAGTAATATAAAAGATCCCATCCCGCTGCTCGGTCGACTAAGCAATCGCTATATGGTCAACTTCGTAAACTACACGAAAAGTTACGTGCATGTGTTTGCGGGGAAAACGAAAGATCAAGCTGCGAAAATGTCTGATCACTTTATCGTATATTTGAGAAGCGCTTCGACTTCGCGTGCTTTTACTCCGCACTGATGGTGGAGGTAAATATGCTAATGTGGAATTGCTCTGTAATCGACAAGGAGTAGCTCGTCAGGTGCATAAATCTGCAAATCGATCCAGCAACGGAAAAGCTGAGCGTATGCACCGAACTATAATGAACACGGTTACATGCATGATCTTTGGCTCAGGAATTGCTCTCACATTTTGGAGAGATGCAGCTGACTACGCCACGTACATCTTGAAATGCAGACCAACGCGTGCAAACGCGAGCATAGCGTCACCCCTCGAGATTTTACTGGCCAAGTTCCAGACCTGAACAACATCGGAGTATTCGGGTCACCATGCATGTTTTTTACGATACGAAAAAGAATAATTTTGAGGGACACGCGGTTCGAGGGTATATCATTGGGAAGAATAATGAAACTAAAGGTTACTAGTTTTTACTATCCATATATCAAAAGTTGACGGCGACGCGCCACATCAGCGCAATCGAGACGCTAGGAACTGCTGCTAACGAGCAGATTCGACAGGCGCTCAAAAAGTTAGGCGACGACGAACTGCAGAGAACAGAAAACGGTCATTCTACTAGTGTAGCAGGCGGTAGAAAGCTCATGACAGCAGTGCAGTTTCTAAAGACGGCTTGCGAAGTGCGCGAAATACAAAGAAAACTGCAGAGGGCTCCAAGCTTAGACGATCTATGCGCAAGAAGAAGAAGTCGCGTCTACAAATTGAGGCAGACGATGATGAAGAGAAAGTTTTGTCGCCTGAAGCAGGGCCTCATCTGATGGTGGTAACAGTGGTCGAAAGATTTGCGAATACATTAATTGCACCAGAAGTTAAATACGGGCCTGAACCTAAGATTTATAAGGAGGCTCGGCGTGACCCTCACAATGACCTCTGGGAGCAGGCAGAAGTCAAAGAACTGCGGTCGCTGGAAGCAAATGAGACGTGGATTCTGATCAAGTGTGAGCCTGGTGCCAAGCGACTTCACACTAAGTGGGTATACAAGAAAGAACGACGTGGTGAAGGTGAAGCTGAAACGCTCAAAGCGCGTCGTTTTGCGTGTGGTATTAAGCAACTACTTGGGATTGTTCTTGTCCTCACTTTAGCTGCGGTGATGGAGATAGGAATCATCAGAATTTTTTTAATTCTTTCGATGATTTGTAATGTGCGCGCTAGGCACGGACACGTACATCAAAGCGATGACCGAAGAAGAGTATGACATTCTACTATATGTCCCCAACGGCATGAAGGTACCGTAGAGTTTTTGCAAAAGCTGGGCGTGTCAACCGTGAAGAACCTTTCGTTGCGTCTTAAGCTAGGCTTGTATGGGCTAAAACAGGCTGGTCGCCTTTGGCACCAACTGCTCAGAAAGACACTCCTCGAGCTAAGTTTTGTGCAATGTATCACGGATACTTGTATATTTTACAGGTAATACGACAATGATTGGAACATACTTCGACGAGTTTTTGGTGGCCGCGACAACCACAGGTCGCGTGGATGCATTCTTTGATGACATGCAGATGCTAGAGTTGAAAGACCTGAGGGAGGCGGCCAAGTTCCTTGGCATGAAAGTGGAGCCATACGAAGCAGGCTACGCATTAAACCAGGAGAGTACGATTGCGTAGATGCTCACACGTGTCGGACTTGAAAATGCAAACGCGGTACGATCAACGATTGGAGATGAATAGCCAATTCAGTAAGGAGCAGTAGCTCTACCGGTAATATCGAGCAGCAAAGCTGGACTACCACGCATAAGAAAATTCTAGTCGTTGTTCGAAGGTCTACTCTGGGTATCCCGGTGCACGCGACCTGATATCGGCTTTGCGGTGCATAGGTCCACACGACAATGCCATGCACCGATGATACAAGACTGGAGATTGGCCAAACGAATTGTTTGGTATCTAATTGGCACTCGATCCGCTAAGTTACACCTACGCGTGGATGAAGGAGTCATGATCCAGTCCGCATAACCTGCTTTACGGACGCATATGTGGTGGAGTGGGATTTGCAAAATTTCTGATGCGACTCCAACTCTCCACTGGCGCCCAGACAACCGACTATCGGAAAGGGTACTCCGTTTCCGTGCAATTTTCCTTCCTCACCTTGTGTACCCGTCTGTAGGGCGGGTAGCACTCTTCTCGGTGGACTTGAGCCGATGCTGAACTTAACCGTGTTTGGGATAGGTTGGGGGGTCGACCGTGCGGAAATCTTCACGCGGTCGAGGGGTTCTTGTAGGTGCTTTATCCGAGTCACAATGATCTCTCTTGAGATTTCCTTGTCCAAAATTGTAGATACTTGATCCACCTGATACACTTGATCTTCTGACCACTTGAGCCGTCTCGCGATCTGTACCTTGTCCTTTTCTTGTTATGCTGCGTCCAATCGCAAAGGAGTTGTGTGTTTTGAGAATTCTTGTAATCCCTGGCCAAACAATCCAGGGATATCACTTGTGTCTTAGCGTAGCAGATGCTTTTGAGTCGTCGGGGGGCCAAAGTTATCCCACCCGGAAGAGAAGCTTGCGTGTCTTAAAAGTAAAATTAAACTCTGTTTAATGTTAACCAATCACATACCAAAACCTACGATTCTGCCTATCTGTAGACTAGGATCTACTGCCACGTGTTGCCCTTTCGGAAATATCAGATCTCAATGTGTGGACCACATATATCGGATCGCGGTAGACGGATCGCGATGACGGATCGCTATGGCAGATCGCGATCACGGATCGCTATGGCAGATCGCGATGACGGATCGCGGTCGATCTACAAAAATGTGGACCACATTTAATATTGGGCGATCCACACTTTGCGAAATATTGCTCCTTCGCTTCTCCACACATACTTTGCTGGAGATCGTAAGGATCGGAGTCTGTGAGCGCGGCAGTCATCATAATTAATAATGCAACTGTTGGATGGCACTGCAAAAAGTAGTCGGCAGTTGCAGTCTTGACTGCGGAGGCATAGTTCGTCGCTGTAGCTGCATAAGTTTAAGAGGCGCTTGGTCTATAGGAATTATCATCGAAGCTAGGGTTGTAAATGAGACGCCGATTGTACTCACACGACATGCTAGCCGATCTTCTGACCAAGGCATTGCCAGCGCCACAGGTGCTTAATTGCGGCTGAAGGTGGGATACATACTTCTGTAGTTTGAATCTCCCATGAGTCGGGTAGGAGTGTTGGAGATATTTGTGAAAAGTCGCGGAGCTGGCCGACTCCTGGGTCCACTCGCGTGAGCAGTTATACTGCCGGGTGATTTAAGGCAACAATCGTGTGAAACCAACACGAAGTAAGATCGAATGCAAGCTGCTGTGATCAGATTATATATTTAACTTACTCTCTAAATCTCTCTTACGTGCGCAGGCCAATGTAAATTAACAGTAGTGCTAGCAGTGGCGATAGCGTGAGTGTAATCGGCTCAACGTAAGGAATGTATATCTTCTATATAATAACCGAATTGTGTCCGTCCGTCCGTCCGTAGTGCTCCTTTTCCGGAATTCGGATTGGCTAAAAATTTGCATATTTGGCTAATTTTGGATTGGCTAATACTGCATTATCGGCTATATTGGATTGGCTAATTTTGCATTTTTGTATTGATAATAACATGGGTAGATTTTCCTAACATTATATAATTTATCCGGTGTGTCCGTTCTTTAATAATACATCGAGGAAACGATATGTACACGTTGACCTTCATTCCCATCGTTAGTTGCTATATTAAACACAGCTTTTTTAGATTAGGCACATACTATAGATTCGTTTTTAAAAACATCAGTTCAGTGCTTTGATAATACACTTAATGTGGTAAAAGCAAACGTTGTCACTAGGTTGAACTGGATTCAAATCCAATAAGCGAAGTGAATCAAATGTATTGAATAGTAACTATTATTGTATCTGAGTCAACCAAAAATTCTAAAATAAATAGATGGGTACAAATGTATCAAAAAATTAGACATATCCGTCGAAACGACAGATACACACTGACCTTCCTACACATTGGCTTTCGTGCTTATATCTTTTAAATTGTTAATAAGATATTCTACGGTAAATGAAGAGTCAATATACTATTAGCGGAGAATTCTCGCGCCTATGCGTCGGAATGACGGGGAGCATTAACAAGCTGCACTTTGGCTAAAAGAAGCTTAAAAAAGCTATTTGACACACCAACATTCAGTTCTTTTTTAGACGTTAAAGTTTATGCTCGGTCCGCGCGCGCCTACCGTCGAAACGACGGGCTCACATCCTAGCGAAGTGTTGGTTTTGTTAAGGATGCCTCAATATACTACCAGCATATGCTTCATGCGCAATTTTCGTCGGAACGACAACTTAACACCCTACGTTTAACATGCCTATATATACTATTTCGTACCTTTAGAACGACAGGTGATACCCTAACTTTCGAAACGACAGGTATACATTGACCTTCATACACATTGCCTTGAGATACTAATTAACTGAATAAGTCTATACGAGCAGCGTAGAATTTGCGCACCTATCGGTCGGAACGACGGAAACACCCCTATAAATTTATTAATAGCATAAACCATGTTCGTCGGAACGACGAGTGAACACCCTAGCAAATCGCTGCGTTTGAGAAGTCTATATATACTACTTCACACCGTCGGAACGACGGGTGAACATTCTATTGACCTTCATATTATCATTTTACTTTAATCAACCGAATATATTTAGGTAAAACGAAGATATGAAGGTCAATATACTACGACGTAGACTCCCGCAATAAGTCTGTCAGAACGACGTGTTAACACCCTGGTATATATATAGATTCTTAGAATGAAAAGGGTGTGAGATTAAGGAATAGGGTGTAATTATAGCAATTCCCTTATAATTTTTATATATATTCCTAGAATGTGAATTTTAAAACAAAGGGGTGTGAGTGAATATAGCAACTTCTATACAAATTGCAGCAATATTTACAATTATAGAACCGCTGTGTGATAATGTAAAAGTCTATATTCGTCGTGCAATCGCGTTACAGCTGGACCATATCAAATCAAGTTTTAACTCTCCGATTTCCTGATCAAGGCAAACTCAAATAATTAGTTTAAGGTTAAATTTTAAGGTTACAAAACGTTTGTCGAGGAGGAGTGTTGAAGACAGAATTTTCTTAAAGCCAGGTATATTTATATCATTTTAATTCATTAGTAAAAAAAAATTCCGTAATATTTGCTCTCGTACCCTGTCGTATATTGTATTATTTCTCGGTTAAAACTACTGAAAACTTGCACTCGATAATGGCATACCGTGTACATCTCACTTAATCTTTGTAAGACGATTTAAAACCTACTTAATTAACATAAATTACGACACGACGTATTCTCTTCTTGAGTCTGACACACAATGACGTCGCTCTTCAGCGCAGGGCAGTCCATTTCAAGTATTGGCAAGTCTATGACAGCTATCGCTCGAGTCGAGGAGCATCTCGCGACGTTCATGAAGAAAGTACGAGCTCTATTACAATCTCAGCAGTTGGAACATTACACAATTATTGTTATCTTGTTGCTACTATGCTATTTTACAGGTTATTTACTTTGACAAGTTTTTCCAGCGCATGGGACCAAATTTGCCAATTTGTACGTCACAAAAATCTGTTGCTAAGCTGATAACTAAAACATCCTAATGTTTGTATTGAGAATATGTAGGCGTCATGGATACAGCATCGTTGCTATTTCAACGCTGCTACGAGTATCGAGACGAAATTCGAGACGAGCTTGAGTGCGTCAAATGCTAATTTTTATTAAGAATCAATGACAATGAACTAATGTGTATAATGTTATTGCTTTCTGCAGGTCTAGTGTCGCATATGTAGCTGATGCAGGTCGGTGGGTTGTTGGAATAGGAGATTGGAACAGCAAGATGGAAAAGCGTCTGAATCAGGTCAGTGAACTGGTACTTTTAGCCAATACGTTGCTGACAGAGTACGCAGTGACTGGAAAAGTGGGTGCCGGCGGCTGTCGCGACGAGTTAGTCGCGTATCTACAGATATTAGCAGCTACCATTACGCTGAAAAATCCGCCTATGAACAGAAAAGATGGAGGGACGATAACAAACTTGGATGAGAGGCCACCGATTGCACGGTCACAGTCGGGAACGGCTGCGGAATTCAGCTCAGAGATATCAGCCTTGGGTACGGAGATTTCTGGGGCATTTTCAGAGATGTTTGGTAATAATGACTGGAATAAGTCGACGTCATCCGGTACCATCGGTCAGACGTCCAGACCTAGCTTTGACACTGATGATGATGCGATGAACCCATTCGCAGTTTCGTATCGGCATCCTGTTGACCCGTACGTCAAAGTCGTGAGCAGTGCTGGTGCATCTGTCACCAGTAGTTTACAAAGCCTACCGGATGCTACATTAACAGGTGCAGGTGCAGCATCAGAAAATCCGCAAAAAGATGAAGACTTCTTGGATGGTCCATTGAATCTTGTGAGTATGGGGGAGTACGAGTGTCTGGAGATAGATTCTATTCCAAAGTATGCTGCGTTCAAGTCGTCTGCCCAACTCGCTGCGCGACGCCAGTATGCATCTTGTAGCGGGAATGGTAGTCTTGCGACCAGCTTGACAAGTGACGGAGGACGAATTGGACATAGCGAGTTAAGGGCGGAGTACAACGAATTTTTCCCGTTGCCACCATCGTCGACTCACACAAATTTCAATTGCTTGAGTTCTCTAGACAGACATACCGTTTTGAAAAAGAAGTATCCTGTGGAGCCGATCCGGGACCTAAACTACTCGTACGATTTTCAATGTGAGGTGGCGCACAACCCATTTATTTCGTCAAATACACTGGGGCTCAACGAAGACGATGTCTCTGTAACAAGTCAGCAAAAGTTACCGTCATTGAAGCAGCAGCCAGCGCGGTCGACAGATGGACGGTCAAAAATGACGCGAGCATCTTCACCACCGTCTACATCTACAACGACGACATCTGCCGTCAGCGCCGCGTTGGGTCAAACGCACACACCCGTCTCGCTCTCTTTTGATGTAATAGATCCTTCAGCCGCTGAAACTGAAGCCGGGGCAGTGCCTTTGCCGCCAACTGTTGACGAAGCTATCGGTTACACTCAAGTACAAGCTCATGCAGCAGTACGTAATGGACCAGTTACTAGTGCGCAGTCCTCAAGTTTAAACGCTGTGCAGGGGCACAGCGCACCTAAAGTAGACGCAACTGAGGCAAGGGCTTTAACTGCTGATCATGAGCATCATGATAGTGACCACGAGTACAATTTGTTTGGAGTTGGTTAAACATAAGCGAGAAAGTTCAGTACCAGTAACATATAGTCTTCCTCCTTATGGTCCTACGGCCTCAATTCCATCAGTGTTTTTTGTCGTTCTTGTCGACACATGTCTTGAGCGAGGGCGCAACCTCAATATTCAGACGTTGACGCAGCTCCTCAATCGGGGTCTCAAACTCTTCCTCATACATGACGCAGTGCAAAGAGTGCACTTTCTTCGAGACGTGGCTGGCCCATGGTAAATAGACCTTCTTCAGCAGACAACGCTCCTCGTACGAGAGACGCAGTGGGCCCACAAAGGCACTTAGTGCACTCACCGGTAGCTTGGAGTGCGCCATCTCGACGTATTTGAGCGCAATTTCGCCCAAAACCGTCGGGGGCACAGCAAAAAGCGTGTGCCAAAAGTCGTGCAGCTCACGATGGCGTCGCATGACGTAGGCCAACTCTGGGTCATCAACGAAGCGAACAAGTGAGCGATTATCCGCATCAAAGCCATGCAATTCCATAAACATGGCATAGTGGTGTCCGAATGAATCTGTAGACAGAGAGCGAAGATATTTGATATCAATCCGGTCATTCCGGATCACTGGTTTTTCTGCTAAGATCCGTGCACCCACAGGATCTGCACACATTTTCGCATGAATACGTCGTAATGCATCACGTCCTGTCACTTCTCCCAAAGCAGCAAGCATGTCACCACGTTCGGGGGTTGTAAATACTGTCAATGCCGATGTGACAGATAGTACGAGTTTCTGCAACGGTGTTGTAGGAATGTGTGAGTCGTATTGAACGCGACGATGCGGTTTACCAGCTACAGGATGAAGCAATTGATTTGAAAGGGTTGTGGTATGGAAGAAATTGGCACTAGACATTGGTATCATACGCGTAAAGGCACGGAAGATCGCCAAGGAACGCGACATTGGCAGCATGGCACTTCAGGTTATTAAATGAAGTTTAAGGTGGTACAGTGTGTGTGTGGTGTACACTACATTAATCTTTGTCGAATATGCGACAATGTGATGGTCCGACTGTCGATTTACGCTTAAATATTGGTAGTGAAAATGAGACAGGCGGGATTGTTGATGTACTTGAAGAAAAGGGGGTACTAAACATTCTGACCAATCAGATTTTAATGATTACATTTGGGGTGGGTGATGGTTAGCATAAAGGTGTGTGTGGAATAAATTGTAATAGTACATCGGGTCACTCGCTTAGGTGCGATTGTGGTGTCTAAGAAGGTCCGCAGTCAAAGAGAGCAAAAGGGACCGCGTGGGAACGAGTGAAAAGTGGTGATGGCCGATAGTAGACGTGTATTTGTACAGCTGGCAGTCAAGAAGGGATTGCAGATGGAAATAAAAGCACCTGTTATGGCCTTTGTTATGCCCACCGACTTGTGGCTTTCAGTCATTAATGAATTCCTCATGGTTTGTGTTATACTTGTTTTTTCTATTGATAAGAAATCTTATATAAATATACAAAAAACCCTCTATTAATATCCAAAATGTAACTGACATGAAACTGTGTCATGTTATGTATCGTTTGTGGCTATTTATGGTGCTTAGAGCTGTAATGATGACGAAGTCGAGGTGGAACAGCGTCCTACGGGATTACTAGAAGGCTGCGTCGTGCTGCATGCCGCGTCATTGGAGCAGGTTATAGAGCCAGCAGGCTGTAAAGATGGCAAACAGTACATTTTATGTATGAGCATGGATGACGCTGTGCTTTTACAAAAGCAAAAGTTTGGTGACAGTAGTCTTACGGGTACTCATGACGCTGACGCGCTGGCACGCGAGAGTATCGCTCTTACGGACCAACTCGAGTCTTTGGAAGAGTTTGATTATTATTTTGATGGTACTGGGACATTACGTCATTGTCGCACAAATCAAGCAGTGTATGAACTCATGAGTGACGAGCGAAGAGCTGGTGAATTAGACGATATTGTGAAAGCTGCAATCTTTCACATCCAGATGGAGATGTTGGCTGAATTGGCATTTAAACAGGCTCGTGTTCCACTGGACCCACAACCGGATGAGCCAAAGGAGGCTCGCTCGAGTGTTTTTCTCACGTCGGATTGGCGTACAAACACTAATTTATTAGTGGTGGTCAATGGCGGCCGTGGTGCACAACCTGGTATCTGGAGTCGAGATCTGCTGATTCAGGAGGGGTTGGAGCTCGGTTCGATGCTGCCAGTGATGCGTCGTGCCACTACATGTAACTTTGCAGTGCTAGTGCTTAATCCGTCGACAAACAATGTGACTATCGGAAACGATACATTTCCGATTCGTGGAAACTCATCGCCAGATGAGCACATTCTCTACATGTGGGATAATATCGTTTCGCGTGCACAGGCTCGCAATGTGTACATGTTGGCGTACTCGTTCGGCGCAAGGTCTGTGCTGACCCTTATCCAAAATCGTGAAGAACAGGTCGTCAAGCGCGTGAATGCGCTTGTATTTGCAGAGGGTGCGTATCACATGGACCCGTCGACTACATCTCCATCAGTTGCTCAATTCTTAAAGCAACGCGCTATCAATTTTAAAGGGGATGCGCAAGTCCCCGTGGGTGGGCATATTCCTGCAGAAGAGGAGAAACTTTCATGCAGTTGTTTGTCTGTCGGGGACCTCACAGCATCAGCTCCATCAGTTGACGGCAAGGCATCACCGACTGCATCTCCTGCATCTGCGCTATCGAAGCGCAGCAGTAGCAACAAAGCTCGCACTATCAGTCTTTCGTTAGAAACGACTTTCACTTATTTCATAGCAGCGCGCGACCGAGGCTGCGGTGCAGCACAATTTATATCTGAGTCGGAAGCCAAGACACGGACATGGCTTGGAAACGTCATTAGGCAGCGTTTGGACTCACTGAAGCCTCGTAAACAGAGCCGCCGCCTTAGCGCTGCGATGGGGGTTAATGCGAGCGAATCCCCGCACCACCGGAAAACAGCCCGTCGGTCGTCATTGGACACTGACGCAAGTACATCGACAATGCGCGCATCGATTGCTAGCAGTCGTGGCATTAGTTCTTCCAGCCAACAATCTCATGGCGTTTCGGTGAGTGATTTTGATTTGATCAAGGTGATTGGAAAAGGATCGATCGGAAAAGTATTTCTTGTCCGCAAGAAAGATACGCATGACGTTTATGCCATGAAGGTGCTGCGCAAGAAGAACGTGGTTCGCCATGGCTTGGAAGAGCACATAAGAACGGAGCGCCTGATTCTTGAAGAAATTGACCACCCCTTCATTGCTAGGTTGCGCTTTTCGTTTCAGACGAAGGACAAGTTGTATCTTGTGACCGACTATTGCTCTGGCGGAGAATTATTCCATCACATGTCTGACGATGGTTTTTCGTATGAGCTTTCACAATTCTACGCTGCCGAGTTGGTGCTGGGGCTTGAGCATCTTCATCAACTTAAGGTGGCGTATCGCGATCTCAAACCAGAGAACATCCTTGTTGAAGCCTCTGGGCACCTGCGCATTACTGATTTTGGATTGTCAAAGCTAAACGTGGTTTCGGACAAGGGTGCACAGACACTTGTGGGTAGTCCCGAGTATCTGGCACCTGAGGTGTATAATTTGCAGAAATACGGATATGCTGTGGACTGGTGGTCGCTTGGCGTATTCATCTACGAGATGCTTACAGGCGTTCATCCATTTATTGACGACAATCGCGAGGTCATGGTGAAGAAAATCATGACGCCGGGTTGGGTTAGTACGCGGATGCCGCCCGAGATGCCCCCCGAAGCTGCGTCATTGATTAGTGGGCTGCTTACATTTAATCCGTCGGAGCGCCTTGGATCGCGTGGTGCTCAAGAATTGCGCGATCACGCGTTTTTTGCTGGCGTATCCTGGGATGAGCGAGTGCGGCGTGAGGTGGCACCCCCCTGGCGCCCGGTGGTGCAGGACGAGCTAGATGTGGGCAATTTTGACGCCGAGTTTACATCCGAGCCTGTCGTTGACAGTGTGTGTACGCACCAGTCTATGGTGCTCAACTACACTTTTGCTGACTTTTCATTCAATCCCAGCATCTCGGATTCCATGCGCAAGGGTTAAAGGTTATAACCAAGATTCTGATACCATTGGATAGACGTGCTAAGACCTCCTCTTAGAAGGCTGTCAGCTTGGTTTGCAACAATATGGACGGATAAATACGTGCGTGCAATGAAGCAAACTATCTCAGTCGAGAGACAATCAACCCTCTGGAGCATTCGAAGAGGTCGCAGCTCAAAACATCAACTACAGATACATCAGGGATCGAGACCGTGAGAACATCATCGTAAAAAAGGAGACCGGTGATGTTAAAAAACACTTAGCGAGGCTTTCTCCTTTGAAGCACCGTTAATCATCTCCGATGCTGACCACGAGAGCACGACTGTAACGGCCATGGTGACGTTGAAGTGGTTAAGCCAATTAGAAGCTCTGCATGAGAGAACTTCAAATTAGGGTAACGGTATCTCAGTCATCGGAACTTCTGGTTTGGAAAGATAGCAGTCGTCAGACTGCATTACGATCTTATGTGAAGGGTCAAAAAGCTTTACCATCACGCAGGAGCACTTGAAAAAGTATGACCAACTACAGAAGTAGAAGAGCTTTTTTGCTACCTCATGCAAAAGACTTGGGTCATTTGACAACCAAAGCACTTTTACAATCTAATGTGTTGTGTGCAGTCAAATGCTGTCGCCAGTGTACTGCTGACTCTGATACCTTTTCATAAAGTGGTTTCGAAACGGTCACACTGCATCTTCCCCTACGATGGCCAAATAAATACACAGGACAATAAGGGTCGAGTGTTTGATATACTTTTTTGAACGTCAAATCAATCGCCAAAGCAGTGAAAAGGTATCAAAACACTGTAACAAGTAGAGCTAGAAACTCAAGAATTCTTCATTGTTGTGAATCTTGAACAGGTACCGCGTCCTTTCAAACAACTTTCTACTGCTTCTCTCTCTCTCTCTCTCTCTCTCTCTCTCTCTCTCTCTCTTTCCACAAATCGTATTCAGTTATATATGTCGTGGTTGTGCAGGTGATAACAAGATCCTTACCGACCTTAGTCTTTTTACTTCTCACAATTCGAGTGAAGGAGTTTCAACCACAACTCGAATCTTGAAATCGTTTTTTCAAAATGCTTAACATTCAGCTTCCAGAGCATCCGACCCTTAAAAGTGACAGTGGTTCTCCCTCGTCGCCTTCACATGCTCCACAAACGGATGAAGATCGAAATTTAGCTGCGTTCCTCGAGATTGGATCACCTTACGGGTTTAAACACGACATGCACATCCATTACAATTTCCAGGAAGCTAGATTCGAGGGTATCCCCGATAATTTTGCAGACTTTTTAGTTAATCGAACGTCGGAGCGGAATCGTGCAGATACTTCGATCTGTGCATTAGATACCGCTGTATCTCTAGATTCCAAGACTATATATGTCGCCAAACGGACACGTACGAGCTCAGCTTTTTCGGGAAGTTTCAGCTTGTCCAGCATGATTGGAAATCTAGACCCCGTCAGTACCCTCGATCCTTTGCGGATACTGAACCAGCATTTTAAGCTGCCATTCCGACAGGTTCCACGCATTGTCGTCCCGGGTTACGACGAGCGAATACCAGCCGTACTAGTCATGCTGCAGCAACACTTTGTAGCGAAACAGGGCTATCTGACCCCTCATATATTTCGCGAATCACCCAGTAAGGCTGAACGCGACCAAGCCATGATCGACATCAACTGCGGCGCCTTTCGAGGGGCCAAGCACGACGTTCGAGTATTGGCTGATTTGATTAAGCTTTGGTTCCGGGAACTTCCGCTGCCTGTTCTGCACGAAATTCCTGCAGGTGAGATGGAACGTCTTGCGTCGGCTGAAAACGTCTACTTGGAAGTACTGAGTCTTTTGGGAAGATCGGAGCGCAGCATTGTACTCTGGCTAGCTGATTTGCTGTCCTACGTGGCCGAGTACCAACCACATAACCACATGGGCGTGGACCAGCTCGCCGTCGTCATTGCGCCAAATCTTGTTCGACTCGAGACTGAGAACCCAATGGTGGCCGTTGCCGTCTCTAAAGCCGTCGTTGAGCTTTTCCGAGGAGTACTACGAACACGATTTCAGCGCTGTCAAGAGTTGAAAACCTCTGGACCTGTCAAGAATAACGACCAAGACGAATTGGTTCAAGGGTAGAGAACGTTGTGGAACTGATATTAAGCGTAGTCGGATAGCGTACTCGAATGTATAAGCTTAAGACTTTTGTACAACACAAGAAGCGATAGTTGCGGCTACATGCGATGAACGATGATCATGATGTAATTGTGTGAGCTATGTAGAGTTTGGTAAATGCGCCGAGGGTCTACGTCGTGTTTGCTATATCTGCTTTAGGTGTAAAACAAGCAGATTACATCAAGGTCAATAGCGTGTGAAGGGACAACTATGCTACTACTTATAAGCTAGACTGCCTACTAGGCAGGTACTATATCTCTATCTATCCGAGCCCGAAGGCGCATCAAGTTTTCGTGGGAAGGGGGGGGGGGGTAACTAGTACAGATAGGACTGTAATTTCTCGATTCGGATCTCATCCTGGCAAAGACTCTCTTCTAATGCGGCCATGGCGTTGAAAAAGTATGTACGGTCCTCAAGGAATTTCGCACGTGACCGTCGCCCCATTCGTTGGCGCTCCTCGATGGAGAGTAGCAGTATTTGTTCTATTCCTCGCTCCATGTCGGCTACCGTCAATTGTGATAGCGGCATAAATAAGTCCCCTTTCGTCTGCCACCACCAAAGGTAGGGCTCTCCTATCAGCACACCGCTCTTCTCGTCCACGAGTTCGTTCATCGGTGGTACGTTCGTTGTCAGGATAAGTGCGCCAACACTACGAGCCTCATTAATGTAGTGACCAAACCCTTCTGTCTCGCTCGGACACAAGTGGAGTCCAATCTGGTTCTGCAATCGGTCTTTCTCTTCAGCAGGCACCGAGCCGCAAGCGTAGTCTACGTTTTGGAGCAGCCACGAGTCCATGTCACCAAACTGCTCCTCAATCCACCGACACAATTCGGGCTCGATGACACGAATGATGAGTTGCGGCCATTCCGGATGCAATGCCCATGCCTGGAAAATTACTCGCGTGTTCTTAAAGGGGCTCCAGCCTGCAAGATGAAGAAACGATGTCCAATCACGCTGTACCGCAGGTTGGTATACGTCACGACTCGTGTGCTTGGTGTAAAAGACAGAGTACGAGAGTTGATGTCGATATCTATACTCGATCACTTTTTTCAGTCCTATCCGGTTTTTGACTATCATCACCCCGACTCTAGGGTTGTCCAGTTCATGTCTATCAAAGAACTCGACATTCTGCATCATCCAGATACTTTTCTCCTTGGGTGGGTGAAAATCCGGATAGTATTTCTTGTCTGCAGGATGTCGTTCCAAGTAAATGTCAATAACCGACGTCGGCATGTCCAATCGCTGGACGTTATTCCTATCAAAGCTCACATTCTTTGCATTCTCCTGTTCGCCATCACCTTTAAATGCATATATCGGTCGAGCCGACGGCAAAGAATTTAAATACAGTTCAAAGTCCACGAGCAATCCAGTCGAATCACAAGGTGCAATCACATTGATACAGTACGCGGCCTTGGAGCTTATAGCTTCATGTCCCTGTCCTCGTGTCTGCAAGAAAAAACCAGCAGGTAAATTTCGAAGCTGCTCTTTTTCCCTCTCTAGCTCCTTCTTGACCAATTGCTCCTGTAGTATCAATGCTTGAGTCTCTATTAATGTCTTGGCTTGAAAAACTTCGAGCTCCATTGTCTTTTTCTTCTTCTTTTGACCTCGAATGGTCTTTTTCTGATCCTCTATCGTCACATCATTTCGTCGTCTTTCTTGTTCTTTTTGTTGCAATGCCAATTCACGTGGAGAGACGTACAATGACTGGAATAGAAGCTTCATAGGTGGTACTAACTCGATACTTGTGGGTGTTGGAGCCAAAAGAGAACGTGACGCTAGCGTCTGATTGCAAAATTCAATATGTAATTGAATCTGTGGCAATAGTGTGAAGAACATTAGCTGTAATAGACTTGCGATTAACGTCAATAGAAGCACACAAGCACACAATAAGAACCGTGGACCCGAAGACTCGGCCATGGCTTATTAAGGCTGAAGATGGGATGGCGTGGATACACAAACGATACATCAATGATCAAGTGGACCACGTAGATTTTGACAATTCCAATTGTAGACATTTCGTCGCAATTCTGATTCCATTTTTAGGCCAAACGATGGCACGATGTTTGGCTCCTGTTTTTGCTCTTTTATTCGTTTATAGGTGTAAAGAATGCACTTCAGATACGACAAGATGTACGGATGCCACCGCCAGCACGTGCTCATTGTCGTGTTTTTATAGTAGCAGCTAGAACGCATACGCGGGTGTTGGTTCTGCAGAATGCGTACGAGCAGGACGGAATGAATATCTATGACCAATTTCCTGCATTGCCATCCATCCTACAGGACACACCTGGTGACGATCTTCAGGACGAACATCAAAATGCACGTAGGGCGTATCAGATTCTGAGTCCGGCGTTTAAACAAGCCGCTGAGTGGCTGAAAATGAGAGTAGATCCTGCACAGTGTTTCGCACATTTTATGGTGGCCGAATCAGAAATGACATCTGATTCCAGGACGCAGGACGAACCTGCGATTGGCGCGTCACATGTGACGAAGCGTTTGAGTCAGTTGAGAGACGAGGCGAGGAGTGACAGGCACTTTCCTTTTGCACTCATCGCGCCGTCGACAGTGCGTCATGATGATGGAAGTAGCGTCACGTTTAGTGGCGATTTGCACGTCGTAACGGCGGTCTGGCGTCGCTATTTTCATGTAGTAGGGACCAATTATTTTTCAGGACGAGTAGCTCCATCTCTCAGTCCTGGACAAGTTGAAGTGTTTGGAGTGATCCATGTGGATGCTGGAGGACACATGGGCAGGACCAGGTCCGAGTCGGACGCAAATGCCGCTGAAATGGTTTTCGATGTGCGTGAACGATGGAGACGCAGCAAACGACAACGACAGGTGAACGTGGCGCTTAACTCGAGTGACTTTTACGGCCGCGAATACGTGGGATTCGGGCGACTGCAGGTACAACAGGCGGTGGTCAAGTTGAAGCAGGACGAGGAGAAGAACGTAGAGGCAAATTCTCTGCAACATCCGTGCTTCTCAAGAGGGCACGTGCCAGTGGTAGATGGCGTAAACATGACGTTGGAAGGATCTGGAAACGCCAACGAGTGTATGGTTCTACTCCGGTCGCATATTGCCGCCAGCAATGTTAACTGCCCACCAGGAAACTTTTGCTTTTTGGGTAGTGCACCACAGCCGCAAGGGTTCGGATCTTTTTACGCTTCTGGAGTGCTGAGACAAGCAGTGCTTAGTGCAAGTCGTGTGTTGAAACATGTGAGCAACAAGCAGGATAGGACAGATGTGAATGAGCTGCAGCTGCCGGCCCCATCGCTCCTGACGCTCCGAAATGCTGCCAAGAATCTGTGTGCGTTACCATACACTGACGTAGAAGCTGGGACAGCACTCCTGTCGGCATCAGATACGACGACTGTAGCTTCCGTTATGGAGAGGAAGATCGAGCCGCCCAGTGCTCTATGCTTTGATCTGTGCTACACAGTTGTTCTGCTTGAGAAGATTGGTGTCCAGGAGAATGATGAGCGCGTACACTTTGTTGACCGCTTTGAAAAGGAGCCTGTTTCGTCAGAGCATGGGTCTATGGCGACTATAGAGCACGGCAGTCCGTCAGAACTGGTAGCATGGCTCACAGGTGCCTTCTTGTACCTCGAAGCGCTTCAACGCAAGGTGGCATTCTCTATGGAGTCGGAGCTATTAGCTGAGCAGCTCAGCGCAGGACTGCCTCTCGGCTGGAACATGACCTTGCTGGTATTCGTAGCAGCATGCGTCTATTTATACCTTGTGACTGGCCCCGTAGCTGTCTCGGGACGAGTTCGTCGGGGTTCCAGCGGCTACGTTCGTGTCGTGAATGGCGGTACCAAGACAAAGTACAAGGACACGACACAGTCGATACAATTTGTCGACGACGCTCGAGATTGACGTGTGGTTCATTTGCTCCGAGTTGGCAAGAACAGACACGATATCAACCTAGTTCTTTGTAAAAAAAGCTACTACATGAAGATTTTAATGACATGCGAATCGACACTTAAGAGATGGACCTGATGTTGCAGCTACACGAAGACCTTGGGAAGCCGCAATTTGTGTGATGTTGAAGACTCTTGTCAGAATCTTATGGTGATAGTAATGTGGCCAACGATTTACTTGCAGCACCAAAAGATGAGCGATATGTGATTCGTCCTCGTAAAATTGCTAGTTGTCTAGACTTGTTTTGCGCATGATTTGAACCTTCTTGCCGCTTCGAGCGTACTATTTACATGATTTCCAAAAGGACATCATTATTATTATTATAGATACTGTGTTCAACGTATTTCTTGGTCGCTCTGCCATTCATACTGATGACAATTGTAATAGTGCGCAAGTGATCGCATTAATATAGGGGGGATATTGTTGTTTAGCATTGCAGAAGTCCGAGTTGACGGTGTCATGGCTACAAACATGTACCGGTATACGGTAGAAACGTCCCATCATAACTATGTATCTTTTTGCGGTCAAATGCAGTAACATTTAGAAACAAGAATTTGATTGGATGAAATGACGGGAGATTGATTTTCGGTAGAGAAAGGCTTCTAGTAGTATATTGCTCTTAATCAGGTCAGCAAGTTCTATTTTATTGTAAATAAAAAGTTCTAAATTAAGAAACGTATGTAATTTATAAAACCATACTAAGAGCACTTTAGTCCAATAAGCTGCAGGCGTAAAGCTTAATGTACAGAGTGTCATGTATTTTTAGTAATCGACTCAGATCTGTCAGTGTCGTATACATCGTATACGCAAGATGCTGGGCTATCTATTACATACATTACTAAAATACGGCCGTCCTTACGTGTTCGTATGGTTGCAGAAACATAGAGCTATTCGTTGTCTACTTAAGTCAACATAGATAATCCCTAGTCCATCTCATATAAATATCGTATCCATACAAACAGCATAATCTTCGTACACTTGGATCAAAACCGATCGCGTATACTTGTTCAAATTCTCCACCCGTTCGTTAAAATGTCCCCCCTCCCACACCACAAACACACACACAAAAACAGACAGCGTTTCAAAAGCACAGTCCCAAATACGTCTCCGACCTAAAAAGAGGTTTTTTTCTCGTATTTAACGGGAATTAATGACGGCACTAGCGTGCATCCAGTGGATTCGTGACGAATTAGAAGCCCATAATGATCTGGAAACACTTCAGCCGCCACTGATCGATACGGATTCATTATGTGAATTTGTAACGGATGGTCGTGCATTGTGTCTTTTGGCTAATTTTGTACTTGATGGCGAAGAAAATCACTTGCCAAAGAAATTGCAACGTTCCTTGAAACAGCTCAGTAAATTTCACGCCCTTGAACGTGTTCAATTCTTTATTAAATGGTGTCGTACACGTGCTAAATTGGAAGAACATCAAGTGTTTACAACAGTTCAATTACTGGATGAAGTGAATGAGACGGCAGTATCAGAGACGATTATCGCTCTTCGAAACAAGACAAGACCTGGGTATAAATCTACCAGTGCCTTGTCACAATACTGTGCTGATGGAGATAGTAATAATGCTTATATGCGTACATCTACAAGTAGCATTACAAGCACTGGTAGTTCCAATGCCAACAATGCCAATCGACTTAGTTCTTTTCTCAACAAGTTTCCATCTGCACCAGTTGTGACGACTACGACCTTACAGTCAAAGCCACCAATGAGTCACCATCGCGTGTCGTTGACATCCAGTGTGGCTAGTAGTAATCCATCTCCACGGGAGTTTGAGGAACCTGTGCCTGTTGATGAGATTCATAGCAGTAACAGCAAGTCTCGTCTACGAATTCCGTCCATTTTTAAAAACAGTAACAACGCTTCACCCGCGTCGGCTACGTCACGGAGCAGTGTCATTAGTAACGCCTCATCGACGGCGTCCAGTAGCAAGGAAGAAGGTCGGGAGTCGCGCTCGTGGTCTAGCAAACTCTCGGCCTTTTCACGCAGTCACTCGTCGTCTACGCCCAAGACGCCGTCTTTGGGTGACCTTGACAGTAGCGACACTCCATTGTCGTCACCAGTAGCCTCACCACACAATAGAGTGAGCATCCCTTCGGTATTCTCTGCTCCTTCTCCGGCTGCCCCCAAGTCAATGTCGAAACTGTCGGCGTTCCTTAGCAGTGTGGACACGACAGCATCCGTGGCTCCTGTTTTTAATGCGCCTTCGCAGGACACGAAGGCGTCGGAGCTGGCTGCGGAGGCTACGCCGGAAGAGGATGCGGGACCTGCGATTGAAGACAACGAAGTGGAAGAGGAGGAGCCATTAGCAATTGTTGCAGAGGAGATTCTTATTGAGAAAGAGAGCACGAACATGGATGCTGAAGCTGAAAAGAAATCGTTGAAGAAGCCACCTTCGAGTGCGAAGCTGCTTGCGTTCTTGCAGGCTGTTGAACCTGGTAGCACGACATTGCCAAAGGAGGAGGTGTCAGAAGAGGAAGACTATGAAGATGACTGTGTTGCAATGGAAGTCGCAGAAGATATTCTTGCTGAAAATGAGGCTCCTGCTGTCGAGGAGGAAGTTGATTGTGTTGAGGTTGCTGAAACTGAAAGTGAGGTATCAGATGTAGAAGTGGAATCTGCAGCTATGTCGGAAAAGAAGGATACGATTGTGGAAGAGACGGCACCTGAAATGCATGATGAAGTGGCGATGGAGACCCAAGAGACCTTGGAAGAGGAGGTGGGGGCCCCTGAGGATGAAACACCGGAAATGCAGGAGGTCGATGCTGGTGTTTCTGTTGCAGAAGGTGCGCTAGTGTCTCCAGAGATGTTGCAAGAAAATGAACGTCTTTTAGTCGAGAATGACGCTCTTACACAGAAATTAGAGACAGCTGAGACTGCTGTTGCGACAAAAGACACTGAACTTGAAGCGATTAAGCAGGAGCTTGAGCTTTTGAAGGCTCAACTTGCGGAGGAGCAGACCAGGGCACATGATGAAATTTTGGCAGCAGAGGGAAAGCAGGAAGTGCTCGCCGCAGACGCTGCTGAGGTGCGTGCCGAGCTTGCCAAGTTGCAACAGACATCAAGCGAGTCAGCATCTGCTGCAAAGGAAGTAAAGGCAATGAAGGCCCAGGTGGAGGAATTGGCTGCCCAGAATAAAAGCCTGATGGTAGATTTGACGAACTTGCGCGAAGAGGTACAGACGCTAGAGCAGTCTGTTCAGCTAGCGCGCGACAGCGAGGAGGCAGCAAGATACGCTGCACAGGTTGCATTCGCGGCTCGTGACACTGCGGACGAAGTGAACCAACAATTGAAGGATCAAATTGCGCAGCTTGAAAGTAGATCCCAGTAGGCCAAGCCCGGTGTACGCACGGGCCTCGGCTAAGAAGGAGCGTGAGGTAAATTTTGAATCGTTTACGTACTGATATACTCTACTAGTTCACTGTTATAGCTTTGTCTTATATGGAATCTGTCAAGTAGCCGGCTAGGCTTCGTCGCAGTACCAACGCACCAGCGAATCCGATGATAACAAAGAGGCACACAACTAAAGCAAATAGCCCAAGGAGGTGACGTGTACTTTGAAGGTACGCTTGCACGTCTGATGCTGACCATTCTGGACATTTGCCGCACTTGGCGATCTAAAAGGTGCATTCAAAAGAAAAACGTCAGTTTTCTTGACAGATGCACACTCTTGCCCTGCAGTCGCTATTCATACGTCATTTGGTGTATAGCCTTGGTCACTCTTGGCGTTCAGGACTGTCATGTCTTTGGAGCAGTCGTTATCGGTGCTAGTACTTGCATTACTGGGTGCAGTACTATTGCATGAAACCCAGTAATTGTCGTACGTGTGCATGACACCTTCGCATCGAGTCATTTCAGAGACCACGTCAGTGCAGTTGGTACATCCCGGTAGACCGATATCACACGCCAGCGTCGAACTTGTGTGTGCATTGTACGTTGACGCCAGATTGTCTGAGAAGGAAAAATAGACGCTAATCAAGTAAACCATGAGCGCAAGAAGGCAGCTTCCAAGGCCAATCATATACTAATGTACACAAGCAACAACCAAAAGTCAGTTACCATTAGCTCGTAACAACAGATACTAGTCTAACTAACGTACAATGAAGAGCAATGATCGGCTCTTGGCTTTTGAAGCAATAGTGCCCAACACCGACAATGCAACCATTAGCGTGCCGACAACGATAAAGAGAATGGCTGTCGTATAAACACAGCAATCCACACCATTAAAACAACGTCACTGCATACACCGTCCTCGTAAGTCGCACCTATCCATCTCTTCCCTGCCGTCATCTCATCGTGTACATTAATTGACAGCCCCAAGCCAAAGAGTCCCGTGCCTAGTAGCATAAAGATGACGTTCGTAACCGATAGCATGCTGCGCATGATAATAGGGACTGTGACGATGCGTACGACGCAGTACATGGACGCAATAATGAGCACCATACAAACGACTTCAACACTTCCTATGAGCATCACACGATGCTCGAGATACTGCACCGTATCGCTGTACGTAACACAACACGTTTGATTCCGTAGCGCTTTAAATACATCCGTAATCCACTGACGTTTCATCCACGATTCAAGTACATTATGGAAGAAAAAGGCAGCGTAGCAAGACACAAAGAGTCCACTAAGTAGCAGGAAATTGATATAGAAATAGAGCAATAAAAGACAGCTCGTGGCTTGCCCAGCACCAAGAAAACCCAAGATTGACAGCAGTACCACACAGCAACTTAACCAAATCATCAACACTGCAACACTGGCTTTCACTTGTAAAAGTAGCACAAGATGAAGGGCAAGACATAATAATACAATGCCACAGATACAGTTTAATAGAGTCAAGAGACGGAGAAACGTACGTGATGGACGCATTGTCCGTCGCTTGATTGACAAGCAGCAAAATGGATACTTTTGTAGTAATCGGGGTAGGGGTTTTGTTGACTTCTATGAAATATCTACAAGGTAAAGTACCATACTTTGTCATAAAATACCAAGAGAAGGGGTATTACTTTCTATTGCAAAAAGTACTATTTTAGTTGATACTACTACGAGCTTCTAATTGGATAGATAAAAAGTCGTTGGAATTCGTTTATTTCCGATTTTCTTAAAAAGACCCCCTTCCCTCATTTCGTAATTGTATCAATCATTAAAAGACCCCCCCCTTCCCTCATCCGCCTCATCCGCTTCATTAATTTTCTAGTACAATATGGAACACAACGAGAGTGAATTAGGCTTATCAGCCAATTCAGTAGTCTCACAAGAAGATGCATGGGCTGTAATTTCTAGTTATTTTGAAGAAAAAGGACTTGTACGTCAACAATTGGATTCTTTTGATGAATTTATTCAAAATACAATGCAAGAACTTGTGGATGATTCCCGTTCAATTCGGATTAATCCAGAGGCACAATATGCACCTGGACAAGCAAAAGCGAATACGGATACAATTTATAATATCTCTTTTGGACAAATTTATCTCTCAAAACCAACGATGACTGAAGCCGATGGGTCCACAAGTGTCATGTTTCCACATGAAGCACGATTGCGTAATCTGACGTATTCGGCACCACTTTATGTAGATGTCGTGTGTGAGAAATACCAAGCACCAACTTCTGGACCCGCTAATCTCGAAGATATGGAACCATATGATCACGTTGAGACCCCAAAGGAATTTATTGGCATGGTGCCCATTATGTTGCGGTCACAATATTGTGTCCTGACACACAAGACGGACAAAGAATTGACGGAATTGAATGAATGTGTCTACGATCAAGGAGGGTATTTCATTATCAATGGGAGTGAAAAGGTCCTTATTGCTCAAGAACGTATGAGCAATAATCACGTCTATTGTTTTCGAAAGAATGGAGCATCCAAGTATAGCTGGGTGTGTGAGACACGGTCTCATGTTGAACATGGCGTACGTCCGACTAGTACCATGTACGTACAGATGTACCAAAAGGGTGGTGGGAAGAGTGCTATCACGGGCAATCAGATTCGAGCTGTGATCCCGTACATTCGTCAGGATATCCCCGTTGTCATTATCTTTCGTGCATTGGGATTTGTAGCAGACCGAGAAATTCTTGAACATATTTGCTATGACTTTTCGGACGCGGAGCTTATGGAGAGATTCAAATCTTCACTAGAAGAGGCTTTTGTTATTCAGGAACAGGAGGTCGCTTTGGATTTCATTGGGCGACGTGGGAGTGCTATTAACGTTAGCAAATCGGATCGTATTCGCTACGCACAGGATATTCTACAAAAGGAAATGCTGCCTCACGTCGGTGTGGAAGACCACAATGAAACCAAGAAGGCGTACTTTCTTGGTTACGTAGTGCATAAGTTGCTCATGTGCTCACTTGGTCGCATTGGTGAAGATGACCGTGACCATTATGGTAACAAACGGCTGGATCTTGCTGGGCCGTTGCTTGGCGGCTTGTTTCGTATCCTGTTCAAGAAGCTTACAAAGGACGTTAAATCGTTCTTGCAAAAGTGTGTGGACAATGGCAAGGACTTTAACTTGACGCTGGCTATCCGCTCACGCACGATCACTAATGGGCTGCGGTACTCGTTGGCTACTGGTAACTGGGGCATGCAGAAGAGTGCCTCGAAGGCCGGTGTCTCGCAGGTGCTAAACCGACTGACGTATGCTTCGTCGCTTTCTCACTTGCGACGGTTAAACACGCCTCTTGGTCGCGAAGGCAAACAAGCTCAGCCTCGTCAATTGCACAACACGCATTGGGGAATGATCTGTCCCGCTGAAACGCCTGAGGGTCAAGCCGTTGGTCTTGTGAAGAATTTGGCCTTGATGGCTTACATTTCTGTGGGTTCACCACAAGCTCCAATCCTTGAGTTTTTGGAAGAATGGGCAACAGAAAACTTGGAAGAAATCAAGCCACAAATCATTCCGCACTCTACAAAGATTTTCGTGAACGGAAACTGGGTGGGGGTGCATCGTGAACCGAATGAATTGATTCGCACATTACGATCACTTCGTCGTTGTGTGGATATCGATGCCGAAGTGTCTGTCATTCGTGACCTAATGAACAAGGAGTTGCGCATCTACACTGATGCAGGCCGCGTGTGTCGTCCGCTGTTCATCGTAGAGGACAACCAACTCTTGCTGCAGAAGGAGCAGGTGGTGAAGCTACAAAACCATAAGATTACCAACTATCGCTGGCATAACCTGTTGACGGATGGTGTGGTGGAACTTATCGATACTGAGGAAGAAGAAGTGTGTATGATTGCCATGGAGCCGAAGGATGTCGGCACGGGCTCACAGATTCATACTCATTGCGAAATTCACCCGTCCATGATTTTGGGTATTTGTGCCAGTATCATTCCGTTCCCCGATCACAATCAGTCGCCGCGTAACACGTATCAGTCTGCTATGGGTAAGCAGGCTATGGGTATTTACTGCTCCAATTTTCGTGCACGAATGGACACCATGGCGAACGTGCTAAACTACCCGCAGAAACCCTTGGTTACCACGCGTGCCATGGAGTACTTGCACTTTCGTGAATTGCCATCGGGCATCAATGCTATCGTGGGTATCGCATCGTACACAGGCTACAACCAAGAAGATTCCTTGATCATGAACCAAAGTGCTATCGATCGTGGTTTTTTCCGTTCCACCTTCTACCGGTGCTACATTGATCAAGAACGCAACAAAAGCCCACACGGTGGCCCCGGTGGTGGTGCTGGTGGTGTCAATTGTGAGGAGTTTGAGAAGCCTTCTCGTGAAAACTGCCTGGGCCTGCGCCATGGTAGCTATCACAAGTTGGATAATGATGGACTTGTTGCTCCTGGCACGCGTGTTAGTGGCAACGATATTATCATCGGTAAGACATCGCCTCTACCCCAGTCTGAAGATTCCTCTCTGGAACAGCGTCATCAAAAGCGTGACGCGAGTACAGCTTTACGCTCACACGAAAATGGTATTATCGATAGTGTAATGTTGACGACAAACGCTGACGGCTTCAAGTTTACCAAGGTGCGCTTCCGCAACATTCGTGTTCCTCAGATTGGCGACAAGTTTGCATCCCGTCACGGACAGAAGGGTACGATTGGTATGACATACCGTCAAGAAGACATGCCGTTCACGGTAGAGGGCATCACGCCGGATATCGTTGTGAACCCTCACGCTATTCCGTCGCGAATGACAGTGGGGCATCTTGTTGAGTGTCTGCTTGGCAAAGTATCGTCGCAGACGGGCGATGAAGGCGACGCTACTCCCTTTACGGATGTGACTGTCCAAGCTATCGCAGACACACTGCACAACCTGGGCTACCAAAAGCACGGTAACGAGGTCATGTACAGTGGCCACACTGGTCGTCGTTTGACAGCACAGATCTTTATTGGACCCACGTTCTACCAGCGCCTGAAGCATATGGTCGACGACAAGATCCACTCGCGCTCGCGTGGTCCCGTGACTATGCTGACACGCCAACCCATGGAAGGTCGTGCTCGCGAAGGTGGTCTGCGTATGGGTGAAATGGAGCGTGATTGTCTGATCTCTCACGGGTCAGCTAACTTTCTCATGGACCGCCTATTTGCTAACTCGGATGCTTACCGTGTGCACGTGTGCGATGTGTGCGGTATCATTGCCATTGCTAATCTGCGCAAGATGACGTTCGAGTGCCGTACGTGCCGCAACAAGACGCAGATCTCGCAGGTCCACATTCCATACTCATGCAAGCTGCTCTTTCAGGAGCTGATGTCCATGTCGATTGCGCCACGACTGTTCACGCTGGGCAATCCAAACACGCCGCAACTTCGCCAAGCCTAGTCAACGTAATGGTGATCAAGGTAAGATAATGTCTGCTTTAGCAAAGCGAAACAATGGCACGGTTGAAGGCACAAAAGTATCCAGGGCATTGCAGGATTTCCAGCGCGATAGGAAAAGCAAAAAAAAACAATCTCGAGTATGATGATGCAGGCGCTTGAACTCGTTCATGCATGGCTGTTAGGTGGTAAGCAATCAGGCTTTGTTGGCTCACTATAACTCAACAATGATGCAACACCACCCTCATGTACATGTATACAAGTGTCGTTGATATTGATTGATAAGCTTGCTGGCTAACACAAAAGTCGAGCGACAGGAATTGCTATAGAACACGCAGCAGGAGTAAGTCACATCCATCTAGATGCTCTTCATCTTCTCCTTGACTTCGTCGGTCAGGTTGTGGCGCTTGACACGAGAGTAAGCACTGATGTTGTCGTCCATGACGTAGTTATACATCACCTTGACCCACGAATCATAGCTTGGCAGATTCTCATAAAACTCAGGAGCGAGCGCTCGCACCTTGTGCAGCCGCGAACCAGCGATGAACGGGAAGTCGTGGTGCTCATTATGCATCCCCACATTGAATGTAAGACGGTTCAGAATGCCGTAGTACGAGTACGTCTCGTAACCAAGTACAAACTCGTAGTGCTCAGCAATAAAGTGGCCTGCAACGGGATGAATGCCGCAGCCGAGCAGTGTACCAATCAGTAAGTAAAGCAGCCCCGAGAGACCACCGTACAAGTAAATGATGTAGTTGTAGCTGAAACACGCAACGAGATTAACAACTTCTCCCATGCCCGGGACTTTGGGGTTCACAAACAACGGACGACCAGCATAGAAAAAGAGCTGAAAGATAACAAAGAGAAACTTGGTAAACTTGGTCGAAAAGAGCTTTCCTTCAAAATCCGTTGGAAGATCGACATCCACACCGTCTTCTCCTTGATAGCGATGATGCTCAAGATGGTACCGCTTCAGTGAGATAGCAGATGGAATACCAATGGGCAGATTGGCAACAATACCAAGAACTTTATTGTGTATCGGCTTTTTAAAGCCCAAATTGTGCGCCATTTCATGCATGACCATTGTCATGGCATGATTGGCCGTACCACCAATAAGGTACATGATACCAATATACATTGGCCATGACATGTATTGAGCTCGTAGTGCTAGAAACGTCTGCAAGACGACAATAACTGCAACAATGTACTTGGTTTTCCAGCAATGACCAAAAAGTTTCTTCACTTCCGGATATTTTGCCAAAATGAGTTTACGACGCGTAGCGTGAGGTTCATCTGTTGGTGTCCAGTGAAAATCATGTTTTGGTTCAAATGGTTTGATAAATTTGGGTTTCGTAGGAGATTGTGGCTCTACATGAGCCATGGATGGAGGAGGGAGTACATGATTCTGTTCAAATTTACACATTATTTATTGATTTTTCACAAGTCACAGATTTTTTTTTAAATTTATTTACGATCGTATCCAGTGAAAAATTAAAAGTGGTAAATGAAAGACCTCCCCTCTCCTCATCTCCCCCCTCCCCCCTCCTCTCTCTCTTATGGCGTACGTATTAGAGTAAAAAAGAGACGAATGGGTAGGGGATAGGACTAACTTTTTACTTTTGGTATGGTATACGATATGTAAGATAACAATAGTGATTGGACAACAAGATACAGACTAGAGACTGATTTGCTATTTTATTAATTGTTACAGGTTAATGGAACATGTCGACATGGGTAAAAGCGAGGAAGTACCTGTAGAATAGCAGATGTAGCACTTTTTATTGACCAGATTCGAGGTCTACTGCGTTTATTTTGGCAACGTACTTGTCTTTTATCGGCTGGTAAGAGGATGAGATTTAGTGTGTAAAATGTAGTCCCGAGATGGATCAGATTTGGCTATTCATAAATTAACCTTATAATGTTTAGATCTTTTTTATGGAAGTGACTCTTGCAATAGCCATGTATCCAATGTTTGAATGTACTTTTTTACATGTGGTACGGTGTATCCAAGCAGCGACTTTCTGATTTAAATGTATGAGTTACATGATACACATACTGTCTCCTTTTTCATATGCAAAAGGGAGAAGATTGGCTGTGCTTGTTACACTGCCAAGCGTAGTGTCTCAGAATAAAGACGCGTCATGGTCGAATGTCTCAATGGAATGGTATGCTTGTGAGCTCGTCGAACGACACGAAAACGCTACGGCACGATAACAAGAATACATACATACCACCTCTTATTTCTTATACCTAGCATCTGTGTAACACATTTGCTTATACTGTGTACACCACATTATCGTCCAAAATTATATAATTCTATACTTAAATATACACACAACTTTATGTCTCTCTTTTCTGCACACCCTGTAACATTTTATTTCTCCTTCAACCTGATCATCTATACATAAAATCCTCCCGTCCACTCATAAAAAACCTCACTTTCTAAACCCATTTCTAAATTAACGTCCAAGAGCTCATTTAAAGAGCTCCTCTATCATTCCCTTCGTTATATTGACACTTCTTCGCCACGATGGCCTTCTCTTCTTCCTCCTCCTCCTCTACTGCACTACAACAGAGTTTAGGCGAGTCGGAAGTGTTTGATCTCGTGTGCGACTACCTCCGTACGCGCCAATTCTTCCAGGCCGAGCGTACACTCCGCTCTGAGCGCGAAGCCGAGGCTTTGTCGCCCGTGACTACCACTAGTCAGCAGCCGAATGACACATTATTGTCCACTGATATTGCTACTTCATCGCTCGCTTCTCGTCTTGAATTTATGCTTGAGCGTAGCTACGTGACACAGCTCGTGTCTGGTTCTGGTGAGACAGAGCCCGAGAAAATCTTTGTGCCACGTCATGAGCTTGAAACGACACCGAAGCGTGCACGCGCGAATTTAGACGGCAACGAAGCGCTCGAAGTTGATGACGTTAACCGCAATACATTGGAAGAAGGTGACGACAATGAGTTTAGCATTAGCACACGCCTCGTGAGCTTTGAGGCTTGTAAAGACGATCCCCACGGTTCGGCTACCATGCCCATCTACCAGACGTCGACATTCGCACAACCATCGGGCACTACGTTTGGTGCCTACGACTACACACGCTCGGGCAACCCCACACGTGCAGCATTGGAGCGTCAAATGGCAGAGTTAGAGGGTGGTCATCGTGCTTTTGCCTTTACGAGTGGCATGGCTGCACTCTCCGCCGTCTCTCGTCTGGCACACGCTGGCGACGAGATTGTGCTCTCGGATGATTCGTACGGTGGCACGTATCGTCTGCTTAGTAAAGTTGCTACGAAGAATGGCGTTGTTGTTACGTACGTGGACTTGTCAGGTGAGAATGGACCCAAGAATTTGCTGGCGGCTCTATCGGACAAGACAAAGTTGGTTATGATGGAGTCTCCTACGAACCCCATGCAGCGCATCTGTGACATTAAACGTCTTGCAGAAGCTGCACACACGGTTGGAGCGCTGCTGTCTGTTGACAACACGATGATGAGCCCCATCTTGCAGAACCCGCTGAAGCTTGGCGCCGACATTGTGGTGCATTCAGCAACCAAGTTTGTGTGTGGACATAGTGATACCATGTCGGGCATTGTCATTGCCAAGGACCCAGAGCTCTGTCGTGACGTCTACTTTTACCAGAATGCCGAGGGCACAGGCCTTGCGCCGTTTGACTGCTGGCTGCTGTTGCGTGGCGTAAAGACTATGAGCCTGCGCGTGTTGGCGGCTCAGAAGAACGCCATCAAGGTCGCTAACTTTTTGAACGACCATCCATTAATCAAGACAGTGCATTACACCAATCTGCTGCCTGAGAACTCGCCTGAACGCAAGATCCACGACGCACAGGCTCGCGGCTCTGGCTCTGTGGTGTGCTTTCGCACGGGATCACTCGCTTTCTCGCAGCATCTGCTGACGGTAACCAAGCTGTTCAAGATTACAGTGAGCTTTGGCAGTGTAAACTCGCTGATCTCGTTGCCCGGCGCAATGTCCCACGCTAGTATTCCAGAGGAGGTGCGCAAGGCGCGTTCGTTTCCGGAGGATCTAGTGCGTCTGTCCATTGGCGTCGAGGACGCGAAGGATCTTATCAAGGATCTCTCCCAGGCGCTGCAATCGTACGTGCCATCTCAGGAGACGCAATAAGTGAAGAACACGAGAGTTGGCAGTTCCGCGGGATCCTCTGAATTCGGGTGGGGGCCGGTAAGAAGCCTAGCCACCCTTCATGGGGTCAGCGTATTGTACGGAATTTTCTCAGGCTTACCAAGTGCTGTCATTGAAAACAGCTCTTCGCTGTGTCGGGGGCATTCTGTGGTATGTAGGATTGACCCGTAGCATACGACGGTGTGTTGCGCAGTTTGATTCACGCGTGAATTGTCGAGGTCGACTGGATGTTGGAAGTAAGCTTCACTTGACAAGTTAGTTATGAAATTAGTGTCGAAGGAAGCTGCTGTCAATAGTTGAGGTTCGCAAGTACTGGAGGTGACGATGATAGTGTTTATAAATAAAAGGTCGTCTTCATCTTTCCCATTTCGTGAACTTTCGGCTACTTCGTTCAGACACTTGAATCGAAATATCTACCACAAGAGACGATCACTATCGTCCTGCTTAGATGATGTTGAGTCTTTTCTATCATCTTCGGCTTGACATGTAGGCATACTCGTCCTCGTCACATCTTCTTCACCGCTGTTATTCACAAGTTCTGCTTTGTACGACCTTCTGACTGCTCTCGTCATTACATGCACCGCTGGCTTCTCAAAACCAGCGTTTGATCTCTCTATACTGTACCCCATCTGCATGTTTCTAACAAATCGACAGACGCTTCTTTTTTTACTTACGCTTACTCACAAATAGTTGGCATGCCTGGAAGCTTCCATATCCTTACATCCAACCGTCTTCATGGATTAAATTGCAGTGAATTCCTCTAAGAACACCTCAAGCCGATAAACAGATATTCTTGCACAGAATATTTGCCTCTGCTTGCAAATGTACATCGCCGTAGACACTAGTCATCCTTGACGCTGTACTGTCTCCATGGTATTTTATTTACCGACATACACGTGCTCCCTATACCTCATGTACAGGGAGTGTCGCGGCTATATATTTGCTTCTTTTTTCCATCATCATCAGCAGGAGTAGAACTAGCTTCAACTGGACTCTACCATGCGCTCTCTGCTGTCAATGAAGCCAAATGGCGTCACTACATTTGTTCATCTTTATCAACTGTTAAAGCTAAGAGAAACCCAAGACTAGCGATAAAAAACAAACTCCTGGCACTGCAACTTGCAGTAAACAGTGAAAGTTGCAGTGCCAAGAGTTTGTTTGCAGTGAACAATCGGCCGTACTGAAGCCATGAGACAAACGTCATGTTGCAGAATAAGTCGAAAGGGATTTCTGCTTCGTATAAGTCGGTGATTACTATCCATGTGATTTCTCCATCTGGTCCCTGCTCTTTCTTACGTCGTGAAGCCGTCAACTGACTCGATTGTCTCTATGATATTCTCATGCACAACTACTTTTACCATCTCAAGCTCAAGTGATTCATCAATTGATTGTTTTTTTTATCATGGGATGCAGTCAATCGAAATCCACGGATGTATCAACTGACAATGCAAATGCTTTAGTTGCCAAGAAGGTGGAATCTCCGACGAAAGAACTTGAGACGGAGACGGAGTTAGAGCTACAGATTCGAGAAGAAGAGCATGCAGACAAAGCACCAAAGACATTGGAACCCATTGCTTTGGTAATTGCAGAGCAGCAAGTGCCTGATTCAGCAGCAGCTGTGGACGTGCCTGATAGTGTACGTGCCAATTTTTCATCCTTTAACATTTCATTCATTGACCCGACGGTGAGCGCTCCTACGAGCGCCACGACGGAGCCCAATGTGGCGTCTATACGAGTCGCTGTGATCTCGGGGGAATCACTAAACAACGACAAGGACGAGTTTTTGAGTGTGGAAGCCGATGTCCAGGAGGTGGAGACGAACGTGGCCGAGTTGTCTGTTGATACGAACATTGAAGAAATTGCTGCTGAACAGGTTGACCTGGGGAAGGTCGAGGAGCAGGTGGAAGAGCCAATTGCGACTACCGAGGAGTTTGTTGCGACGATTGAAATGGGAATGGAGCCGGTTGAGGCTGAGGTGGTCATGGAGCCTCTGGCTGGTGATATAAAGGAGGAGATAGTTGTCGAGGAGCAGATCGATGTCAAGACGGAGGAAGTGGAGGTTTTCTCTGTGAATATTGGAGCATCAGCAAGTATTGAGGACGAAAGTGAACCCAAGAATGCTATCGAGGAGGTTGAACAAAGGACTTTTGCTGAAGCTACAGAGCCTGTTGCTGCCGTCACGGAGACTGTTGCTGCTAGTGAAGAGACAGGTGCTACTGTTTCTACTACTGAGATGGGTGATGAGCCTACGAATGAGCTCGTTGATGAAGAAATGTCCGCTGACTCGGTTGTAGTGAACGTGGCTGAGCCAGTTAAGGAGGAGAAGGTTGTCGAGCTGATTGAGGAGAGAAACCTTGCTCAGTTTGTCGTCGAGAAGGCCGCTGAATCGATTGTAGAGAATGTGGTTGATCCCTTGAATGAAACGAAGGTTTCCGAGTCAGTCAAGGACGAGAATAAGGCTGCTGAGTTAGTCATGGAGACGGTGGTCGCTAAGGAGGTTGTGCAGATGGTCGCCGAGCCAGCTGTCGATGAGAAAAGTGTTGACGTAGCCGAAGAGAAGACGGATATTGAGTCAGTGAAGCCTGCTGGAGTCACTGCGTTTGGGGGACTTGCTGTCCCCGGTGAAGAGTCTGACGTCGATGACAAGGCCATTGCCGTTGTAAAGGAGCCAGCGTCTATCATTGAAGAGCCTGTTGCTGTGGCAGTTAGAAACCAGACTGAAGCCGTTGCCGAGACAAGAGCTACGGTGGACAACAAGTTGGATGGCAGTCCTACATCGGAGAACGGCATTGAAGCGGAGGACATGGCTTTTATTTCGGACAACAAGGAAGCGGCTGAGCTCATGACGAAGGTGACGACGCGTGTTGAGGAGTCAGTCGCCTCTAACTAAGTATGACATTCCACACAGCGAACAAAAGCAAACTTTGATGCTCGATGATATGAGGCTGCTGGTGAATGCTATCACGACCCATTACGATGTAGATACAAATGTAGAAATTGCACACAGATGAATGAGATATTTTTGCTGACAAAGTATGCCCGTTCGACCTCATGGATCAAGTCCGTCAATGCTGGACTCTGGTCTGCTGATGATTGATCGCATGCTTCTTGTTGTTGAGCGCTTCATCAATGGTAAGAAATAATCATGAGCATTCAAAGTGAATGGCTGACAGCAGCAGCAAGCATTGAAGTCGTTCGTCTAAGGCTGGAAGCTCTGATGGAATCTATATCCGCCATGCGCATGGGATTATAACTGTCCCATGCATGCGCATGCCCTGCCATCCATTTGCTCGAAACCGAAAACTCGTCCGCCCCACAATCGCAAATCGAGCTTACGTTTTCCGTCCTCAATTGATATTCTGCATCCTTCCACTGCAAACGAACATGTCTGTAGCTCTCTGGTACTATTGCAATCTCATTGACGAGATAGAGGCTTTGGATGTCGTGGCCCCCGTCGTTCAAATACGTCGCAGTGTTGTCCAAGTGGATGCAAACACTTTGAGGCCGACAGCCTTGTTGGCGTGCAGCCCTGCAGTGGACGACGAATTGGCCGTCGAAAGATCGACGTACGTGTTAACAGCTTCAGTTGCTGCTACTTCGGCGGAGGTTGAGCGAGCTGCTATCGAGCCTATCGAGACTGAGACGAACAAGGTCGAAGCTGTTGTTCATGTTGTCAGTCCTGTCAAGAAGACGGTGGCTCATCCTGTCACAGTCGAAGCAGAGGTTCAAGAGAGCTTGAGTGAGGTAGCAACGGGGGGCACAACTGTGCACGACGCTGTCAAGATGGTTACAGTCGTCGAGGAAGAGGTCGTTGATGTTATTGCGGCTACAGAGGAAAAGCCCGACTCTATAAATGATGTGGCTCACGAGGGGTGCGCTGTTGCGCTGGAAGAAATGGATGCTGAAGCTGCTGCTAGTGACGTCTTAGCTCCTGCACTAGGAGACAAAGTTCTGGCTGATAACGAAGACGTGATTGCAGAGCCCAAGAAACACTTTACTCGGAAGGCTTTCGTTCCGGAAGACAGTAAAAACTCTGTCGAAGTTGCGAAAGGAAATGGTGAAGCTGCTCATGTGGTCGAGCACGGCAGTACTGCATCAATGAAGAAGACTATCGAGGTCGTTGAAGCGGCTGAAGCATCCTCGACCATGAAGATGATAGCTGCAATACCTGCTACGGGTGACAAGTTTCAGACTGAAACGCAGTCAGAGATTTCGGAGACGCCTGCAATTGAGAAGGTTAATATAGCTGCTGCTACAAAGGGGAACGAGGTTTCTGAATCCGAGATTGACGAGACGATGGTCATTGACCCAGACGTTGTAGCAAAGGAAGCTGTTGCACAAACGTCTTCGTTTTGTTTCATCCCTGAGCCCATTCGCAACAACAGCTACGCAGTCTCTTCCGTTGCGCTGGCTGTCGCTACTGCAATCACAGCGGCTCTATTGGCACGTAGATAAAGAAAAAAAGAGCTCGTGAATCCGTCAAGAAATCAATGTCCTATATGGTCATAGGTAGGCACTGATTACACTCTTTACGCAGAATTCTACCCGTTACCACGATAGTTTAATTAGTATTAAACCACTTCGGTCTCTCTCCTCCAGCCATTTAGCTTTACCAAATTTTCCAGCATGGGTCGAAAACAAGCACCTCCACGTCGCAGCGCCAAGCGTCAGGGCATCGCAACTCAAGCTCTGCTTGGTAATAAAAGTCATTTGGGTCAGCAAAAAGGATGTACCGTGTCAAAGAAACTCATGGGGAAGCAGCAGAATGCACAGAAATTGCAACAGAAGCGCGAGCAGCTCCGTAGTCAGCAGATCGACCGGAATCGCGGCGTCGTATCAGGATTGAGTCTCGCGGAGCTGGCTGGACGTGCTGCACAGGTCTCACAACAGTACGAGATAAATCAGAATCTGCAGACGGAGGTGTCGTCGCAAAACAATCTCGTCATTAATGACGCATCACGCAGAGCTTACATGAAGGAGCTGCGCAAGGTTGTGGACAAGGCTGACGTTATATTGGAAGTGCTGGACGCGCGTGACCCCTTAGGCTGTCGGACACTGGACATGGAAGACGCTATTGGGAACCGACATGGCAAGAAATTGGTGCTAGTGCTGAATAAAGTGGATCTCGTGCCTCCACAGGTGCTGCAACCGTGGCTCACGTATCTACGAGGCTTTTACCCAACGGTGGCCTTCAAGGCGTCTACTCAAAATCAAGCGAAACACCTCAGTGCTAACTTTGGTCGAGCTGATAAAGCAGGTAGGGAAGCAGTGAGTGGGAGCAAAGCAGTCGGAACGGAAGCGTTGATGCAGTTGCTCAAGAACTACTGTCGTAGTCATGGAGTCAAGACGGCCATCACGGTGGGTGTCATTGGATACCCGAACGTTGGCAAGAGCTCGGTGATTAACTCACTCAAACGCAGCAAGGCTGCGAGTGTATCGAGCACAGCGGGCCACACCAAAGTCATGCAGGAGGTACACATTGACAGCAAGATCAAGCTTCTTGACTGCCCCGGTATCGTATTCGACCACTCGGATTCGAGTGCATTGTTGTTGCAAAATTGCATCAACACGGAGTTGATGGAGGACCCTGTGGGAGCAGTGCAAGTGCTGCTGACGCGATGCCAGCCTGCACAGCTCGCCGAGCTGTATCAACTGCCTGTGGATACAGTATCAAGGTGTTTTAAGGACGCGGTGCAATTTTTGGTGCTTGTGGCGCAAGCGAAAGGAAAACTAGGCAAGGGAGGTATTCCTAACCGTCAAGCTGCTGCTCGCATCGTGCTGCAGGACTGGAACCGAGGCAAGCTGCCATACTTTACGCCTCCACCGGACCAAAGCGTTCAGGTGCTGGACACGCAGTTAGTGTCGTCGTTTGGACAGGAATTTAATGTTGCAGAAGAGGATTTGAATCCGACTAGCATCTTCCTGCCAGACACGGGCGACGCTAAGGAGGTAAACGGTCCGCAGTGCTCGATTTCCGTGGCAGCTACCGGCAGTGTGGCTAAGGCGTCCAATACGGAGACCGCGACTATGCCTGCCTTGGCTCGCATCAGCCAGATGCTAGATGACTCGGATTCCGACTTGGATTCTGACATGGTCTCGGATTCTGAAATAGCCGACGACCCCCACGTCGATGCACGAGACTTTGCACTGCCTATCACTGCTTTATCAACTCAGGAGCTGGCCGCCAAGTTGTCGCAGGACGCTTTGAACCCGCAGACAGCCAGGGCGGCACGACGAAAAGCCAAGCAGTGGCGTAAGCTGAAGCGTCGAGCTACTCGTCAGCAGCTTAGCACAGAGGCCGAAAACTTGTTCAGTGAGCAATTTGGCAGCATTGTAGGCATTGCGACTTCTAGTGTAGTTAAGTCCTAGACAAACCTAATGACACACAAATGGTATTTGATTATTCTCTTTGGCTTCCTTCGGTCTGCTGCCTGTCACACAGCTAGAAACTTTTTTTGATTCTTCTCCTCAATGAAGTGTCCACAAACACGTGGTCGTCAGCTCAGTCTCAGTAACTCAACTGACCTTTCGTTGCCCTTGTTCCTCCCTCCCTTCAACATTTTACACTCGAGGAGACGTCATTCCTCTCGGAGACGTGATCATATTGGGTGGTGTCTGTGCCATCTCGTACTCGATGCTCCCACTGCGTCCACGAGTGGAGATGGGGGCTTCTGTGTCGGTTTGATTCATGAGTAGGAGGTGTCTCTTTTTAGCAAACACAGCCGCAAGCGCACCGACTACACCGACAGCAGCAGCTACTAAAACACCAATAGTTGGGCCACCAAGTCCGTCAGATGCTGAAGTGTTCACAGAGGACAACGAGACCGTCGACAAGTCTGACGGAGTCTTCTTCTTGTCTCCCACTCGTTTCTCAGTGCTGTGTTCTACATTTGTATCATCCTCATCATCATCATCCTTCTCATTGTCATTCCCGGGGCTACCAAATGACGCACTTTCATACGTTGTAAAAGCTGGAGTAGCAGCTGGAGTAGGTGCTGGAGTAGGTACCGGTGTCGGAAGAGAGACAGTAGGTGCAGGTGTAGGTGCAGGTGTAGGCGCAGGTGTAGGCGCAGGTGTAGGCCGCTCTCCACAATTGTAAAGAGGACGTAAATTTGTCGTCTGTACGAACCAGCTCTCGTCGTAATCTTCATTGCCATCAAAGGAATCCAAACCGTCCGATTTGATCGTGTCGTCTCCGTCAAAGTCCCACGTCGGACACTTGGGCTTGACAACAAGGACGTCCTTACAGCCGACACTGGGCAACACGCAACCCCACGTGTCGTCAAGGACCAGTTGACACACGGCATCTTCAGGCGTGACGCAGCGCCCGTCCTTGTACGACGGAAGGTACGAATGACACTCTGCGACGGCCACGTCGCCTGTTTTGGGGCATTTGAAACCTGCAGGAATCGAGCCAGAACCTGCACACAGTAATGACGCGTCGACTGGAATGTCATATGTAGCGTCATGACAGACACTCACTTCGACGGCGGTACTGGATGACGCACTTAGCGCGACGACCAGTAGTGACCATTTACGCAGCATTATACTGTAGTTTATTATACGGGAGATTGTTTGTAGTAGAAAAAAAATACAGTGTAATTTTATGTAAACACCTGTAAATAATGTAGTCAGTCTCTCTTAGGTAGAAAGTAAGAATGAAGGACGAGGCGGAAGAGTCACAGGCCGTGGCGATCGTCATGTAGTGCATGGATTGGCTATAATGTTTGAATTACTGTATTACGATTGAATGAAACGGAAACGACTAAAATTTGGCCTCGACGACAGCTGACGGCGCACTATTGGAGTGCATCGTCTAGTGCAACTTGCCCCCCTACACAGTTGCCAAAGTGATGGTGAAAAGATCCACTTTAAAGTCATTTGACTGAAGAATTGTATTCCACTGTATAATTCAATTGTTACGTACACAATTTATACATGAAAAAATGGACTCTATTGGCGCCAGTATTGCGATCGTCGATCGAAGCGGCAATCTGGTCCATTCGAACCCTACCCCCAAGTGGATTTTCTGGTGAATTTCGATTTGCTGAAAATGGAGGGTAATAAAAACAAAGCATGATGTGTGCTTGTATGTAAAATATGTATACCCATTACAAATAAAGCGGTTTGTATAGCCAGATATACAAGTGTCTGTGGCAGCTCCCGTCTTCTATGAAGAAGCCGCGTCTGAGCTCCCGCCGTCGTCTGCGTGACCATTGCTTGCATTATCGACGGTCTCAGATGTCATGTCGCATGATGTCGTCGTCACTGAAATCTCTGTAGTGCTTGCCTCCGATGTGATCATTGTTAGCGTCGCCTTTGCCGTAGCCACTGGAGGTGTGGTTGCTAGATGCCCCGCCATGACCGCAGGCGTCGATGGGGCTACCAAAGACGATTCTTGACTCTTTTTTTCCACGTCCACGTCCTCGTTCTCGTTCTTCTCGTCACCATCGTCTTCTTCTTCGTCTTCTTCTTCTTCTTCCACATCTTCCTTCACGAGCCTTTTCCTAGCGTATACTACCGCGATGGCAGCCACAACGACAGCAGCAAAGGCCATCATACCTGCAATCACCGTCAGCGTCTCATCACTAAACCCCTTCGAAATCACAGCATCGGCAGCCGCAAGCGTCACCTTTGTCGAGGTTCTAGCCCTGCTGTCCTCGTCTCCATCTGCTGGCTCGCTATTAGCTTTCAATCCAACGCCAACCTTGTCGCTTGACGACTCATTACACTCCGCAGACACCGAAGTCATATTCACTGCTGGCTTTGGAGTCAGCGACGTATTGGTCAGCATTGATGTCGGAGTCATTGTTGGTGCTAGCTCTGTCTCTGTCTTAGCAACATTCTCCTTTGTAGGAGACGGTGTCGGCGTCTTCGACTCGGTCATTCCATCATTGCTGTCCGAAGCTGCAGACGTAGTCGTCTGAGTCGGCGTTTCCGTCGTACTAGTCTCCGTAGCTGCTGATGTCGGCATAGGTGTCGCAGCCGTCGGTGCGGGCGTGGGCGCGATCCCACAGTCGTAGAGCTCGTGCAGCTTTGTCGTCTTCGTGAACCAGCTCTCGTCATAGTCCTCATTGCCATCGAAAGACCCAAACTTATCGCCTGAGACGTCGCCACTGTAGTCCCACGTCTCGCACGAGCTCTCCACCACTGCTTCCGTCGGTGCATCATTGCATCCCACAGAAGGAAGCACACATCCCCACGTGTCTTTATTCACCAGTTTACACACAGCATCCTCTGGCGCCACACAGCTCCCGCTTCCAAACGATGCAAGAGTCGAAAGGCAGTCGGCCACAGCCACGTCGCCCTTTTGAGGACAGCTCTGGCCCGCGGGCTCGGAGCCTGCGCCGGAACATAACGCCGTGGTATCCACTGAAATGTCGTACGTGGCATCTTGGCAGACACTCACCTTGACGGCGACTGCGTACGATGTACTTAGCGCTGGAAATAGCAAAAATCGGAGCGGAATCATCTCGATGGCTTGCGAATGACAATCTGTATAGAAAAAAAGATTTGTGGTCCTGATTTTGACAAGATCGTTGTCAGCACATTCTGACACGTACTATTTACCAAGGGGTCGAAATGGCTTCATCTTGATCCCTTGGTACATAATGTACTTGTCAGTCCATATCACTTGTCATTATGCTGATAATCACGCGTCGCATTGATCAATATCATCCCCATTTGCTGGAACAGCCTTTGGTAGCTGCTCCTGACGGGATCGATTGTACAGCTCCTCGTCCACCTCGTTCTCACTGACATCAATGACGGACTGCAGCTCGAGTTGTTGACACTCCTCCGCCTCAGAACCAACCAGATTCATTCCAGTCTGTTGCTGCTGCATTGCTTCATCGTTACAGGGACGCTGCCTCTTTTCGACAATCAGTTGCTTCATCACTTGCGCCATGAACTTACAGGCAAGCCGCTGTTCTTCTCGACCTGATAGTGTATCAGATCCTGTAGTAACGTGTCTAGGGCTCATCCTTGCACTACAGCCTTCCCTATCGTGCTGCTCGTTATTGTCAATAACCATGGCATCAGCTTCCGCTTGGGCATCGTTCATAGCATTAAGAGCCATCTTAATCTCCTCCGCAGGCTGATCACGGAGAAACTCTAAATCGCGCTGCCAATTTGGGAACACTTGCTTCACGACGTCCGGAACTTCCGAGTAGGTTCGTGTCCAGTCCATTGTGTAATCAGAAAGCACGGGTACAAGCTCAGACTTTCCTTCGTATTCTGCTTCGCGTTCAAAATTGGTATCAGTGTCTTCATTGTCGACGTTATGGCTATTTTCCATATCGACGCTGCCATCCGTATCGATGCCACCACATTCAGCATTCTCATCACCTCCAAGAAATGCCCGCAGAACGCTGTTACGGTACAATAGCGAATCACGCTGTAGCCCAAAAAGCTGCTGCGAAGCGCGTTTCCACATAGAAATGGCGGCCACTGCCGCCAATTCAGCATGCTTCGATTCGTCACAATCGACATTTTTGCTACTTTCACTCCACCTCAATGGCGTATATCGCATTGCTACGACAGAACTGCGCTCCGTTTGTTTTGTGTATACACGCTGATCCCACGGATGCACCTGGCGGTTGTTTGGAAAAATGACATTCAAAGCAGTTTTTAGATCCAGAAGCTTAAGCACCTTTGCTGGAGGTAATACTTGCGATGTTCGTAGCTTCTCCTTTGTTTTCTCTAGTCTGCTCAGCGTTTTTACAAGATTAACGCGCCGCTTCGCCAGCTTCGCCATTTGTTCGTCAAGCTCTTCAATTTTTTTCCTCGTCCCTGCAAGTTGCAAGTCTGTCTGCTGCTCCTTATCTATCTTCGAGGCGTCTGTTAATGCCAGTGCTAGCACGATGTCTCCGCCTGTATCGACTCGCTTCCGCTTTCTCGTCCTTTTGGTCTTCGGAACAGCTGCAATGGAATCATCGTTATCACATGTTTTTGGCTTTCGTGGCTTTTTAGTACGTGTGGGTCCACTTCCACCATTTTCCCGTTTCCGAGTCTTTGTTTTTGCATCGTTCTTGACCGTAGACGCCGTAAACGGAGCAGCAACATTAGCAGTCGTGATCGTAACGCGACCACCGATGCACTCGTTCAAATGTACCTGTTGTTGCAACACATCGAGTTGCCCTATCACTGTACTACACGCTGTGCATGTAGCTTCCTCGGGAGTTAACTCGTCCACGACGCCAGCATTGTCTCCACCCGACGTTTTAGTCGCCTTCAACTCGACGTTTTCACCTCTTTCTTTTCTGCTGTTGCCCATGTCTTTCTCGATCACCACCACGTTCTTCACCAATTTCAGTCTTTCATGATCTGGCTCAATATCTGGTTCAGCAGGTGTATCACTTGGCTCAATTACAGTAGAAACAGTCCCTGACGTTCTTGCAAAAGCCGGAGCTAGAGGTGACAATACAGGATCCACCGTCTCCTCATCATCCAGCTCAATCACCATCGGAGCTGCTGCAGATTGAATCACGGAAGAAGAAGAAGAAGTACTAGGTGTTAGTATAGTATTACCACTTGAAGTTGTAGCACTATTAACCCCCTCCTCTCTACACGGTTGTCCGTGTCCAACCTGAACAAAGCGCAGACTGGTTCTGCCTACTGCTATGAGGTCTCCATCGCTCAGTGAATATTTCTGCTGAGTCTTGAGCATTTTGCCATTAATTTTAGTGCCATTTGTGCTCTTTACATCGTAAAAACCGAGTCTCGTCTCGTTTCCTTCGGCTTTTACAAAACGAAATTCGGCATGAACGCTTGATACTTCCAAGTCCTTGGGCAAGCGTAACCAGCAGCATTTCTTGCGGCCAATAGAAAGCGGTTGTCCTGAAGAAGAAGATGAATGAGATATTGAGCAGTAAAAGTGTGTAGAGCCTGTGTGTGGACCCCGCGTAACCTCGAGCCGGAAGCAGCACGGCGGAACTTTTGCCATCGGACGAATTTGAAAGCGGAAAATACAACGACTAAATTTAGTCCTTTGGTTTAAAGACAAAAGACTATTCCAAGGTTAGAAAATAACACTTGTGTTTCTAAAAAATGTCAACTTTAGCAAACTATTTTAATCGTAACGTATTGTATTGTCACGATATGTATCGAACGGGGTTGTTGCAACTATAGAATGCACAGTCATGAATGCTGCTGACGTAGTTAAACGCATTGTGACTGAATTGTACGGGCAATTGCGTTACACGTTGAAGTTTACAATCACTCTGTTCAACAACGTCACGACACAAATTTCCTCTGTAGAGGTAGAGCCTGTTTAAATGAATACTTCCGTGCCACCAGTATTATATAAAGTTACAAAGTCTACTATTGTATACAAGTATAAAAATTGCGAATTACTAAGTCGTCGAATTTTATTATAAAGGATATGATGTTGTGAAGGATATGATGTTGTGAAGGATATGATGTTGTGAAGTATTCTGTAGAAAGGGTTCTTTTCTACTCTATTTTTGTAATTACTTGTTTCTTCATAAAAAGGAATTCGTCCATTTTTCTATCGACTGTTGACTTGATCATTTTTTTCTTAACATTTTCAAAGAAAGAAAAAGACCACGTCCGTTGCAACGTTGTACTGAAGCAGAAGTAACGAAACGTCATGATGTCGGAAGCGGAGTCAGCGGTGAATGCGCTCAAGAAGCTCGAGGTCAACAAAACGTGTGTCAATTGCGGCAATTACAACCGCTTTGGACACCAAAATGTTTGTGAAAAGGTACGCACGTTTGTATGCTCTAATTGCAAGAGTGCGCACCAGAGCTACAGTATGCGCGTCAAGAGCGTAAGTATGAGCAATTGGACGATGGATGAGGTTGATGCGTTACGGGAGCAGAATGGTGGTGGAAATGCCGTTGCAGCGCGTGTCTGGTACGGCCGTTGGGACGAGAGCCAGATGCGCAAACCAAGTAAAGAGGACGCACTCGACTACTACAAGCAGTTCATCAATCGCGTGTACAATGAAAAGGCCTTTTACGACGAGAATGGATGCAGTGGGATTGCTTCGTTTACTGGGATACCAGCCAAAAGCAGCGGCCAATTGACGACGGCAGTGCCGGTCACCAACTTGTTGGACTTTGACACCCCGACACAGACGCAAGACGCATCAAGTAAAAATCTTGAAGCGTCTGGTAGCTCTGATAATGACGGATGGGGCGATTTTGCAGCTGCGCCAGTTTCAGCGACCTCGAACGATGAGTTTGGTGCGTTTGTATCGGCTTCGGCACCCACTTCGATGCCTGAATGCAACGGATTTGCGGATTTCAGTGCTGCTTCTGGGTCACCTGCTAGCATGGATTTATTTGGGGACTTTGTTTCGGCCCTACCTGCATCGACCTCAAAATCTTTTGACGTGTTTGCTGATTCAGATGAGAGCGTGCTTACACTAAATGCTCCGTCGTCGAATGGCCCAGTGTCATTTGATCCTTTTGCACCTGCCCCTACGACCCAAGGCCAACAGCCAGCTTCATGCCGACTCATGAATAAATACAACGCAGTTCCAGCGTTTAAGGATTATAGTGTGTTTGACGGACTCTCGTCTCCGTCGTATGGCACTCCTCACCACAATAAAAACAGTCAAGCTTGCGGCTCTGTTGGAATGAAAATGAACGGCCATGGCCAGCAGCTGGGCATGCAGCATTCCGGAGGCTCTCGACAGCAACAGCAGCACCATCACGTCCAGCCGATGATGGGCTGTGGCAACGCCGGCATGAACATTAGCACGTACTTTTCGCCAAATGCCGCCGGAGTAACCGGTAATTTGAGCGCTTATCCCAACGGTAGGGACCCATTCGCCGGCTTAGGCCTGTAACAGGGTAATTGAAATGAAAGCATAAGCATCCGCTTCATCACGTAAAAATGAAGTGTGTTCACAAACGGCAAGAGCGTCAGAAGTCGGTGAGTCTTGAACAAATCAGTCCCAATAAGTGCAGATAGGACAAAGAAACATCAAAGAATTCAATTGAGTTAATGTCTGCTTTACTCTCTTTTTTCTCTGTCACGCCGGTAAACAATGCACCCAGAGAACTCTTCGCAATCCGTTGCTATCCTTAAGCAGAAACAAACACTAACTGAGTCATAAAAAGAAGTCAGACAAAATGAAGAAAGCAAAAGCCTGTCGTTCAGCTCTGTTCTTGACGTTTTCGTCCTCACGTCGCCCCTGCAGTGGTCACTTCGTTGCCGTTGGTCGTAGACACATCCGTTGCTTTGCCGGCCAAGATGGCGGGCTTGGTCTGTGGCGGTACAAGTCTCTTGATCACGGCAGAGCTGGCAGCACCAAACATGGGACGAAATTGTGCGTAGAAGAAAGCAACAAATGGCACATTAGCCAGCACCGAATAAAAGTCATAGTGATCCGTATGCGAGGCGATGCGGCCATTTTTAAGCTCAAGTACAGAGAAAACGCGCAGCACAATCTTCATAAAGCTAGGAAAAGGCTTGAGACGGTAGACCACGGAACTGTCAATCGTAAGCACGGAAGCACCCGCCATAGAACCACGCACGAGTGTGGCCTTGCTTGCCTTGACAAACTTGGATAACACACGAAACTGCGCCTGGATATTGTCCATGCCACGCACAGACACAATGGGGTCCGTGAACACAGCGTCAGGTAAATAATACTTGGCAATAGTGGCGTCTCGGTTTGAGCTCACATCGTAGAGAGATAGCACATTCTCTGCCAGATCCTGTGCGTTACGGTTTGTCATGTTTGTGGGAGGGAGGTTGATTGAGTGTGACAGCAAAAAAGGTATGGATGTTCTTTATAGAAAATTTCGGTGATGGCTACATGAAGGGAACAATACACTGACAACAAATATATTTGGGAGGTGAAAAAAGAGTTCGACATAGCCTACCCAATTATTTAGGAAATGGGCAATACATGGTACCCTCTGATTGGTTGGCATTATTAATCAGATAAACTATTTAGATGCTCCCATTTTTTGAAAATATATGTAGGGAATTGCTAAATCGACCCACCCCAATAATAAACCGACCCACCCCATTAGTAAATCGACCCATTCAATTGTTTGGGTGGGTCAATGTGGCAAATCCGGTCAGGTCCGCTGAAAGACAGGTCATTCATGAGATAGTGCATGTGCAGCTGACGGCGATGTGGTGCACAACAGTTTTGATGCTGGCGTATGCCTTCGCATGTAAACAAGGTACCTGTACAAGGTCGATAGCGTGTCGATTGGCTTTTTCACCCGACCGAGGGAGATCGGACGAAAGTGATTGTCGCAATGAAATGAGATTTTTGAAGGAACCGACACACATGAACGTACCACCGAGTGCAGCCTTACCAAGCAATAATCTACTAGATCTTTACATTGCGTGTGATGCGCTTGCCGATATCCTCGTGCTGTTAAAGATGCAGAACGCATTGTACGTCGCCTTGTCGTTGGGGTGGTCGTCTCTTTCTGCTTGACCTTCTTCACAAACATCGTCGAATAAGTTGGTCAGTTTCAGCTCGAAGGAAAGTGCTCAAACATCCATGTTTATATGCACTATAAAGTGAATACTTCCACAGCTTTGACCACTACATTAACCCCTTTTAGCTTTGATAAAGAGACAGCTTGGACAACTAAAGCATCTTGTTGCTGCCTGTCATGACTTAGGCCATGTCCTTGAGCTCGAACGTGATTAGCTTTTTGGTCTGAATGCGGTCAACCAATTTGTGACCAAATGCGCTGGCCGGCGTGTAGAAGCCGCCCTTTCGATCCGTGGACTCGCCGATCTCATCCTTGGCCAGGCAGAAAGCACATTCCGACAAGAGGCGTGACGTGAGGCTGTAGCCCGGATCTCCTGAGCCCACAACCTTTGCCTTTACCGCCAATCTACCGTCTTCAGAGTACCCCGTAGCCACTGCGACGAAGTAGCCTTGCAACATGGACTTTTCTGACGGACCCTGGCCGGGTGCACGCACCATTCGCTTGAGTAGTGCACGAGTCCAGCTAAAGTACAACAAGGTGCCCCCAACGATTATTCCAAAGGTAGTAAGCAACTGCATGAAGAGGCCGCCGATGGCCATTCGTTCGTGATACACAAAGTTGTTGCCATACTTGTTCTGTAGACGATGATTGCTGCGGTGCACGACCGCCTGGTTCACTGAACCACCAATGAACAGCGAGTGCCAGAAACCCATGACCTTGTCGTAACGAACAGCTATGCTCGTCGTGTTGGGTTTTACTAGTCCAGCTGCTTCCTTTTCCTTCATCGTACTTTCATCTGTGAGAAAGAATGGATTACGCGAAGCATTCAACTGTTTGCTAGAAGACGTGTCCATGATTGCAAACACCGACGCCAATGTCCCACCACTTGCTTCACCTTTCATGTCGGTAATGTAAAAGTCTACCGTGCTTGTCTTCATCTTGAGATTCTGCTGGATACGATCACTAATCAAGTACGTTGTAAGGTCCGATGGGATGCTTTCAAACCCACAACAATTAACGAGTATAGCACCCGTTTTAATTGCTGCAGCTGTGTATTTAGCCGTTATTTCTTCAATCCAGACGATCTCACCCGTCAAATCACAATAGTGTACGCCATTTTCGGCGCATGCCTTAACTAGGAGCTCTCCATAGAGTTTATATGGTCCCACAAGGGACACAATCACCTTGGTCTGCTGTACCATTTTTTTCAATGACTTTTCATTGTTGCTGTCTGCTACAATTATTGGAATGGAATCGATTAGATGAGATGCGACGTCTGGTAGTTTCGTCTTGAGCTGCTCCTTTAGTTGCATCAATTTGGATTCACTACGAGCGGCCATGGCCCATTTGAGTGCTGTGGGATTAGTGAGTGATGATTCTGACGCGATAGTCAAGTAGCGAGTGACTAGAGAACCAGTGAAGCCCGTAGCGCCATATACGATCAGGTCGAATTGTTTTTCCATGTTAGAACGTTATTGAATTGAGTGTGTCAACTGGAAATGGCTATTATAACTGTATGGAGAGAAAAGATTACGTCGTTGGTAAAAGATCGGGTGTAGAAGATGATGAATGATGACAGTTAAAACGTTTAAACATGACGATAATTGGCCTTTGTTTATTACATTTTACATCGACATAACCGGGTATGTCGCATGTAACAATAGTTTACCTAGAGATGACGTCGACCTATCAGAGGCCACCGTGTATTGCCCATTTCCTCAATAAATGGGTAGATTATGTCGATGTAATAAACACCTTATGTCCATATTAAGCCTCCTAAATAAACAAGTTGTTTACCTGCTATGAGCTGCATAAAGAAGACTCAAAACTACATGACACGATATTCTATCGTCGAATGAGCCATCCATGATTCACTACAGCAACTTCCTCGTATTCATTATCAATAAAAAACACCAAAACAATAATGAGTCATGTCAAATATGCCACTAAATATTGATTCCGCCTCGTCTTCTCCACACCCTCATCAATTTATTCACAAGACCCCCGCTGTGCGTAACATTTCCGTTAATTTCCTTGAATGAAACAGAGCCTGTACATCAGTGCCTCCACCAATAGATTCCTTCTTAATAAAGACATTAGGCACCGTCCGACGTCCTATTGCAGCAGCAAAATGAATCAGTTTATAAGTAGCAACATTGACCTGATTACGTTGCTATGTTTACCGGTTCGAGTAGCCAAGACACTCTGAATATCGGCACCAGTAGGTACGTCTTTTTTCATATCAAGCTCCACTACATGATACGTGACGCCAGCTTCGTCCAGCACGTCCTTGGCCTAGTCATATTGTCCAGCATAAAGTGTCCCATTGAGTGTCAAAAGCCACCATAAATCGATCTTTTTCCGCAGCCATCACGTACCAAGTCGCAATACGGACAATAACTCTTGCTAAAGACCGTAACACCATTGTCAGTTGTCACGCTGTCGACAAACTCCTGCGCTGCCGTCTCATTCTCACGCGAACTTGCTGCTCCCATTGTGAAACTAACTTTGTGTACAATACACAAGCCTAGGACTATATGCGTCATAATGATTGTCTCATTTTGCAAACCCATGGGTTCATTCATGGGTCAACCACCACTTTTTGCCAGTGGAACGTCGGCCTTGTTTTTATTGGTTGGCCGGACGCTTCTTGGGTTCTCTGGTCTTTCGCTCATTTCCTCCCCCTACAGCCATTCGATCAACCTCGTCATTTATAGTCATGGATAACGAGGATAAAGACTTTTTACGTGAATGGCTTATTCTCAACCTCGAACCAGTGTACGCATTTCAATTTATCTTTAAAAAGATCTAAAATTTTTGGATATTTTATGAAAATATCTGATTATAATCCTACTTTTTCCAGAAGCGACGCGGATCCAGAAGTCCTGAGCAAGTACGTGTTGGCGCTTGTCCAGAACGATCCACACACGCTTGATCTACAGGAAACATGTGTCTCGAAGCTCGAGGAATTTCTTGGCGAGGGTACGTTTTATCTAGTTCTTAATGCTAAAAAGATCTGAAAATAGTAAAGTATTTATTTTTATTTTTTGGATATTATCCAGAGACAAAAGGCTTTGTAGTGAAATTATTCAAAGCACTAGCCGATGGGTCCTACAAGGCCAGTCGAGTTGTAAATGAAGCACCAAGAGATGAACAATTTCGAGCTGTTAATATCTTTGAAGAGAATACCAGTCGACGACGGGATCGGACGTTATTGGACGAGGAAGATGAGCAGCAACGGTATACTAAACGATGTCGTGGCGATGATCGGCCGCGAGATAATGACGTGAAGCGGCATCAGGGCAGTCCCAGGAGAGACTTTTTGAACTTTAATAGAAGGCAGCCATATCCATCTCGTGATGGAGGCATGCGAGGAGGTCCTGTAGGTCCTGTAGGTCCCGTAGGTGGACGTGGACCTTATGGTATGGGTGGAGAACGGCCTCGAACTTTTCCACTTGAGTGGGGAATGCCTCCGCAGGGAATGTGGCCACCACACTTTCCTCCTCATCGAGGTGCGGGGTTCCCACCAGAATTTGATACCAACGGGTACATGAGAGAGAGCGGTGGTATGATGCCGCCCCCGCACATGATGATGCCACACCCGATGGTTGGTGGTCGTGGTCAGTTTTTTCCTCCTGGAGGTCGCGGAGGTCGAGGAAGACGTGATAATTTCTTTGCAGAACGCGGTGGCAAGGACGGCGAAAATGGTGAGGCTACTACTGCAAAGACGACGCTTTACGTCAGACATGTTGATCCCAAGTATGTGAACATGACTATGCTAAGCCTCCACTTTTCTAAGTTTGGCAACGTAGTCAATGTTCAGATGCGGCCAAATGCGAAATGTGCTTTTGTTCAGTATGCGACCGAGGACGAGGCAAAGAAAGCTTTCCATTCACCGCTTCCTGTGTGCAACAATCGCTTTATATCAGTGAAATGGGCCAGACACGACGCCCGAAGCCCAGAAGAAGCAGCCGTCGACCAAAGCGGTGCCGGATCGAAAGAGGCATTTGGAGAAAATTGTGCATCTAACAATGACCTTACGGCAGAAAAGAATGCGAAAGAGGCTGGCGGTGACGGAAAATCTTCCGATGCGATGCCTGAAAATAACATGACGACTGAAGAACTGCGAGCAGCAGCATTAGAGAAGGGTCGCTTGGTGCTGGAACAGAAGCGCGAACTGCTGGAGAAGCAGCGTACGCTCAAGAAGCAGAAAGAGGCGCTGATTAAGCGGCAATTAGCCCAGCAGAAGGAGCTGCTGGAGCGTATGAGTGCAAACAGCTCGCAGTTTTCCATAGCAGAGAAGCGTGGCCTTTTGGACAAGATCACAGCGTTATCCGCGGAGTTGAAAACATTAACCCCCAGTCATTCAGCTGTTTCACCGAGTGCTGCTCGGTCCGTCGAAACTGGCGAAGATAGTGAAAACTTGAACGGGCTCAAGGCCGAGCTTAGTGCGCTGGAGGCCGAGGCCGAGGCATCTGGCGACCGAGGGGGTCGGGGCGGCCGGTGGTCTTCGGGCCGTGGCTACAGAGGAGGCCGTGGTGGTCGAGGCCGAGGAGGATACGGTCGTGGCTCGCACACACTGGATAACCGCACAACGATCGTGAAGGTGGCAAACCTGCCCGAGGAGGCTCGGGACCCTATCGTGCTGACGCAGCACTTTGGCAACTTTGGCGCCGTGGAGCGTGTCGTGATGGATGAGGCGGCTCCTGGCCAGGGGTTCATCAAGTTCCAGGATCGGTTTGCCGCCCAGTCCGCTCTGCATCACGGAAATGTATTCTCGGATAAGCAGTTGGAAATAGGATGGGTTGAGTACCAGGATGCGCCTGCAGAGCTAACGCGGAGCGACTTACCGACAGAAGCTGCAGCAGCGTCTGCTGTCGCAGACCCTACACCAACTGGAACAAGTGACCAGGTACAACTTGTCGAAGCGGCGTGATCATCGTTCGTGGTTGATTGACTGACTGACTTAATTTGGTGTACTGAACAGGTCTCCGCGAGCGAGAAAGAGTGAGCTTTGAGCATTGCGGTTCGGTGCCGTCGTCACGAGAGCAGCAAACAGCCGAGTAGAAGTCGAAACAAGAGCATAAGTAGCCCAAGCCATAAACGATGATATAGGATGCCTGTAAAGTGCAGGTTGCTAAAAGACAGCAATTCAAGTCGACATTCATGTCCTTTTCCTAGAAGATTATTTATTCAATCGCTACGAGATGTAGGATACGAGTCGACTCGTATCCTCGGTTCATACACTATTCAGTAGATCAAATGTCTTACATGGTTGGTGATGTAATTAAAGCAGAATAGGAGCAGTGATAACCTGAATGGTCAACAGGAAATTACTCGCTGTAGGCATCTAGGTGCACGCCAGCAATGGCACGGCCCGACGGGTCGACAGCGTTCTTGAACGCGGCGTCCCACTCGATAGCCGCCGGGGTGCTACAGGCAATGCTGGGACCACCGGGCACAGTCTGGGCGGCCACCTCGCGGTGGAAGTGGTGCTGGAAGATACTGCGATAGAAGTAGGCCTCCTTAGACTGCGGCGTGTTGTACGGGAAGAGCCGCTCGGCGTGCTTCATCTGGCGCTCAGTGACCTTCTGCTCAGCCAGGTCCCTGAGCGAGTCGATCCAGCCGTAGCCGACGCCGTCCGAGAACTGCTCCTTCTGGCGCCACAAAATGTGCTCCGGCAAATATGGGTGCTCCTTGTCGTCGAAGGCCTTGCGGATAATGTGCTTTTCCAGCTTTTTGGCCTTGACATCGATCATCTTCTCGCTAGAGTCGATGTTCATGGCAATGTCCAGAAAGTCGGCGTCCAGGAACGGCACGCGGGCCTCAAGGCCCCATGCGCTCGTGGATTTGTTGGCGCGCAGACAGTCATATTGATGCAGCGACTGAAGCTTCGCGACCGTCTCTTTGTGAAAGGCCTCAGCGTTCGGGGCCTTGTGGAAGTACAGATATCCACCAAAGACCTCGTCGGCGCCTTCGCCCGACAGCACCATTTTGATGCCCATGGCTTTGATCTTGCGTGACATGAGAAACATGGGCGTAGACGCCCGAATCGTAGTCACATCGTACGTCTCCAAGTGTTTAATGACCTCTGATATCGCGTCTAATCCCTCCTGGATCGTGTATGTGTACGAGTGGTGAATCGTGCCGAGAAATTCAGCCACTTCTTTGGCAGCCTTGAGGTCGGGTGAGTTTTCGAGGCCAATGGTGAATGAGTGGATCTTGTTAATCCACTCGCCGCCCTGCGCGACAAGTTTCTGCTTTTCCCGTACGGCAATAGACGCCACAAGGGACGAGTCCAATCCACCAGAGAGCAAGACACCCCATGGTACGTCTGCCATCATGCGGCGCTTGACTGAAGCTTCAAAAGCGTCACGAAGCACCTCAAGATCCAATGGTGTCTTACCCAAGTGACCAACCTCGTACCAATTAGGTGTGTACCAGGGTTTACACGATTCCGTGTCACTCGTAAACAAATGACCAGGTGGAAAGACTTCAAAACGTACACAACCTTCTTCAAGTGCCTTCATCTCTGATGCAAACCAGACGCTCCCGTCTGCACCGTAGCCGTAATACATTGGGGTGATCCCCATATGATCTCTAGCTGCAAGGAAAAAGTCCTTTTGATGATCGTACAGCACAAAACTAAACATTCCACGCAACAAATGCACAAAGTTTGGACCGTGCTCGAGATACAGCGGGATAATTATCTCACAGTCCGATTTGGTGAGGAACGAATAGGGGTCACGTAGCCCCTTGGCCAGTTCCTTGTAATTATAAATTTCGCCATTTACACAGCACGTGACGTTACGCTCAGTGTCGTTACTGACAAGCGGCTGTGCACCTGATTCCGGGTCGATAATCGCCAGACGTTCGTGTTCCAAAGCGACACCACGACCCGCAAAGACACGGACGCCATTCCAGTCAGGACCACGGTGTTGAATCTTTTTACCGGCAGCTAATGCAGCTTGGCGAAGCTCCGCCTCGGGCATCATGGAGCGGAGAATGGCGACGATTCCGCACATTTGGTTGTGTATTGAGTGGAGAGAGGGTGTCTGTAGGTGTGAGACAAAATTGTTTGGACAGAGAGATACTGTACAGTCAACACCCTAATATAGTCCCTGACTTTACGACAATTGAATTAGAAAAAATGTATGGAGTGCGTCAATAAAGCGTTCGAATACGTTTAATTGCAATTAAGGAGGTTTATTATTGTTTATGAAATAGTATATTTTGTAAATAGTACATGTATAAGGGCTCCTTTTGATTAGCAGAATTAATGAATTATTTTGTAAATAACATTTGTATAGAGTTATACGTCCAATCTGTATTCATATATATGTAAAGCTTTATCCAATTTAAACATTATTATTGTTCTCCTGATATTTAATAACTAAGCGAATATTCGATATCTTTAGGACGTACTGTACGACAAAATTGTACGAGCATATCAATGCAAAAAGCTGTCGAAGCTAATGGTAGCAGTTCAAGTCAGCTGGCTTTTTGATGAAGTAGCGCTACCAGTACGTAAGTAACTCCACCAGTCGTCGCCACGTCCCGATAACTTAATCAGATGATTTGCGAGTCCTCTCTTACTTCGAGCAGACAAATCGATTCACTTATTCTACATTCTACCTTCTAATTAAGATTTCTTTTAAATGATGCATGTGAAATGGTAGAATGGCACCATGAGTACAAGCAGCGAAGCGATTAATCAGCAAAGCTGTGTCAATATCACGATAGCAAAAAGTTTTATAATCCAATAAGGTGGATATAGATGTCTGTCAGAAGACAATATTACCGCGCGAGGAAGCGATCAGGCAAAACTCCGCTGGAATACCTGTATCGCTTCAATGTGGTGGCAATACGAGCGAAGATTCCTATTCGGGAAGGACCACCATCTGTTCGTTGGGAACACGTGAAACATTTTGTTGCTACACTAGATGATCGCAATCTGTGAGCCTGACGTTGTTACGCCTTGGGGATACAGAATATATAGAAGTAAAAATTTGGGAGCACATCAACACATGAAAGGTCGACAAAGTCAGAGTTTAATGGGATCAAGCAAATTCGGTAGCGGTCCGCGTCAGCTTCTACCCTGATATCAACTAAATTAGCCCCTGCTGTGAGGTCGATTCATGTGGAAAGTGGTAGCAGTGACTCAGACCTGAATGCTCTTGCACATGATCGATATCCGGCGTCCCCTTTTAAACGGACATGCGCTGAGGTGGTTTCCTCCTCAAACATCTTATTTTTCGGTACCCCCCCCCCACAAAAAAAAAAAATCGTCATCAGATCGCGACGCGATCTCCGCCGCTTTCATGACCAAGTGTAGGCGGATCTACACAGCTCTCAAGTCAGAGGAAGACTTATAGGCTAAAATCCCTCTTAGTTCTATGCAACCAAAAATGATTAGGGCTTGAAGGCCACTTAGTTCTAAGGAGCAAGTGCAACAACTAAGAAGTCTCCCGTTTCAAACTCTAGGAGACACTGCTACAGTCAACAAGCGATACTTTCAGAGAACTGCAGAATCCAATGAAATTCAAACGATCAACGACCCAAGAATACAAGCCTTATATAGGCTTTGATTCTTAACTTAACTGAAATCTGAATTGTATTTATGCAATAAGATCTGAGAATAAATCTATCTTAAGTACATTACAGTAGACCAATTACTATAATAGTGACTATTATATGCAGATCCAATATTGGATGACACGTCAGCCAATTATCAGTATATGTGTACTTAGTACGGCGATATCGGTTATCAAGCCGTAACGAATAAGGGACGGTATTACCAATACCATATCTCAACGCCCACACTTAATACCTAGGTATCAAAAATACATTTTATGCATTATACAACCGTCGTGTGACCTCGTTACACAGCAGAAACTAGCGTCATCGAATGTCGTCACGGACGGACGTCATGTACAGCGCCTCATCAATTCGATATAATCTACATCAGGAATAGGGTGGATAACATCATGAACGTTAAGGTGTAATGCTGAGGCAACAAGCGTTGGGTTATCTTTCCGTGGCAGGTGATTTGCAAGGCATTTTACGGCCGCAGCTGTAAAAGGTGTCTACAGATGAATTTGGCCGTCTCATATATGCCATAACATGAGCATATGCATTTTCTGTGCAACAAAACTTTCTTGCCTCGCGATCGCCAACTTACTCAGCTTAATGTCCGTTCGGCATTAGCATTCTACATCCTTTCACACGTCGGCAGCCTTCTAATACTATTGTAATTTTGACGCTCAGACGTGATCCCCGTTACCAAATTTGTCCAAGTGCCGTCCAAGTGGACACGAAGACTTCGAGATTAGAGGAGTTTTCTACCGAATCCATTAAGACCAAAATCAAGGTCGAAGTTGTTGTACCTGTTGTCAGTTCTATTATAAAGATGATGGATCTACCATGTCACAGCCGAAGAAGAGATGTAAGAGAACGATATGTTGGAGGCACATGCATTTGAGGCGGTCAAAGCAGTAGACGCTTAAACTCAAGATCGAAAAGACAACGGTCATTGACTTAGATGTCGCAGCAAAGGAAGCTGCTACAATGGCTCCTGATATTAAGCCCATTTTTTGTACAATTGCTGGACGAGCTACGTTTTGTGAGAGCATATACAGGAGATATCGTTTTTATATCCAGCCAGCTCAAGCCAAAATATATCTTTGTATCTTTGATCCAATGCCAGCTTTAACGTAATAAAGAGCAGCTGTCTTGTAGAAAAACACACGAGCGACATGTTATTCCGGGACTATATTTTGATCCGATCATACAGCCTCACACTTTTTATTTTGCTACCAAACTCGCTATAAGCTCCAAGATGTCTTTCAAGTCCAACGCGTACCCGAACGCGCTGGCTGTCGCGCTGCTTGTATCTTCAACTATAAGCGTGACCAGCGCAGTAGCGATTCCCGATGGTGTCGTGCGAAACTTCGTCGCTTTACTTACGCTGGATGCGTCTTGTACTCCGGTTTCGATCGAAGGTCCTGCGTAGACATTACAACAAGTGACGATACCACGAGTTTTTGGAGAGGAGAAAACCCTTCGGGAGCCGCGACTGATATGGAGTGGCGTCTGCAACACATCGTCCCAGAGCTTCAAGAGAAGCTGTCGCGGTAGCAAGCCTTTAAACCTGACTCGGTAATAGCCGATCTACTTGAAAGCTTTCACGAGACCAAGTATATAGATGTCATAAGAAATTTGGTGGGCAACGTGTTGGATTGGACAATTTTAATTAAGATCATGTTTTGGATCGCGTGATACCTCAGAAGTCTTTACCCTTAACAAGGCGGCTACTACATGGACTTATTATTGTCTTTTGTATAATTTTACTGGAAGACGCGCTGCAGACTGTCACAACGGAAGGTGACATTTGGTGCTTTCCATGCTGGCGCATCTACTCTTTAATGATCGCCTATCTCGGTGCTATTAACTGAAGTAGTGGTCTATGCCTTTGCTTTGTGCCAATGTAAATCAAAAAAGATTACGATAGCGGGTGTTGGAAGAGAACTGACACGGTCGCAAGAGACACCCTATGGCAAGTGTTTTTACGCGTGTGCTGCTTGTAAGGATGTCCAAAAAGATGAATGTGCCCGATGGAAGAGTTTTACAATTTCATCCGCAAGTGATACGTGGCGACTAAGCATGCCAGAATGCTCCCGCCGAAAGCAGAGGAAATGTTAAACTAGGACACTCGTTGGGTCGATATCTGGTACGAGACGAACGTTCTAGGCTCTGCATGTATGCATCTGTGGAGAGACCGACCGATCAAGAAGTCCATACTCGAATCGACCTGGTCGTTACATATTTCATTTTTTTGCGTTCCGTATCAAATGTCGTAAGAATTGGTGAGTATGCCCAATTGCCTGATAGAATGGAACTCGACCTAGCGTCAGGCGAAAAGCCTGCCACATTGGAGGAGGCATTTGCTATTGCCCTCCGTGAGGACTTTAGAGTCACCAAGGTATATGCTAAACCCTCAGTCGTCACCTTTCTCGGCCTTCTGGTCCGGAACCTATGGAGGTCGACGTGATTGAGTCGTCAGCTGACCGTCGACGTGTCATTCTCCATAAGGGAATGATATGTCGTACCAAGCGTCAAATACATTGCTTTCGCTGTCGTAAGCCAGGACATCGCGCGGCAGAGTGCCGTGCGCCAGCCCCATTATCGGTGCAAGTAGTGGACGCCCATCGTGAGGGCGTTGTACCGGCCGCACGTCTAAAAAACGGTCGGGACCAGTAGAAGCAGGGAGCCCTACTGGTTGGAATGGAGGTTCGGTTCCTTCGATGGCAGCCCAACCTTTCAGTCCTCCTAAGCTGCGCGCACGGTTAAATGCCTCTGTCAACCACGATACCCCAAATTTGAATGTCATATATATATCTACCGTTCGAGCATTGGTGATTCACGTCTGATTATTGACTGTTTACATGTCGACGGTGTCCGGCGACCTCTGCGAGCACTCCTGGACTCAGGGCCGACGAACAATTTCTTTCGAATCTTGTTTATTGATGTTGCTACCCAGCATTCAGGTCCGCGAAGGACCTGGCCAAGTTGTCGTCAAATTGGCTGAAGGAAAAGCACACCGCGTATCGCGGCGTGAACTATCGTTGCCGTATACGTTTGACGATATTTACAGTAATGATGGTTTCTTGGTGATCGCGATGAATTATTCATCGATTAGATCCTGGGCATGCCATGGTTGGCACGTTATAAGCCCCAGATCGACTGGTTAGCCATATCAGTAAGACGTCGACGCAAGTATGACGCCAGTGAAGTGTTTACCCATCTCTTGGTGTCTCCAAGTGACTGGCCCAACGTTAGAGTCATAAATCGTGAATCCACGACGCATGCGGTGCACAAAGGGATCGATGGCCCTCTTTGTACTGCTTGGCTGTTTTTCAAGACACAAGTGACAGTTACCCCTCGCTCCACAGCGAGGAGAACGACGAGGACGACGCGATCGAACAGGGGTTCCCTGTCGCGTCAATAATGCGGTCGAACAGGGATT